TTCCGAGAAAAACAGCATTCTAAGATCTCAATTTCAAATCAAAAGTTGCTGAATCATGTTTTGAATTGTTTTGAATTGCAACGATACGCGACGTCGCGCACTGATCCGACGAATTATAACAACCGCGCGCGCGTGTGCGTCGTTCGAATACTTGTGCGCGCTTCGCTGAATAACAAAACGAACTACTAATTTAAATTTTCCTACGGTGCTTCTTAAGAATCACCGTTGGAAATGCCTTCTTTCGTTGATTACTTCAAAATGACAGCTTCCCAGAAAGAATAATTTCACAGGGAGTTTAGTCTCCTTACTATCTTTCAACCAAGTTAGTTTTTCAACAATACTTACGCCAGTTACTTCTCGGATGGCTGCAAATGATAGACTCTACCTTTAAGCTCCCTTACGCTGCTGCTGGTGTGCTCAGCTGCCTACGCGCGCCATGTGCCTACCCCGCCTTAATCCTACGCCTTAACCTGAACCATAAGCATTCATTTACTACAATCACAACTTTGCCTTATTTGCCTTCTTCCAAACGTCGAATTTCGCTGGTCTCAATCGCAACAGCAGGTCTTCTCCAATTCATTTGAGTTTCAAATAAATCCGTCGGCTATCTGTTATAACATCTCTATTTATACAATCATAATCATCATAATTCAGCTCTCAATAGTTTTCTTTTGCTGTCCTCTTGAACTTATAGTAGCATTTATAATATACAAGTTACCCTAAAGCTAATGGTTTAAAGTTACATATTTTGAGCAATTAATACAAATTTGAGATCCGTGGATACATTGTCAAAAAACAAATGATTTTAGTCCATTGGAATGCCGCCCTAATACTCAAAATAGTGTGCTTACATTAAATAAATTCAGGTTTATGATAAAATCCATTGGCTCCGTTGTTTTCTCCTTTATGGTGTTCAGGTTTTTCTTTTCATCTTTAAATAATAACAGAAAAGTTCGAAACTATTTGTTCTGGTAAGTTTTAAACCTGTAATTTTAATACAATCATAACGAAAAGGCAACCAAATTCCAAGGAACCCTCCAACGAAAATCTAAACTTGTTTACTCCAACTTTTGAGTAAATCCCTATAAGCCCCTGCCTTGCTGAAATGTCTTTGAAAGTGTAGCAAAAACGGTGCACCTGGCCGCATAACGCGCGCGCGGCCTTTCAACTTTTCAACCAATAAGAATCACCGGAATCTATAATACCACGTCCACACCACGCCGGCCACGAGCGGCTCACGTGCAGACTCCACCACGAGCTGGCTTTTGACACAGTGCATGAAATGTGCAATGCACCAAAAGGCATGTGCATGTATGATTTTGACAAACAAATTGGCCGGTATTCACATGCTATTAACTCTAAATTAAAAGGGCTTTCAGATGTCTTTTTTGTTGTTGAAATTTCATGTTGAAATTTTGATACGCAAACGTGTGCAAACTCTGGAAATTTCACGAAAAATAGACATCTGAAAAGGGCAGCACTTTGTGATTAGCCTAAAAGACGGTGAGTATGCTTCTAAAGCAAAAAAACCTACAAACTAAGCCTAAATGTGAAAATCAAAATTTGACAAAGTTCGACACATTTTTGTACATGTGGAAGTGTGGCCTATGTTTACGGAGGTAGTCCAGTAAATGGGCCACATTTATGGGGCTATGTGACGGGAGGAGAAGATAAATTTTCAAATTTGGACTTACCCCAACGAACTCCAAAAGCTTGACTTCAGTATTTTCCAAAAACGTCATTTCAGATCATTCGACAAAATGATGAGTTCACATAAATTCCACGTGTCCATTCAGTTCAGTTCAGAACAAATTGAGCATCCAAAGGAATGCTTTGCGAAGTCCAGTTCAGTGCTTTTGAACAAAAGTTATGACAAGTTCTGTAGGCCTACAGCAAAGTTCAAGTCAACCTTTCAATATGGTTGACGACGACGCAACATGCAACATGTCTGCGTTGAAGCTGTGCAGTGACCCCGTACATGAGGCCGGTTTTCTGGTCGATTTGCAAGACTCCAAGCGTCCAAATTTGATGTTTTGTTGCGCCCATGAAGACTCCAGGGTATGATGCACAAGTTTCCGCGTTGGAGGCTTGAAGCTGGACAACAGACTCGGAGGTTAAAGTATCAAGTTGTGCTTGTGAAATTTGAGGCAATTTTTTGGTGACATTGCGAGCTGTCCGCGCCAGTACAGTGTCCGTTGACCCCAAATTCCCTATTTTTTTTATAAGACGGGAGGGCGTTCCAGGAAGTACCGTGACGTAGCACGCGTGGCTCGCGTGGCCTGTCTCTCATTGGTCAGAAGTATGTTGGTGACGTCTTCTCGTCAATCTAGCTAATTTGATTGGACGAGGGAGTCTGTTTAAAAAAATTGAGCAGACGAAAATGGTGTACATGTACCGCACAAGATAACATTTTAACCGATTTTCGGCTAGACTTGTCAGACTGCTTGAAAAAAACAACGAATCCAGCAGAAAATCTATAGAGCATATGGAAATTTGTACCAGATTGTTAACATAATTCTGTAAAATCGGTGATCCTATTAAGAATATGGCAGATTTTGTTTTGAACATGCTTCAATCACTTTAAACAAATCGTTGAATACTATAATAGCGGGGATAGGCAGGCATATTCCTGGCGTTGAGATTCCCTGACGTGTACGACTACAAAGTAAAGTAACTCAATGAAAGCTAGGCTAGACACGCGGCCATTTTTAAAAAAAATATTATTAAATGCATAACATCTATATGTGAGTATAATAGGCTAATTCTGGGTGATTTAGAAGATTTTTGTTAGATCTAGCAGTAATTGTAATTATAAACTGTTGCATTGTGGGGCGGAGGGGGTGGCCCCGCCCCCCGATGCCAAAAGGATTCGTTGACAAAAAGGTTTGGACCAAAGATCATACAGCGCCGTACAGCGATCTTTGGTCTGGACATTCAAAGGGTGATAATCAATAATAAGCTACCACATTGAAAACGATATCATATCAAAATATAATCTTGAGATGTTCATCAATCAAAGAATATCTAGAGATTCGCGTTCATGCAGGAGTAAATATAAAATGTTGCATTGTGGGGTCGGGGGGTTACGGCCCGCCCCCTAATGCCCATATGGATAACGTTAAAAAGATGGGGTCTGGACATTCAAGGTGAAACAAAAATTGGTGGATTTTGGGGTCCTGACCCGTGGACTAATGTACACAACACTGCAATACTGCCCTCCCTGGTTAGTTTCCTTTCAACTGAAACTTTTTTAAAGAGTGTTGCAAAAACCTGAAATTTTCGGTGATTTCAGGTCGTAATATCACCTTTAACGCAGGCGCCTTTTTCGAGAGAAACCTATAAGTTTTATGACAAAGTGTGCGGGTAACATAATGCCCTTACAACATAATGTACGAACTTCCGCTTTAGTTATACATCTTCAATTGCAATAGGAATATGTTGCATTCGTTCACAAGGTAAATGCATAAAATGTCTTTTTTAGGTTTTAATGTATGTTTAGCCAAGGTAAAAGTTCGTTTTAAAGGGAATATACAACATTGGCAAACATCGAAAAATAAAACTACCAAGTTTTTGCGAAATACCTTAATAGGATGTTGGTAAATGACAGTCTAAAGCATCCTGTAAAATTATGGCACCTGGTATACTGTCATTTTCAAGAAAAGTGGTATTTTTGTATCAATTTCCAACGCTGATCGGCCGATCAGCGTTGGAAACAACTGGCTTTTTTTTCAAATACTGGTCCCAATTGACCATTGCACTTGTTTGCAATCGATTACAAACCTAAGAACGGGTACGAGCCAGCTAGACTGGTTCCCTGACCTTACAATTCCCCAATGTATGTAAACTGCTCTGTTTCTTCTTATATGGAGTCAGGGAACCAGACTACAGGAAAATGATCGTTTTTCTTGGTTTTTATAGCATTTTCGAACCCAAAACCTCCAAAAAGTCAGTGTAACTATATTTGCTTTATATTTCCAACCCCCCAATTCCATCCATTTCTGAAAATTACAGCAAAAGCAAATGATGTATATTCCCTTTAATTTTGGGTGTGGAAAATACCGTATTTAAGAAAACAAAACCTCGTTTCAGCTGTGCCTTGATGAGGTTTTCTAGGTACCTTAAGTTTATTGAGGAAATGAGGTTGTCCAGCTCAATTACACATAATATCAAATACACCTTCCGAGACCAAGGTTGTGGTTAAGCAAATAGGTTTGTTTATCATTCATAAATACCTCAGACAGTTTAGCTATTCCTATTGGTCGAGAGCCCGTCACGTGGCCGGTATTAAACGGATGATAAAGACATGGCTAGCTGGTCTTAAACACTTTTCCAGTGTCACAATACAATGTGGACTCCTAAAAATCCAGTGCCTCTTACCGTTTCATTGGTTGAACGTTCACAATCCTCACGTAGGCATGCGCAACACTACAAGCGAGTCAGAATTTTATAGTTCTAAATTCAAAACGCAACGCCCCAGGTGCGTTCTGCGTGACATCGCGCAGAACATGTTACGCGCGCGTCAATCTCCATAAAAGGGTTGTTTACATCTTACTCGCAAGCCGAACACTCCATTATTTTGCTAGAGGGGTGTTTCAAAAAGCATGAAGTGAACTTGTTGAACAAAATCGGGATTTTTTGAACGAATTATTTGAAATTTTTTTACGGATAAGGTATTTATGAATGGGAATAAATATGTGCTCGGTCGGTATTTATCACTCTGTTTAATACCGCTTAGAGTCTGGGTGCTGATAATTACCCTCGCCTCCGGCTCGGGTAATTATCAGCACCCAGACCCTAAGCGGTATTAAACGAGTGATAAAAACCTCCGGAGCACACATTTATTCCCTTATTTAAAGCTCAAAATGCAACGAAGCCTAGGTTTATCAAATGCCCTTATTCTGCGCTGGGTTCAAGAGAGGGCGCTATAATAATAATAGGAAGTGCGTGTATGGTTCCCGCCTCTACTAGCCTGTTTAATTCTGCCCCAATTTCACGTTTCCTAGCTAATAAGCAACCAAACTACACAATCACGAAGCACAAGAAACGCAAGTGGAGGGATTCCGTTCTGAATTCTTAGGGTTTTTTTCTTTCCGAAATAATATTCAACAAGGGTGAACTGATTTGGTTTGACATTTTTTCCGGAGGTTAAATGAGTGGTGTCGTGATGAACTTAAAGCCCAAGATCGGCTTCGAGGAAGCGCTGAAGGATTCGCCTAATTTCAGGTGAGACCCGAGAATTTTTCATTCGTCGTAACGTTAACGCTATTCATCATTCGTTCAACACGTTCATTGAATTTTTAAGTGGGTGTGACAACTTGGCCGTATTGTACACAATGGGTGATTATTAGTCATTTTACAAAGAACGTCTTTACTCCAAAATATTGTCAGTAACTACTTAACTTATGTGTTTCATTTTTTTCATCACATCAGTTTTGAGTTTTGAATTTGACATGAAAAAAAAAACATTTTCTATTTCGAAGGGGGGGGGGGGCTAATTAACTAGGCCTAACTATACTAGTAGTATGATGTTCCCTAACGAGTAACGTGGCGCACTTAGACGTTTACCCCAACTTTCCTCATGTGGTGCTGCCAAACTTCTTTATTTAGTGAAATACTGCTTCTACTTTTAGTTTTACCGTATTAATGCTTGCTATAAATAATTTAACCTCTGTGAACAATTTCGGTGTCATGAAATTAAATCCGAAATTCAAAAACAGTGGCGTCCGGAAATTGGGCACAAAATTGGCGTGTTCCCTAACGTCAGGTTGTTCCCTAACGTCAGGTTGAATGTGGCGCAGTTGAATAAATCTCGGACAATTTCAAATTTACATTTAGGAATTTCTGTAAAGTTGATAAATATTGATAAACCATTATTGTCTCTTCCGTACTTACATACATTGTAACCAACTAAAAGTTTGTCAGAAAATTATTTTTTTTTATTTTTGGGGGGCATTTTCAAAGGGTTCACTGTGCGCTTCGAAATAAAATTGGTAAATCACGCCAAAATACATTTTTCTTCTAACTTTGTAACGGGCAGATAAACTCACGATTTATGAACGGGAGTGTTTAGAACTTGATGAAATTTCATTGTCTGTGAAATTTCAGTTGAAACTTTTGCTCTCACTAGGCGCTACAGGCAAAAATCAAAGTGCACCACGTTTGGGTACATGTACATCAACAATATTGTACGAAGTGGCTATCGTTTATGGCAATCATAATTGAATTTTCAACTGCTTTCGTTAAGGATTGCGAATGTAGGCCTATAGGCCATAACTACATGTACATTGTACCTGTCCAACCTGAATGCTTTAAGGTAGTTCGACTGGTTACATACAGTTACACTTTAGAGTACTGAGCTGGGGACATACAGTACAGTAGCTTCGAAACCGGTGCCATACTGCTATATTTTTTTTGGACTTTTTTTTTTTTTTTTAAATAGGCCTAGTTGGTTTTACTTTCATGTTTTTTTTATCAAATCATTCTTTTATTTTATGAATCTGGGACTGACAAACATTTCCAGTTTTGTTAGAAAATGGGAAAAAATGTTGCAACCTGACACCACTTCAGCGGTTGTGTACAAACTCTACGGAGTCAAAAAAAGTATTTCCTAACAAAATTGGAAATGTTTCTCAGTCCCAGATTCGTGTCATATCATCATTTTTGCAAAGACTGACCTTCATTGAGATGATAGGTCCTATATCATGTATATGAAGGAAAAAATGGCGTCAGGTTGTAAATTTTTTTCCAAAACATTCACTCCACTCTCCAAATGCACTCCACTCTCCATAGACATTGTACATGAATGTGTACAACCATAGAAGTGGCGCCTGGATTCTAAATTCTTTTCCCTTGAGAGTGGTATTACATGTATTTAAGTTGTTAAAATTTAATGTTTAAAACTTCTTCAATGTGAAAAATACTTAGCAAAACTGGTGTAGCTTACATGTAATTGTTGCCATCTGTTAAATTTGTAATATGTTGTCGGCATAGACAAAGCTTGAGATAATTGGAAGTTGAAGTTATTTTCTTAAATTCCAAATCGTAAAATAAGCCTGTTTGTAAAATGTGGGTGTACTTTTATAGGACAGAGAAATAGAGAGGGTTTAGTAAAAAAATTGGTCCCATCACAGGGGCAATCTTTTTTAAATAAACAAAGTAAACAAGTAAACAGGCCATGGCCAGATATTGACATATTCAGACCTTTTTACCATATTGCTAGTTCAAAGTAAAAGCAGAAGTGCTCAATAATGGGACCAAAAATATACATGTACTTTGCACGTGATAGCTCAGTAGTTGGTAGTGCTACAAATGTAGTTTGAGTAGTTTTTGTGTCTAATTCATGCACTGTAGCCTATACATGTAGAGAGCAGACAAAGATAATCTACATGGTGGTACATGCATTTTCATCATAATTTCTTTAACATATGTAGTCAAACAATCGTTTGTCTAAGTAGGTACTGTACAATAGAAGTACATGTAATAAATCCCTAGATTGTATTGAGTGCGTACAATGCACATGTACATGTACATCATACAGCAATGATAGGGCAAGTTACATTACATACTTTATGTACATGTACATGTACCCGTATATACATACATGTACAATGTACTTCAAGTTCATACAGCAATGATTGGGCAAGATATGTACCGTAATGTACATACTTTATGTACATACTGGATGTCACAATTTACACACAACGAGTTACAATGTACTGGTACGTGTAATCTACTGTACATGTATTTGTATCCCCCAAAAAATTGTGTAGCAAATGTCCTAACTATAAAAAATATGCATATAAAGTACACGTACATGTACATGTAGTAAAGTCACGTACATGTACATGTGCAAGTACTGTACATGTGTGTAGTTTGACACTACTGACAGTGTACATGGTGTAGTGTAGTGTAGGCCTACCCATTAGATCTGCCTGTGTTTTCCTACGTCCCTGGTACATTGTACGCATGTACGCATGACCGCATGTAAAACAAGCTCAACTTGATCTTGGAAGCTGCAGGCCAACGGATTTGTGATCGTGCCATGTAATATCTGGAAGGAGTAGTGTTTTGAGTACAAAAATCAGGTTTTTGACACTTGTGACCCCATTTTGACCTTTAATGGTCAGTGGAAAAGTGACACAAAAGAGGGCCAAGTCCTGAGGGACGAGTTGATGTACAAAATGTATAGCCATGCAAGCCTGCACTAGAACATTTGTTACTAACTAACTAACTAACTAACAGAGACATGACGATTTGTTGAGCTGCTGCTGTCCGCAGCTAAAAATGTACAGTGTACAAATGCACTGTGCATGTTTGAATGCATGTGAACAGTGCCAGCATATTGCCCATTACTTGTCAAAAATAGCTGGCAGGGAATGCATTGCTAGTGCTCGCCGGATGAAGCTTGCCGCTGTTTTTCCTTCCTGTGTGGATATTTATTGATGTGTGGAGGGCACAGTGCAGTCTGCCAAAAGGAAACATTGGATATATTTTGCAGAGCCTATTACAGTAGTCATAAATTCAATACAAACATTGTACTTTTAACCCTCCTATGCAAACATACACTCTGTGCAAAGTTGTCCTAATCAGTCAAGTGACTGTTTTTAACAGTTAAAGGGAATATACAACATTTGCAAACGTCAAAAAATAAAACTACCAAGTTTTACGAAATACCTTACTAGGATGTTGGTAAAAGACAGTCTAAAGCATCCTGTAAAATTATGGCACCTAGTGTGAAGTCATTTTCAAGAAAATGGTATTTTTGTATACATTTCCAACGGTGGTCGGCCGACCACCGTTGGAAAAACCTAACTATTATTCAACTACTGCTCCAACTTCACACTTTTTTCAGTCCAAATTTTATGTGCTATTTGTTACATGTTCATGAACGGGTGCAGGCCAGCTAGACTGGTTTCCTTACCTTACAATTTTCCGACATCTATATAAATTGATCCAATTTATCTTTAGTGGAGTCAAGGAACCAGACTACTTGAACATTTTTGTTTTTCTTGGTTTTTCTAGCATTTTCGAACACAAAACTTCAAACATGTCAGTGTAACAATATTTGATCTGTTATACTAACCCCTTCAATAGTTCATTTCTGAAAATTACAGCAAAAGCCAATGATGTACATTCCCTTTAAGAGCCCCCAGCCCACATAAAGCAGGATTGACTGGCTGTGACTGTTTAATTAACTTGATACCGAGTATGCTTTGACTGTGATTGGTAAGCCAGCTGTGCCTACCACTTGGCTGCTTTTGTCTGTTGACTGAATTTGACTGTCACAGTGCTTGCTTGTAATTATATGATCTGACTGTTGGTGACTGGCCTGTGTAAAAGGCATGGCAGGGGAAGAGGGTTGATTTTTTGACTGTCTGTGACTGTTCAGATAGCAGGAGGGTTACATTTTAAAATGTGACGTGCACACTTTCAAACTTTAAAACGGGAAAACAATTTTAATCTGTTAATTTTCCAAAATGTTTAAATGAAACCCAAATTATAAAAAAGGGACCTAAATAATTAACAATGTTTTCAAACAATTTGCAAAATCTTAGATGCACTGCAGTACTTGATTACATTTGGGGTTCTCGTAGAACAAAGTTTTCACTTTTTTAATGACTGCCCGCTATTTATTATGTCAATCATTGTTGATTTTATCATGTCAATCACGCCGGTCGGCAGACATAATGGCCAGGCGTCAGCCTTTGTGAAATGGCAAAATGAAAAACATTTAATTAAATGGCAGGCCTATTTAAAATGTTTGCTAAATGTTAACAAAATTAAAAGCAAAGTCACATCCTCAGTACATTTTCAATGAGTGTAAACATTTACATACACAATTTCTTATTTAAAAATTTGCGACAATGAAACTCACTGTTGAAACCCATTGTACATTGTATGTCTAGACCTGCTCCCACAAAATGAGGGTTAAGCCCGCCCAATCATATATATACATGTAAATTTCTCAATTTAGAAAAAAAGAGCTCTGAAATTGTTAAAACATGTGTACATGTACATGTACATTTTGTGTATCTGTAGTCCAAATTTTTTGGTTGTGAAGGTCTTGTAAATTGTACTAGGATGACCTGAAGACTAGAATTAACCCTCATTTTGTAAATACATGTAGCATGTCAAATGATATGGCTTTTGAACACTCTGTAGTTGAGTCTGTGTTTGTGTCGGAAGAGTTGAACTCCCATGTGGTGAACCTAGTCATTTTCCCCCGTAATTGGTTATTTGATGGAAATATGTTTTCCCCGGAATTGATGTTACTAAGTGACTGCACAGAAAATGTCGACACACACAGTATGACTCGGGGAAACCAACTTGACCCTAGGATGTTGGTTGACGACTGCGGAAAACTTATTTTCGCTGAAACGAGATGATTTCCTTTTTGCAATGCAGACTAGTGAACTAGACTCTTTATCTAATCCGCCGGCCTTTTCACAGTGCGGATAGAATTTGTACGGTACTTTGTAGCATGTAGCAGCGAATAAAAAAAAGACAGAGACTGATTAACGTTATCAACCCTCCTGCTATTTAAGCAGTCACAGACAGTCGAAATTCACTTCCACTTCCCCTGCTGTAATTTTAACAAAGGCTAGTCACCAGCAGTCAGGTCATATGTTATTTAAAGCAAGCACTGTGACTAGTCAAACAGACAAAACAGCCAAGTTGTGGTCACAGATGTTTTATCACTCACCAATTACAGTAAGTTTGTCTCGCCAGGGACTACATGTACTAGGAATGGTTTTGGCTATTCCGCCACTGTTTTTACTCGCATATTAGCAAGTGGACTACCGACTATAAAAGGTTGAACCCCCAAATTAACTCGGGATTCAATTGAGTGCAATATGGTAAACAAGGTAAAGTGTTTTTCAGTTTGGCCTACTAATCTAACAAACAGATGAATCATGTCCCTTTAATAAAAGTTATCTACTACACACATTTCAAATCACAACCAAAGACTAATTCAACTTGAAACAAAAGTAGGACTGAATTTAAAATAGGAGAAAATGTAAACAAGATTGTGACAAAATTAGATTTTTCTAAATTCACACAGGTCTGTTTTTCATTGTACATTTTGTACATGTAAAAAGATTCAACTTTGTATGAAAGATTTGCTCTTAATTTTGATCCCATCACTGTAAATTTAGATTTTCAAATTTACATATTCAGTGTGAGCATTTAAAATTCTGTCTTCATTTAAGTACAGTGTAGAAAACATAATTTTGAAGCGATTATATTGCTCTTGATTTTAATAACTGTATTCAAATGAAAGTAAAACTGCCCTATTAGATACACAAAAAATGCATGTGATGATTAGTTTTTGATCTGAAACTGATCCAACGACCCCATTTGTATATTTATCATGTCCATATCCAATTTACAAGCTTACATTTATTACCTCCGCTTATTTACTTTCTATTCATAAAAACCTGTACCTGAAACACTGGACCCATTCCTATTGTTTAATAGAGCCCTTCACTTGGGTGGTTTTAAACAGTTGATCAACTTGATAAAACACCGGCTGGCTGGTGTTAAACACTTTCGAGGTGTCACATGAAATTTGGACTCCTATGAAATCTGATCCCTTTAGCCCTTTTATTGGTTGAGCGTTCACAATCTTCATGTAGGCGTATGCAAAACTACCAATGAGTCCGTATTTTGAGAGTGCTAAATTCACACTACACCGGCACTGTTGCATTCTGTGCCACTCGCGCAGTGCACGCCATGCACGTGCCAATCTCCATAAGGAAATGTTTATGCTACTTGCGCGAGGCACATACCATAAACATAGCTACATGTAGAGGGGTGTTTCACAAAACATGAAGTTATATTGTTAAATAAAACTGTTCGAAATTTATAATTGTGGACTTGTTTTGACTTTTTGACCCAAAGGGTATTTGTGAATGGGAATAATATGTTCCTGGCCAGTATTAAACATATTCATTTAAAACCGGCTTTGGGCCTGGTCGCGAATTGTTTTTTCCCCAAAGACATCCATTTCCCATCTTCTGATTGGTTCATTACATGCATATCTAATACCTTGTTCTCCACAACACAAACTCAAGATAGGCTTTACATCTTGTGAGAAATGTTCCTTCCTCACTTTAGTTATTTAATTGAAAGGTAAAATGAGAAGAAGTGAAAAACGCTCACTGGGATTCAAACTCGGATCACCTGATTAGAAGTCAGGAAACCAGTCCAGTCCTTCAAACCAGTCCACAAATGAGCTGCTAATCGTTGGTGATTTAAACACCATTATTCCATGTTATATACATTATTCTCTTAAGCCCTGGACATCACAAATATGCATAACGCAGAGAGAGAGCGCCCTCTCTTGATATTGTCGGATCTCGTTTGGGAAAAAATAATTCGCGGCCTGGTTGCTGGTAATGTTCCTATGCAGTGTCCAATCCCCAAGCTGGTCTTAAACAGACTTGTTTAAATTCGGCCCAGCACATTCCCTTTATTAACCCTAACCCCCTAGGCCCTTGTTGCTTACAACCATCCTCAATCCTCCAAAATCCTCCAAAATTTTGCAACTCCGCCTACATTTTTCAAAATTGTCAGACAGTCCTGCCTCAAAATGCATTCATCCTCAATCCTCCTCAATCCTCCTCATCCCAAAACTTTGCACTCGTGTTTAAATGAAGGATAACCAACGCCAAATCCTTCAAAATCATCAGACAGTCCTGCCTCAAAATGCATTCATCCTCAATCCTCCAAAATCCTCTTGCGCTTCATTCACCATTCATCCTCAATCCTCCAAAATCCTCATGTGCTTCAATCACCATACATACTCAATCCTCCAGAATCCTCATTTGATTCAATCACCATTCATCCTCAATCCTCTAGAATCCTCCAAAACCGCCAGGAGGATTTTGGAGGAGTGAGGTGGGTTTAGGGTTAATTGTTTGTGGAAATGTGTTAACTTCGAACTTTTTCTGATTCTGCAGGTCTACTCTGGAAGAGTCTGAACATGGCATTGCAGACCTCGAAAGCAAACTGGAAAAGGTAATAATTCTTTTGTATAAAATGATCTTGAAAGCGTATTCCCTGAACCATGAATTTCTTCAAGGATTCGCGAAGATTCGTTGGAAAAAACAAGGGCCGTTGCCTGGTGGTCTGGAGCATTGAATTTGTAGTCTGCGGGTAATCCTGCAGGTTGTGGGTTCGAGTCCAGCCTGGGGTTATGGTGCGTGTGCCCTTAGGCAAGGCACTTTGTCACTCGTTGCTTGTCTCCACCCAGGAGTAAATTGGGTACCTGTGAGGGCAGAGATGGTTATTGTGGTTCATTAATAGCACCGAAATGGTGACTTGGAGCTGTATACTCCCCAGGGAGCTGAGATTGTCTTTGGAATGTTTCATTGGCCCAATGGTGCGTGCGCCCAATGGTGCGTGCGCCCTTGGGCAAGGCACTTAGCCACTCATTGCGTCTTTCTACCCAGGAGTAAATGGGTACCTGTGAGGGCAGAGATGGTTAATGTGATTGATTTTAGCTGCTTTGTGCCAAAATGGCAGCATGGAGCTGTATACTCCCCAGGGAGCTGAGATGGTATTCAGAACGTTTCATTGGCCCAATGAGCAGAGTAATGTCGATGTAGCGCCTTGAGCAATAATATTGGTGGTAGATAAGTGCACTTTGTTATTACACATTATTATTATTATTAGCAAGTTAGATTTCTGATTAAAAGTTACACTTTCCCTTTTGGCTGGTGTGTGGGGTCGCATAAAATTTGTATGTTCACATATCAGACGTTGGTTACGGAGTGGGCTCCGTTGAACAACGGATTGGTACTCAGACTAAGGCTGGCCGGCCTTATCTGCGACCAACCTAAATACCAGGGAAGATTGTATGAAATTTTTAATGAATTTGTTTCCTTTTCAGATGGTTAAACTGTGCAACACAATGGTGGACGCGGGGAAGGCCTACAATAATGCATTCAGGTAGGATCAGTTTTGTGTGTGTCGTGTATAAGTTAACCCTAGAACCTTCCCAAATCCTCCAAAATCATCTTTGCAAAATGGAGGATTTTAAGGCTACGATATGGCAAAAATGTGTGGCTGATTTCGGAGGATGCACTGTGTCAAGGTCTTGGAGACGTTAAAAAATCTTAAAAATAGGATCTTTTTGGGGTGGAATTTCATCTTGTTTCATTTTTCCCAAGACACACTTGGCGCTTGAAATGTATTTAATACTAGTTCTGTGTTTTATTTGCAGTGCTTTCATCCAAGGAGTGAAGGAGCTAGGGGGTCATTTCACAGGAGACAACTTAGTCCAGGTGAGGGAACCCCTTAAGTTCTTGTCTTTTTACTCACAGATGACAAACGCAATTTGTATCGAGGTTTCAGAAAGAAATGCTTTCAATTTGAATATTTAGATAGAGTGCAGTCGCGTTGATGGTAGCAAATAAAATGGGCGGGGCCTGTTACTGAAAAGAAGGAGGGGCATATAGCCTTATGGCCATTCTTCAGAAATTGAATCTAAATTAACTTTTGGGGGAAAAAAGGTTTTTTTATGTGATGTAAGAAAAATGATTATTGTTCACTAAAGTGTTGCTAGTAAGTAAAGATGCAAATTTCTTAAGATGATTCATAAGTTGGTCTTTCTATGCATAAATTAGCATAATTTTAATTACAAAATGTCACACATATGACCGATCAAAACGTCACACACGTGACCACCGAACAATTCCTATTTAGCAAAACTAAAGCAGAGGGTGTACATTGTTTATGCATTCTGTAAATCACAAAAAATTTGTCTCACTCCAAAATCAGTATGGGTGTGTCCTTAGAACTTAAGAGAAAAGTGTGATTTCCGATATGGGCCCGATGACATTTTTACGTCTTATATCACACGCATGATCAAACTTTGAAGACCCCTCGTAATATTTTGACACAATTTGTGAAATTAGAAACTATACTCTGAGGTAGGGAGTAAAAAGTACTAACCTGATGAATCAGTGAAAGTCATATGTCAGATGTAGTTAACAAGGGGTAAAGTTTCAAAAATCAGACGAGCCCAATTTTATGTCACGTGACAAAAAATGGCCCCTCAGTGTTTTTAATGATGCAAGAATGATTAAAATGTTTGCCACGTGATTAACTGCAAAATTTCCTGATTTTTTTTTCTTCTGTTTGTAGGTGTACTTGATGAAATTTATTCATGCCCTGTCTGAGCTACAAGGCTTCCGAGCTGTAAGTGTTTACTTGTTCCGTTTATTTACTTGTTTATTTACTTGTTTACTTGTAATGTCTTATACTTAGTCAAATTTTCATCATAGATTTTTACAATCGAATGGGGTGATCTTGGGAAGTGTGTCACATGGGAGATTTTAGTCTCGAAACAATTTCAAAATGTGGCAGCATTAATAGAGTTTGTTAGCATTTGTCGGATCTTGAAAAAGTGGATCCTGGTTACTATGGTTACAAAACTGAATAAATAACCCTCCTTTTGTTTGATTAGTCGCAGACAGTCAAAAATTCGATCCTGTTCCCTGCCATGCCTTTTACACAGGCTAGTCACCAACAGTCAGATCGTATTTCTTGTAGGCACTGTGACAGTCAAATTCCATCAACAGACAAAAGCAGGTGACTGCTAGGCACAGCTGGCTTATCAATCTCCTACAGTCAAAGCAAAGCTACATCAGGTTGCATAGCAGTCACAGTCAGTCAATCCTGTTTTATGAGGGCTGCACCCGATTTTACGAAACTGATTGTAACTTACATCCCTACGATGCATCGCAGCTTGATCCTGCGATTCATTTCACAAAATGGGTCGTAAGTGCGACGCGTTGTAGGTGTATTTATAGCACAACACGATGACTGTTGTGTGTATTTATTCAGCGTACAGTGAAATAGTCGTCTGATATTCAACAAAGTTTTCAAAATGTAGAACAAAATGGCGGACATGTGAGGCAGTGTTAAAGGAAAACAACTCACGATGGACTGTATAGCTTCTTTGAAATTTCAACTGCAATATTCCAGGCTAATTCATAATTACTTCGATGCGTCTTCCATTTACAACTTTACACTCTCTGTCTCAGTATTAAAGAGGTTGTGGAATGCTCGAAGACATTTCCGTCATTTTTCGGGTATATGTAGCCTAAGGTGTGATGAAATAAAAACGACTATTGTGTCTGTCATGAATTGAGTACAAAGGGTACTTTTGAGAGCTGTTTTTCAAGTCCTGTCATGCCCGTTTCGACCCGAAGGTGCAATTTGTGTAAAAGTCGTCGTTGCGGGCAGCCAACAAAACACAGTAAATCGTGACATAATAAACAGGACTCCCGATGCAGAGTAGCATAAACGAGTCCTGTTTATTACGTCACGATTTACTGTGTTTTGTTGGCTGCCCGCAACGACGACTTTTACACAAATTGCACGTTCAGGTCGAAACAGGACCTGAAAAATAGCTCTCAAAAGTGCCCTTTGTACTCATTTCATGACGGACACAATAGTCGTTTTTATTTCATCACACCTTAGGCTACATATACCCAAAAAATGACGGAAATGTCTTCGAGCATTCCACAACCTCTTTAAAGTCTCGTTTATGTATTTGTTATGGCATAAAACTGGCTAAGAAAAGGACTCTTCTTATTTTGCGATGACCACTAGACACGTCATAACTTGCGTTGTGTTTTAAGTCGCAAGTTTCGTGAAATGGATCATACGACGCGTCGCGAGTTGCGACGTGTTACACGTCGTAACTCTTGCATCCGATTTCAGTTAATGAAAGTGCATCAGATTTGATTTAATATTAGGAAATTACGTGTACTTCATGCAAACCAAAACTAAAACTAACATGTTTATTTGCTTGAGTTTAGCAAACTCAAAAACAGGAAACTACGGATTAATATTAAATGGGCTGTAATGTAAAAGTGAAAATTGACAAAGATATTACAAGTTTTTCATTCGTGATATATGTACGTCATTGGGTACTGAAACTCCATTAAGTAAAGTTTTTTTTATATACAATTCAATTAAAATGAAAACAATTTACACACATCCCTATGTGATTTGTTTCATTTTGCTGAAAGAACACTTAATTTTTTGTGATCCGTGGACAGAAGTTTGAAACGGTGTTTGTGTTTCAAATTCCGTAACTTGAAAATTACATGAGTGATTTGAATGATTCTTGTACTAAAAGAAAGCTTATGAATTGGGCTTTCATATCCTAGATTTTGAAAGTGCTACATGCAGAACTTCACTAAAACAATGGTCCTGACATTTGGGTTTCGTTTTTTTTTACTCACCCGGTATTTTATTGAAGTATGTTTTATTTCTAACAATGTTTGACAGTTGAGGTTTTACTTTAAACTGAAAAATTAATTAATAATGACACAAAATTTTTTTTGAGTAAGTCCGACACCGTGGTGTTTTTAGCAATTTCTACTACAGCAAAATAGTTGATGAATAATTTCTTTCACAAGATGGCGTCCAAATTGTCCTCACTCAACGTCAAGTGGACTTTATCCGATTGCACTTGATGCAAAGTGCCATATGTCATATTCTAATGTTTCCTGAAATGTTTTGTTTGAACCGTTGACTGTTGTTCTTCACTTACAGATGTTGGACGACCAGGCGCACAGATCCGTTTCAAGAGCTCTGGGATTGTTCATGAAAGAGTAAGTCATTGGATAACGCAAAGCAACCAGGCTTGTCTAGTTGAGTATTGGCCTGAAAGTCCAAGTTTAGAACAGTGTGTGTATTTGTGATTAACTTGCAATAGCTTTTTGATTTTATTCATGGCTATTAACCCTAAGGTTGCAGGCCAGTAAATCGGTCCAAAATCGCCTACGCTGGCCAAATCACGATTTGTATGCCCTCAAATTCTTCATTATTTGAGCACATTGAGGGCCATGAACTTGAGGGTTTGTAAAAATATGGGTGGAAGCCGTGCACAGGACTGTGAGCTTGTAGTTCTGTACAATTTGGATGAAATCGGAGCCCTAAAAGTGCTCTATTTTGCAATGGAGCGTAGGCGTCATTTTTCAAAATGGCAATGGGCTTCAGGACCATTTTAAGGGGTGATCATCTTCGGATGGAAATTTCTCCTAAAAGTCATCAGTTAACCCCCGAAAATTAATAAGAAAATGAAAGATGATGAAATAAGCTTTAATTTGATGTGTGTCCCGAATACCTTGGAGAGTTGTGAGTATTTTTCCTGAATGTTTGAAGTGGGGGCATTTGTCATTGGGGTCTATGGAAGTTTATTTACTGGTCTGCAACCTTAACTCCCTACTGAGTTTAATTAAGAACAGTACCAGGTCCACCAAAACTAATCACTGACTCTGCTTCACATAATGCTTCAGGACCAAATCCACTGAAATCCACCACAAATCAGCCACTGCTATACCAATAGGTGGATTTTGATGGACTTGGTACTCATGGCTTGTCTGCCCAAATCTCCCAAAAAGAGGGGATGGAATTTGTTGGAGTTTGGAAGGTTAGGGTTAGGGCCTAATACATGTAAATTGTGATGATGTTTGATTAGTTGTTAGAACTTGTGATTGACTTGTGATTATTTGTGATGATTTGTGAGGACTCATGATGGACTTGTGATATGACTTGTGATTGACTTATGATTACTTGTGATTGATTTGTGATGACTTGTGATGACTTGTGATTGACTTGTGATGACTTGTGATGACTTTTGATTGACTTGTGATTGACTTGTGATTACTTGTGATTGACTTGTGATTGACTTGTGATGACTTTTGATTGACTTGTGATGACTTGTGATTACTTGTGATTTACTTGTGATGACTTGTGATTGACTTGTGATTGACTTGTGATTGACTTGTGATTGACTTGTGATGACTTGTGATTGACTTGTGATTGACTTATGATTACTTGTGATTGACTTGTGATGACTTGTGATGACTTTTGATTGACTTGTGATTGACTTATGATTACCTTATGATGACTTGTGATAACTTGTGATTGACTTGTGATTGACTTGTGATTGACTTGTGATGACTTGTGATGACTTTTGATTGACTTGTGATTGACTTGTGATTGACTTGTGATGACTCGTGATTGACTTGTGATTGACTTGTGATTGACTTGTGATGACTTGTGATGACTTTTGATTGACTTGTGATTGACTTATGATTACTTGTGATTGACTTGTGATGACTTGATTGACTTGTGACTGACTTATGATTACTTGTGATTGACTTTGATTTATCATACTTGTGATTGACTTGTATTTTCTTGTAATAACCTTTGATTTTGTCATGGTTGTTAAAACATGTAAATCGTGATGACTATTGATAACTTGTTATAACTTGCGATTGAATTGCGATGACTTGTGATTGAATTGTGATTGAATTGTAATAAAGTGCGATTGAATTGTGATGGATTGGGATTGAGTTGTGATTGACTTGTAATGATGTGTGATGACTTACGATTGACTTATGATTGACATCATGGTAATTCAACGTAAACGTAACTTTAATCTGTTAAACAATCACAGAGATCTGAAGAAAGTCAAGGAGACGAAGCGAGTCTACGACCGCATCAGTGATGATCTCGACAACGCCCTCCACAAGAACGCCCAGGCACCCAAAGCGAAACCCGGTGGCGGTGACAACGAAGAAGTCAATAATGTCTTGACGGCCACCCGCTCAGCTTTCGGCCACACAGCACTAGATTATGTCTTTCAGGTAAGACAGAATTACAACACTTGGAAAAAAAATGTCAGTTCCTCATCTGGGACAGGCAAGGTCATGTCACAGTGGAAGACATTTTGGTAAAAACCACAAATGGAAACAGACTCGGACACTAGGTGCAATCTAATTTTAAACTTTGGAATTAATGAGAGTTGGGTTTGAACCTGCGACCTCCGGATTGCCGTTCCAGTGCCCTACCAACTGAGCTATCCAGCCCTTTATTGGAGGCTTCCCATTTTGTCAATGTCTTTGTTCAAGGGGCGCTAGTCAAAAGCTAGTCCGTGGAAAAAATATAGACTTAAAAGAATTGACCTATCGCGTTAGAATCACGTTAGAATTGCGTCAACGCAGCTTGTGAAATATTGTCGAATTACATGATAAACAAATGGACGTGGAACACGCAAAATCTTCACGCAAAACAAACTTCAGTGTACACAAATTCCTTAGGGTTGTCTAAGGAGTGTGGCTAACTCGCAAACGGCGATAGGTCAATTCATCTTTTGATAACGAATTCAGCATTTCATGGAAATTTTTCAGTACAGTGTGTATGCATGGAAAGAGATACATGTACATTAAATAATTTCTGTAACCATTTTCGATACAGCTTTGGGCAGTTTTGTTTATTACAATTGTGTGAGATATCATTTGAAAGAAATTTTGTTTAATCATTTCCTGATGACACTGCCACATGACACACACAAACGAAAAGGAAAACAGATTGAAACGGAGTTTAGAATTTCCTAATAGTGAAAACAGACGTATTTAGAATGGAATATTAGTGGCCTTATTATCACATTCCTTCACACAATATGTTAGATATGTTAGTCTTGTGTAATTTTAAAATTGTCCATTTTTCATTTTCAGGTCAAATTGGTACAGTCCAAGGAAAGACACGAAGTACTAAACACGGTAAGTAGTCATTCAATTAACTGTAAAAATAAAATAAATAAAAACAAATGAGCTTCAGTCAGATTGCTCTATGGTTAGTGGTAGTAATTTAAAATATACATGTAGAAGGATTTTTTCTTTAATTGCATTGGAACAAGCACTGAAAAACTATGAAGATTGGCGTTGGAATGGGTCAGTTCCATCAATTCAATAAAAAAAATTATGTTAGGCCAAAAAAAAAATAGTTGGTCTCTGGTCAGCGCGCACGTCGATTTTAATCATGCGCGTCAACTTTTTTTTTCCTTCAAATTTACCACGGAAGCTACAACAGGGCCCTCTATTGCCGCACCTCCTCAAATTTTTGTACCAAGGAGCACCAAGGAATGGGGAAATTGCGTCCAGGCAAATAATGGAGGGCACCAAGGCAAATTATGGAGGACACTAATGTATATGAGGACACAAAAAAGCAAAATTGTACCCACCTTGTCTGTACAATTCAAATTTGAAAAAAAAAACCAACGCGTTGCCGCATCAATTCCGGAACTTCGGTCTGACCAGAGACCTTTTTTCCTTACAAACTGTAACTAAAAACTTTTATTTTTTGTTTAACAGTTTTTGTGTAATACAGGGTGTCCCCAAAAAACTGAACCCTGGCTTTTCAACGGGCGGTTTCTTTTGAGGTTTTACATTGGGGGAGACCGAAAATTCCAGCAAACGCAGAGCACAAAGCGACACCACTTGGCATTTCGCGATGTTTTTGAGTCACAAACACATGTTGCCGCCGACTTTTAATTTATTTCACAGCAAACGTCAATCACAAAGTAAAAGCACAAACAGGGGATTTCTTTCGACGATTAATCTGATGCATTTTCTATATTTTCGATATCATTCCTCAATATCGAAAATTGTGATATATCGATATGATTAAAAAATTGCTATCGGCGATATCGATATCAAAATAATATGGAATGATCGAGTAATATCGATATATCGACAGTGCTTAACTACAGATTGCATCAAAGACTAAATATTTTTAACAAAAATATTTGTTTCAGATTTAGCTATAATTTTTTTGGTTTTTATGTAGATTTTGGTTTATTTTCTTTTGTCAGATGCTTTCATTCATGCACTCCCAGTTTACCTTCTTCCATCAAGGCTTTGACCTCATGAAAGACCTACAACCCTCTCTCAAAGAACTAGGAACACAGGTAGGTGCTTGTCTAAAGGCCTGTGTCACTAGGCAGGATACTTTACCTTGATTTCTTCTTCCATCAAGGCTTCGACCTCATAAAAGACTTACAACCCTCTCTCAAAGAACTAGGAACACAGGTAGGTGCTTGGAAAGGCTGTGTCACTAGGCAAGATACTTTACCTTGATTTCTTCTTCCATCAAGGCTTTGACCTCATGAAGGATTTACAACCCTCCCTCAAAGAACTAGGAACACAGGTAGGTGCTTGGAAAGGCCTGTGTCACTAGGCAGGCTAATTTACCTTGATTTTTATCTACAAATACACTAAATTAAATGTCATTCAAATTCTGCTCCACACTTTGTTGATAGGACAAAGGAATTTAAGCTTCCAGTACGAAAACATTTTGAGTTTAAAAATCCATTTATGAACGAAGTCATTTTTAAAGATGCCATTTCTGGGGAATAAGAGCAGTGAATGCAACATAAACTTACAATAGTAAGTATCTTTGCAATACTATGTTTCATATTAAGATACAAGGAATATTGTTAACTGGTTCCTGACATCAGCAGTCGGGTACTCGAGAACCCGCTTCCAATGCACAGCCCTAGAAAAATTGCATCATTACAGGCCTTCACTTGCTCAAAAAAGTGGTGCAAGTCAGTAAATTCCAAAGCCATAGGTTGACCAATAAGCTTAGTGGTAAGGTATTTGCTGGGTTCAGTAAAATCCTGCGGTCGGTGAGATTACTCGCGGTTCTGTCAGAGTATAATATGATGACAAGCCCACTGACCACCTGTTTCCTGTACTTCTTGGATCTGCATTGTACAGTTGTCACCTTTGTCAGTAATGGACCATTCCTGATTTGGCTGTAAGCCCCGCCTTTTGTTGTCACCTGACAAAAGGTCCTGATCTGATTGGTCAGTGCATACTGTTTGACAGGCAGGAAGGATCCATTGTTAGTTTATGGGTAATAGCTATGTAACCTGTTCTCTTTAGTCAAGTCCTCTAGTTATTTTGAGTGGAAAGCACTAATAATATGATATTTGAAAGTGCTGTTAGAGCTTGAATTTTAAAGACAACTAGAAACAGACCCCTTAATAATAAAAGTAAATGGAGCATTTATAAAGCGCTTTTAACAAAGATCAAAGCGCTGTATAAAACTGCAAATAAACAAGAAAAAGTAACCAAAAAGAGAAGAAAACCAGGGGATAACGAGAGGTAAATATGGGGCTAATTTGATTTAAAGAAACGGATGTGTTTTGAGCAATTTCTTGAAATTGACGACCTACGGATTTAATGAGAAGAATCTTCCTCAAAGTGAAGATAGGGACGGCACTAAATACCCTGTGAATTATTCTGCCTGAAATGGTATTTTTCAGAAGGACACAATTATTGAATGCAATTTAGAATGTGCCACAGGCAATTTTTTGGTAAAAAAAAAAAATGTGAACCAGCCAACCAATCCCAGCAAGCTCCTATAGAATAACTCATGTGTATTTCCCAGTTGGCAGTAATTTGTTGTAAACACATCCAGGAAAGCGTAGGCCTGCCGCATACCAACTAATTACCATTAAGGAAGCTGCTCCCAACAAGTCGGTTACCAACCGCCCACAAGACGGTTTACACCCCCTTCCTCACCCCCCCCCCTCACGCAAGTGTGTATTTCCTGCAATCGGGGACCCCCTATTGTCCCTCTTTTGTTCGTACTCTTTTTAGGAAGACCTCCCACATGTTTTGTACAAGAATCCAAATTGGGGACCTCTCGGGAATTGGGGACCCTATTGTCCTCTATTGCAGAAACAAACTTGCCGCCCCCCTTACCAACCCCCTCACCACCCCCCCCCTCCCCCTCACCCCCCCCCCCCCTCCCCCTCACCCCCCCCCCCCCTCCCCCAGCCCCTTATCAGAGTTGTTGGCACATCGGGTTCAGTGCAGCGAGATACCTTGCGTCAGTGGTTAATTGAATCACAGTACATCCTGTTGCTTGCAAGCTGCACGCATCGCTCTTGAAGATTGTGTACAGTCAGTCCAGACAAAAAGCGTTGGAGAAAAGCAACTGTCAATTCTGACATCACAACCGTCTTAACTGCACAAAACTCAATGTCACAAACTTACCACCGATTTCTGTAGATATAAATCTGCTAAAAAAATGGAGCAAGGCTTTTACGGATGTTGAGTCATCGATTGATAAGAAAACTCTTAATTTGAAAAAAATTGGCGACAAACTTTGGAGTTGTTTTGTTTTTCGGTCGTCTGGCAAAGTTCTGCAGTGTTCTTGAGCGGTGAGTCAACATGGCCGTCTGGTACGCGGAGGTAAGAAGTCCCTGGTGATGTTTGACATTTTTCAGGATCCAGGGTGTGAGCGTTTTCTTGTCACAATGACTACGGGGGGCAGGAAGCTTGGGACTTGTATTTGACATGACAATCAGTAGTTGTAAGATGATGTACATGTTCATGTACATGTTCTTCAGAACTAGAAATTTTACTTCCTGACTTTAGTAAATTTTTCATTTCTGACTGTCTAGTTCCCTGTCTCATTTCTTTTACAGCTGCAGATTCTCAATGACCGAGCCAAGGCAGACAAGAAGGACATGGAGGGGCGCCACCCTTTAGTCCAAAAAATGGTGAATTTGCTTTTTCCTTGAAATGAAAAAAACAATTATATTTCCTCTGAAAAGGGAACAATTTCATTTGCCTTGTAATAAGAGTGTTAATGGCAATTGTTAAATTCATTGTAAAAACAATGTTCTGTTAGTAATTGCTATTCAAACACAAAAACAATTGTTGTAACATTACTTTGTCGTTACTTTGTTGTAATGTCAAGGTTCGACTTTAGGAGTAGCCCGCTAGCCAAATGCTAGTCAAAACAGCGGCGGGCTAGTCAAACTATTCCTTAAGTAGCCCGGCTGGCGAGTAAAAAATTGTTGGGCTATGGCAAAGATGAAAGGATAGGAAGAAATAAATCATTAAATTCAGACAGCAAACCAGTATCAATCTGTGTCTAATGTTATTAACTCTTTAGGGTTAAATTATTAGATCTGTTTATTAAAAACACTGACAAGATTGCTTCAGGATACACGTTTTACATGTATGCACACTGTTGCTTATGAGACACTCTTTAAAAGAAAAACATGCGGGCTAGTGAAAATGCCCGCGGGTTAGTTAAGAGTCTGTTCCAGTAGCCCGTCCGGCTAGTGATAAAAAAAAGTTAAGGTCGAACCCTGAATGTATTCTTTATACTCTAAACTGTCTTCGTTTCCTTTTTTTTTTTGGAAGGAGTCCCTCTGGAACGTTACCTTCACCCCTTCTGCTGGCCCCATCACAATGGAAGGCTACCTGTTCAAGAAGACCAACAATGCATTCAAGACATGGCACCGGTTCGTACCATCATCAACATAGGGGAGGCATGACTTAACCAAAAATAAAAATATTAATGAGAAGTGTTTCTCAACCGTCCTATGCAAACATACATTCTGTGCCAAAAGTCTTTGCAGTCAAAATAAATCAAGCAACTGTTTTCAACAGTTAAGAATTTCCAGCCTACGTAAAGCAGGATTGACTGGCAGTGACTGTTTATGTAACCTGATACAGCTATGCTTTGACTCCGGGTAATTGATAAAACAGCTGTGACCACAACTTGCCTGCTTTGTCTGTTGACCCAGTTTGACTAGTCACAGTGCTTGTTTGACAAATGATCTGACTGCTGGTGACTAGCCTATGTTAAAAGTATAGCAGGGGAAGTGGATGGATATTTTGACTGTCTGTGACTGTTTAAATAGCAGGGATAAAGTAATTGTATAATTTGCCATTTGAGATTCGAAATCCTTGTTATGTTGTCACTCACATCAAATTCACGATACTGTTTTCCGACAGGCGATGGTTTACTGTGAAGAATGACCAACTAGTCTACCAGAAAAGAACGAAGGTAAGAAGCAGATCAAATCAAAGTTACATTTGAAGTAACTTTTTAACAGAAACTTTTAACTTGTATAATTAGAATGATGACCCTCCGACAGCTTGATTTTGGAAGACCAAAATTGTGTACCCCGAGATTCATTGTCCGATGATTGTACTGAAACTGTACATTTTCAATGAATAGTTGTGTGATAAAAAAATGCTTCGAGAGGTAATCTATGAAGTATTCTATTTTTCCAGAAGCAAAGCCCAGGGAAAATAGAATGCTCCATGGATCACCGAGAGATCACCACAAGATAAAGCAGTCAATATTTGTTTTGTAACACCTCTCCCACAATTTCTGCCTGATTTTATGCGATAAATGATTATTTTATCTAAATACAATTAAAATGTACTTCAATTTGAATATGAGATTAGTTGAAATTTTACTTGCACTTTTCCAAAGTACCCCTTCACGAAATGTTTGAACCCAGCTCTGTAGCGCTAGCGTTTGGGAATATAAAACACAACGCGCACAACTGTATCATTTGCACACAATACTGGTTCTTATGCGTATAGTACTTTGGTTGCTACGTGTGTAGTACATTGGTTGCTACGGGTATAGTACTTTGGCCGTGCACAGTAAGATAGCAAAAATAGCGAATGCCATGTGACTCGCTCTCGGCCAATCAAGATACAGAATGTGTGGATGAGGTGTTATAAAAGTTTATATTCTACTTTTAAACTATCTCTCAAATTAATTATTATTTCGTGAGAAATGCATTTCGGCGAAGAAAGGATTGGTATCAAATACCCTGTGAAATTATTCCGTCTGAAATTTGTATTGTTTGGAAGAAAACTAATATTGAAGGTGGTTTCAAAATAGGGTTCCCGCACTTTTTTACCTGCATTAGCAACGGAATTCAGTTACGAGACTCCAAAAATTGTGCAATATATGTATGTATACATTTTCGCTGTTTTCTCAAAATGTATAGTATCCACTGAGCTGAAAGTTCAACAAGTAATAATGTGCATTTACAATTAGTTGTTATGCACCTTAATTAAAATTTGAGCAATTTTGTTGCTTCATATAAAAAAACCCAAAAAACAATAAGAGCAAATGATCCTATTTACTTGAAGTTGTAGAGTTTGTTTTGCATGGATGTTGAAGTTTGTCATATTTCCATCAGGGTGGGATAAGCATCGCGGCCGAAGATTTGAGACTCTGCAACGTCAAACCGCTGGACGACATCGATCGCAGATTCTGCTTTGAGATTGTCCTGCCCGGCAAGTGAGTTGACCCCTTGACCTTTCAACCCAGTTGACCTAACAAAAAAGTTTCCAAAACCCCGGCCTTTTCTCCAGATTTTGTATATGGAGATTTTTAACCCTTAATTTGTAGGACTCTGGGGAAGAACTGACTACACATAGCTCTACGTGTTGTCAGTTTGATACACGAACATCTGTATTGCATGTATTGTACGTACATATATCGACAATGTTTTCACAAAGTGACAAAAACCTGCAAAATTGAAAAATTTTCGATTTTGAGTTTTGCCAGCCAATTTATTGCACTTGACAAAAAGAAGAATTTGGCTGAGTTTCAAAGCGAAATATTGTTTACTTTTGTAATTATCGTAAACAAACATTTGACAAAATGCCTGAAATCCGTGTTTTTCTGTTTTCACGAAGTGACAGAAACTTACCTCGTTAGCAGGGCCAGAGGAATAATGCATTTCTCTACACACGCGCTAGGATGGGAGTGGACGCGCACGCCGTGAACGATGTCGATAAAGAACAGACACGCGCGCGCTGCAGTGACGTCAGACGTGCAAATGTAACAATTTCTTAGAACGTTTATGTTTTCACGAAGTGACGAAGAGTGTGTAACACTTCATGGGACAAAACAGTGAGGCCTCTGTGTTTTGCTGTTTTCACTAAGTGACAAAAACCTTAATTGATCTTTATTAATGAATTACAGTTTAATTAAGAGAAACTTCTAATTAACAACTTTGAATTAGCAAAGAACATAGCATAAGTTACTTGACAATGCAAACATTTCCTAAATCCATAACTAAAAACTAGTCGAAAAGGTGTTTTGAAAAAATAATTAACTTCAAAGGCGATTATCTCGGAAAGACCTTTTTGCATGATATTGAGGTTTTTGTCACTTCGTGAAAACACCGTCGATATGGTGTATTGCGATTGTTTTGTATCAAATTTTTCGGGCCCTGAAGTAAAAAAAACAACACTGACATCCCTGCTTCCAATATGAAATGGTCATATTCAGTGGTTTGATTTCTTTCCCCTCGTAGGACTCTGCAGCTACAAGCAGACAATGAAAGCATCAGACAAGCCTGGATCCAGGCCCTACAGGCTGGTATCAACTCTGCCTATTGCCTGTCGCCAACACAGCAATCCAAACCAGTAAGAGATTCTAGGAGTCTGTAGCCAGATTAGGCAGTCTTTGTATCTGGCTGTGGCTTTTATCATTGACAAATCACTGCTGTTAGTCTTAGCCATTCCATTTTGAAGCACAGAGGGTCTGTATGAGTCCGAGGCCAGACCAGGCAGTTTTTTGATCTGGCTGTGGCTTTGATCATTGACAAATCACTGCTATTAGTCTTAGCCATTCCATTTCGAACCACTAAGGGTCCGTTTGAGTCCGAGGCCAGACCAGGCAGTTTTTGGATCTGGCTGTGGCTCATTGTCATTGGCAAATCACTGTTACTAGTCATAGCCATTCCATTTTGAAGCACTTAGGGTCTGTATGAGTCCGAGGCCAGACCAGGCAGTTTTCGGATCCGGCTGTGGCTCATTGTCATTGACAAATCACTGTTACTAGTCATAGCCATTCAATTTTGAAGCACTTACCGTAGGGTCTGTAGGAGTCCGAGGCCAGACCAGGCAGTTTTTGGATCCGGCTGTGGCTCATTGTCATTGACAAATCACTGTTACTAGTCATAGCCATTCAACTTTAAATACTTTGTGTTTGTTGGACTCTGGGTATAGGTTATTTTTTGATAAATGACTGTGACTTTTTTCATTGTCATTGTGTAGTTACTAGTCATAGCCACAGAATTAAAACATTCAGGCTTTTTAATAGACAGTTGTTAGATGTGTTTCTCTCTGACAAACTGCTGTTACTGAAGAAGCTTTAAATTTTGTTGAAATAAAAATGTTAAAAATACCATGGCAGGACAATTTCTTTTTGTATTAAGGATTATTTATTAACCCTAACTCCATAGGCATTTTTGCCAGCCATGCCAGGATGCAACCTCAATCTTGCAAAATCCTCCAACTGCCTCCATGTAAAAATTGCACACGTCCTCAGTCCTCCAAAATCATCTGTTATTTCTTGAATGTGGTCCTTGGAGGGGTGACCACTGCCTCAATCCTGCAAAATCCTCCAGCAATCACTGTCAATATGTTGAGGCAGAGCCAGTGACATCCTGGAGCAGTGCGGAGGATTTCAAATATAATCTAGGCCTAAATTTATGCATGGCTGAGCATAAACAACACAAGGTCCAGCCCAAGACCTTGACACAGTGCATCCTCCAAAATCAGCCACACATATTTGCCATATAGCCTCAATCCTGCAAAATCCTTCATTTTGCAACGAGGAGTTTGGAGGATTTGGGAAGGTAAGGGTTATGGTTCAGCCCCTTATTTTGTCTTTGTGCTGAATTTTGTTTTTTCTCTGAATATTTGTCTCTGAATATCTGTCTTTTTCAGGAGGACTTTTCAAATCAAAATGCCGCCCCTCATGTCGTCAACGGCTCCACTTCTTCCACTGAACCGAAGAGTCCAAGGTAAGAGACAAAAGAATAATAGCAAAGATTTCAATTCGTACCTAGTTCTTTATTAAGTGTGTTTCATTCTTATGTTATTCTTACAAACAGCGAATCAGGGCCAATTTCTCCCAGTGCCATCAAGAATTTTTATTCGGGATATATTAGGGTTTGATATATTAGTTATTTGTGAAGAAAGATTTATGTTTGTTTTGTCTTCATTCCAGCTTCAAGGCCAAGATTCAGTCCCTGCCCGGCAACGATAAATGTTGCGACTGCAAAAATGAGAGTAAGCTATGTCTCTGCTTCACTTTCCAGTGCTCTTCATATTAAATTGTTGTTTAAAGTTGTGGAATGCTCGAAGACATTTCCGTCATTTTTCGGGTATATGTAGCCTTAGGTGTGATGAAATAAAAACGACTATTGTTTCTGTCATGAAATGAGTGCAAAAGGTACTTTTGAGAGCTGTTTTTCAGGTCCTGTTTCGACCCGAATGTGCAATTTGTGTAAAAGTCGTCGTTGGGAGCAGCAAACAAAACAAAGTAAATCGTGACGTAATAAACAGGACTCCCGATGCAGCGTAGTATAAACGAGTCCTGTTTATTTCGTCACGATTTACTATGTTTTGTTTGCTGCCCCCAACGACGACTTTTACACAAATTGCACGTTCGGGTCGAAACAGAACCTGAAAAACAGCTCTCAAAAGTACCTTTTGTACTCATTTCATGACAGACACAATAGTCGTTTTTATTTCATCACACCTTAGGCTACATATACCCGAAAAATGACGGAAATGTCTTCGAGCATTCCACAACCTCTTTAAGATAATTGTCCATAGATCCACCAAAGCACTACATTTAAATCAATTAATATTAGCATAAATGGAAAATACATTCCCCATATTCACAAAACAAAGTCTTGACGCTTGTGTTTGTTTTTTTACAGTTTTTGTTGTATATCTGTGCCACTTTTTTATATTTGACTTCTGTTTTTGGTTTAGACCCTACGTGGTGCAGTATTAATCTGGGCATCACGTTGTGCATCGAATGCTCAGGCATACACAGGTAAGTGGTAAAAATAACTGCAATACTGAAATTGATATGGATTTTTTTCTTGGAAATCCACCGTCTGTGCCATGTCGGGGGAGGGGAAATAAATCTTAAATGGAAAATACAACATTTGCAAACATCAAAAAATAAAACTACCAAATCATTTTGAAATACCCTGCTGGACTGTTAGTGAATGACAGTCTAAAGCATCCTGTAAAATCATGGCACCTGGTATACTGTCATTTTCAAGAAAAGTGGTATTTTTGTCGGCCGACCGGCGTTGGAAAAATCTGGCCTTTTTTCAAATACTGGCCCCAATTCACCATCGCACTTGTTTGCAATCGATTACACACCTATGAACGGGTACAAGCCAGCTAGACTGGTTCCCTGACCTTACAATTCCCCAATGTATGTAAACTGATCTGTTTCTTCTTATATGGAGTCAGGGAACCAGACTACAGGAAAATGATTATTTTTCTTGGTTTTTATAGCATTTTCGAACTCAAAACCTCAAAAAAGTCAGTGTAACTATATTTGCTATATATTTCCAACCCCCCAATTCCATCCATTTCTGAAAATTACAGCAAAAGCAAATGATGTATATTCCCTTTAAAACTAGATTGCTACATGTATTTTTTGAGTATTTCGTACATTACGAATGTTCCAGTGAGACATGGAACTAAAAATTCCTCAGAAAGGGAAGATTGGTATAGTTTCAAATTTGGAATAAATAATAGTGTAAACCGTCCTGCCTATTATTAGGCCGTTGTTTTTTAATTACTTGGATTACGGAATCGCCGCCGAAAAAAAAAAATTGCCACCCAAAAATTCCACTTTTGTTAACCCCCCCCCCCCAAAAAAAGATAGTTTCCTTCTGAGTACTAATCACAAGCTTTTGATTCACTTTTAAACTGGAATCCCGGTGTTTAGCCCACAAAATAGATCAAGGAATCACCGTACATTTCCACACGCCTTGATCCTTGATCCTTTCTCTGCATGCTCGTAATGCCCCTGCGTGTTTTATGTTTGTGCACTGGTACCCATCACCCAAACTATCTTAGGCAGAACGACCCGGACAGAAACCAGCTAGATTAGCAATAGTGGGCCATGCGACCATGCATCGACCGATCAGTGCACATGTGCTTTTCGATATTTAGTGACGAAAAAAATGACAAAACAAACATCGTTTGGAACAAGAAAAACAGTGACAAATTTTTATGTGATTTTGTAGATTTTAACGTTCAAGTTCCTTTTTATAGTTCAATGATGCAAGTCAACACGGCTTTTTGTGCATGCTGCGCTGTTAGGCTGATTCTGCCACAACGCGCTCCGATCCCTACAGCGTGTCACTTGTGCAAAATTTTCCTCTTTTTTTCAGCTCTATTTAATGTTATTTTTCATTTTTAAAGTTTGATAACTTTACCCCGGCAAATTTGATAAGTACAATTTTGATGGATTAAAACTGAATGAGCACATTTCGTGTCTGAATACCGTGTCCGAATACTGGGAACACCATTGGGCTCGCTGTAAAGGGCGCCCCCATATGTGTGGAATTTGTTTTTTTTGGGGGGGGGGGTGTTTGTGGTTTTTTTTATTTTTTATTTCCTGCTCTCTTCCCGATCAAGGACCCAAAACATCCGTAATCCAGGTATTTAACAACAAAAAATGGCCTTACTCCCTGTAGTGTCCGAAACTGCCGGAGCACTCCATTATTTTATAGATACATCAGTGAATAAACACAATGTAATACAATGTGGTACAGTTGCTAACAGGTTTTTAACGCAGTGTGTCTTTCGTCTCTGCGCAGGAGTTTAGGGGTGCACATATCCAAAGTACGGTCCCTCACGTTGGACTCCATGGAGCCGGAAACACTGAAGGTAAAACCCGTCTCGATTCATATCCGGGACGATTTCCAGACATTGTATCGGGTTAAAGTTGCAGAATTCTGAACAACTTCCCCGCAATCTTCCCGCAATGAAGTTATCAGTATTGGTGAGTCAAGCAGTTGCTGATGGAGATTTCCCCGGAACATGTCTGGGACAAATGCAGAGTTTCTTCCGGACTAAGTGAATGATTCTGCCCGCAACTTGTCCGGAACTCGTCCCAGATATGACTTGAGACGCGCCCTAGACAAAAACAAAGCACATTTTTGGTCACAGTTCATTCCTGAGTTGACTTGCGACTGGATGACAAAACAGTAACAATGTCACGTCCAAATTGTTATATTCATAGCCATTTTCCCCCCATTTTTTCCTCCTAGGTGATGCTGGAGTTGGGTAACAACCTTGTCAGAAGCATCTTTGAGGCTAGAGTTGACGAGACGGTTGCAATGCCTGCCTCTCCTAATTGCAGCTCGTAAGTCAGCTTGCCGAACTTGCCTTTCCAATGCCCAGTTGAAAATTCATGCCCAATTACAGATGTCTACACCCAATTAAAGATTTACGCCCAACTGATTTTGTCTTGCCTGCATTTGCTCAGTGCAACATGTAAGTCACATGGGACTTGCCTTTTAATGCCCAATTGAGAATTCATGCCCAAGTACAGATGTCTATACCCAATTAAAGATTTACGCCCAACTGATTTTGTCTTGCCTGCATTTGCTCAGTGCAACATGTAAGTCACACGGGACTTGCCTTTTAATGCCCAATTACATATTAGCACCCAATTGCAAATGTATGTCCAACTGATGTTGTTTAAGCCATGATTTGCCTTTTAATGCCAAACTGAGAACTCGTGCCCAATTACAGATATATACCCAATTACAGATATATACCCAATTATAGATTTGTGTCCAACTGACATTGCCTTGCCTGCCTGTCTTCAGTGCAGCTGGTATGTTGCCCTTTACTTGCCTTTTAAATGCCCAACTTCAAATTGATACCCAAATAAAGATGTATGCCAAATAAGAGACTTTTGAGATGTTGGTGGCAGCAAACATACCGTCCTTTTTCCATTGTTTGCATCATATTGAGCATGCCGGTTTGGCTTAAACATGACGTAAACAATTGAAAAGGACAGGTGCGTTTGCTGCCACCAACGGCTCAAAAAGTTTCCCATTACAGATATATAACAAAGTACATTAACTTGATTTAGAAGAGGAGTAATTAGGCCAGTTTACGCTTTAAGATTTTCAAACTAAGAGTGATCAACCTAATCTGGGTGGGATTCTAACTCGGGCCACAGAGGTGGAAGGCAGTTGAAGGCACTATTCCACCAAGCTGACTTCCACTTTGTACTTTTTATTTCCCTGATTTTACGGACAGAATTTGTTACCCACAGAGCGGTTTTCGTTTTGCGAGTTACAAACTGGGAGTGATCATTCTAATCTGGGTGGGATTCTAACCTGGGCCACTGAGGTGGAAGGCAGTTGAAGGCACCATTCCACCAACCCGACTCCCACTTTCTACTTACTTATTTCCCTGATTTTATGAACGACAATTTTCATCCACAGAGCGGTCCGCCGGAAATGGATCGAAGCCAAGTACAAGGACAAGAGCTTCCTGTCCAAGGTTCCCGGCAGCTTCCGAAGTACCAGTCTCCGTCCCCGGTCCACCAGCCGAATACGTAGGTGGCGCGTAGCGAAACCAGAAAGCGTGGATCGTAATAAACCCCCTGGCACCGTAAGGGCCTGTAGTGTTAAGCAAGAGCCCGGTGGGAGTGCCGGCGCTAGAGGTAATAGCCTGGGTCAGGGGTCGGGTGATGGCTTTTACATTATCTGGAGTTACACCCACCGTCATCATCACCACCATCCATGCACCGGTTTGGGAAATGTTAATCACTGTAGAACAATAGTAGTTACTCATTACAAATATGCTTTAAGCAACTCAGTAATAGTGGGCCTTGCAAAATCAACAGTAGACCCATGTGTAGAGCCCCAGTGACACATTTACCGTTTGAGCTCCGGATCTCCAAGGTTTGAAGTTGGTGATAAACCGTGGAAGTACCGTTTTCATCCTTAGTACCGCCGTGGTTATCTGTCATCTTCCTTGGGTATTCGTGGAGGGGCTACGGAAGTTCGAAACTTTTTAAAAACTTCCGTGGTGAAACGTCGTGAAAATCAATCCGCAGTGCAACTGGGGACATCGGTACTGATTCGTAGTGTTCTTCGTGGCTATTTGCATGGGCGTCGCCAAGATTTTTTCTAGAGGGGGGCAAAATTTTTTTTTGCCAAAAAATGCTTGTATTTCTCAACACAATCTCGATTCATCAGTTTTAGAGGGGGGCAGGGACATTTTGCCCCCCCCCCCCCCCAACTCATTAAATTTACACCACTTTGTCTTCGCGCCTCTTTTTCTTTTCTTTTTTCTTTTTTTTTTAATTCCTTTTTTTTTTTTTTTTTTTTTTGCTTTTCGAGGGGGGGGGGCAAGTGCCCCCCCTTGCCCCCCCCCTCGCGACGCCCATGGATATTTGTACATATTCTTGGAGATTCGTAGCTCATTTGTGATAAAAATCTCTACAAATTCGCTACGAATGTCCTACGGATATGCCCGGATGTGCTAGGGTTCTGCTAAGGTTGTACTACGAATATCCACGCTTTATCCGTGGCCCAGTCACAGACAACCATGGCATTAACCTCATTATTCTTAGTACTACTGTCGATGTTCTTCACCAATCCGGCCATATTCTTGACAAACCGTGGTGTATTCATAGAGAAACCTTAGGACAGTCGTGGCGATCCGTCCTGGAACCTTAGTGCATTGTTACAAAGTCGATTTCTCCACGAATCTTGATGGTTCATTGTGACCGATTGATAATTGATAAACCGTGGATATCCGTAGCTCCAAACCGTAAATGTGTGACTGGGGCTTTAGCACCCAATTTTACAGAGCGCCAAATTTTTCATCTTAAAACAAATTTGTAAATAGTTGAAAAAAGGTTACAAGCCCAAATGACGTAATATTGATAAATGTCTAGACTGGATCCTATGTTGTTTTTGTTTATTTGTTTGTTTTTGTTTACATTCACGCTCATTAAAGTTGTGTCCAAATGAAGTAAAAGGTGTCAGGGGTTTTATATTCAGTCACAAACTCTGCATGCCAATTATTGAGCATACGATTGCCACACATGCACGGGACACCGCAGTTTTGAACACAGCGTGCAGCAGCTGTAATTCAAAATTAACCGCCACAGCAAAAGAACTGCAGTGTTCCACATGTGCAGTCATGCATGTGCTTGTATTTGGTTTTAACAATCTTGTCAATGAAATTTTGTTTTAAAAAGTGCTCACATGTCAGGAGAATTGTTCAAATTTTGACATTACTTATGATGTTAATATTACAATTAACGGAGTATACAGGCATGCAACTTTTCCTCTGATCCGCTGATTTCCTCGTTTTGTACTTCTCATGAATGCCATTACAATTTGAAAAACAATGTACAAAGTCTTGTGTGATAAAGAGTTTCCTTGTTTTTTCTAAACTCCCAGTTGCATGCCTGAGTCTAGTACAGTGGAAAGCCGCTATAATGAACATCGCGGGATGCACAGAAATTGTTTGGAATAGCGATCATTCGGTAAAGTGATTTTAAGCTGTCGGTGCTCCAGTACTCACTTTTCAATAAATAGCGCCCTTCAGAACTTCACTCTGCATGCCCTGGTAGTTACTGAAAGACAACTTTGAACACTTGCCAACTTTTGAAACATGTAATTACATTGTTTTTCAGCTTACTACCTACAGCAATGGGTGGCTTTCCCCTTCTATTCCTTGGGGAAATAATAGCCACTTGTCGCTCTTCTGTTGACATTTTCAACAACAATGTTCGGTACGAATTTTGCACACAAAAATCGGGAGCCAAGGAGGATGTTCAATATAGCCGAATGTTCAGCATAGCTGTGTTCGGTATAGCGACGGTCCAATGTATGTATGAAGCTTTACAGCGGCTTGTAATACAGCAGAACATCAATATAACAAACAGCAATTGTTGTAATGAGCGATCGCTGTACTGAACGGTCATTTACAAAACCAATGGTGTTTCTTTTTGACGTTCTACTGTGTGAACTTACCAGAAAATGCCCCAGATTTTACATTTCTTTTCCAAAATGTGAGCACTGTTTGTGTTCAGTCTATAAAAAATAACATTAATGTAAATAAACAAACCCTAATAATACTCGGAAATCTAATGAATAATATACTGGGGTTAGAACTTTAAAACTCATCAAATTTTGGGCGAGAAAATATGTAAAACCATCCATGTGTAGTTAGTCTAACCCAGCTTCATACCAGTTTTGCTCAGTTCAGACTAGTGGAACATTCTCATTGAAACGTAAAGACATCCAACCCCATGTAAAGTGAAAATAGCCAACATAGGGCTGGATAGCTCAGTTGGTAGAGCGCTAGGACGGTAATCCGGAGGTCGCAGGTTCAAACCCCGCTCCAGTCAATTTCAAGTAAAAATGGCCGGGTTTTCTACAGTCCCGAACCAACAACATCCGCTGTCACAACTCCGTTATAATTTCAGCTTTCCGACTTCTTTTCTGTTATTTTAGAAGAGAATTTCAACGATAGTGGCATTGGAGGAAGCAGAGATGCGATTCCAGTCGAGCCCGGCAAAGCAGACGAAGGTATGACCTTTGAACTATTGACCTTGGTTGACCTTCACCCATACCTCATCTTCAGTCCTCAATGCTCCATCCAAATTTTCTGATTTGAAATCTTTAGTACCTTCGAAACATTTTTCAATAGGGCTCTCTCAAAAACGGCCATCTCTGTTGGAGAACTGCAACTGTGTATTTTACGCAATCAATCACAGATTGCGCAGCGTGGAAAATGTTCCAAACATGCGCGCTTGTTGCTCGAAACGTGTTCGAAATACTACGCAGGCGATGCGCGTTATGGAAGTTGACGCTCAAAATGCTGGTGCACGTGGCTGGTCTGTAGGAAATGACGTCAATTGAGAGAGACCAATAGTTATAATCTTAACGTCTCCATGACACGAAGTTTACTTGGGAACATATTATGTGGAATGTATTTAAACACTTTGGCATCCCGTTTTGGTTAATTTTACAGAAAAGTTAACTTTTTAAAATTGTAAAAGTGTTCGTGCTTTTCCTGACAACTGAGTGTGCTGTTACTGTGATGTCATTTTAGGAAGACACTGTTCAGTTGACGGGTTTTCGGTTCAAATTTTGAACCCAAAAATTTGCTCATTGAGAACATTTGTGAGAAAAGTTTGCTCATTGCCTTACTGCCATGTACTGACACAACAACTTACCAGAGAAAGAAAATTTATTGCAGCAAAATATCCACAATTATGAGTGATGATCTAGTGTTGTGTTATGTGAAATTCCCCCTGAAATTATAATTTATTTTGGTGTTTTTCATCTGATTTTCTTTCAGGCAGTGACAGTTCAGACGGAGAGGAACAAGAAGCAGCAAAAACCAAAGAGATCGCGGAGGAACCGGAATTCACAGCAACGGAACTGCTCTTTCAGGTACTCAAGAAATCCGCTCCTTAAAATCAAATTGAGAGATTCACAAATATTCTGACACCCAGCGTTCGTCTCAAGGATTTTACCTTTCAATTTACAGTCAGTATCCTTCATACTGCAGGGTTTCTACAGTCATGGAAAAATTCTGGAATTTTCATTTTAAGATTTCTGTAGTAACCCTGATTTTTGACTTGTTTCTGTTTTAGGGTTCGTCGAGTGGTAATGTGGGGCTGATGATGGATGCCATTGCCCACGGTGCGGCAGTCAATGAGATGGATAGCAATGATGATAGTCGGACACCTATGCATAAGGCTGCCTCATCGGTAAGACAGGGTTGTGATCAAGTAACCACAAGGAATCACAAATCATCACAGATCATTACAGATCATCACAGATCGTCACAGATCATCACAATTCATCATAGTCAAACATGAGTTATCAGACAAGTCGTTACAAATCATCACAAGTCACCAAAAGTCTGTTCAAAGTCATGAGTCATCACAAGTCATCACATTTAAAAAGTCATCACAAATCATCACAAAGTATCACAAGTCAATCACAAGTTAATATTAATCACAAGTCGATTCAAAGTGATGAGTTATTACAAATCTTTACAATCATCATTAGTTATTGCTATTTGTCACAAGTCATCACAACTCATCACAGCTCATCACAACTCATCACAAGTCATCACAACTCATCTTAAGTCAATCACTAGTCATCACAAGTCATCACAAGTCATTCACAACTCGTCACAAATCATCACAAGTCATTAGTTATGTCATCACAGTCATCGAGAGATCACAAGGCACCATAAATCTTCCCAAGTCATCACAACTCGTCATTAGTCATCACAATTCATAAGATATCACAAGTCATGAGATATAACAAGGTATCGTACATCATCACAAGTCATCATTAATCATCTTAGGTTATGATACTATGACTTGTGATGACTTGTGATGCCTAGTGATATCTCATAACCTATCAGAAGGCATCATACCTCATCACAAGTCATCATTAGTCGTCACAATCATGAGATATCACAAGTCGTACCTCATCACAAGTCATCACAAGTCATCACTAGTCATAGTCATGAGATTTCACAAGGCGCCATACCTCATGACTAGTCATCACAAATCAATCTCAAGTCATCACAACTCATCACAGCTCATCACAAATCAATCACATTGACATATATCACGACAGCTCAGTTAGCAGAGCTCAGTGGCACGGTATTCCAGTTCGAATCCCACCGCATTCATTTCTCCAAACTATTCACTTTTGATTTCAGGGAAACCTGGGTGCTTTGGAGTATCTTTTGTTGAACCGGTCCAAGGTCAACGTGAGTGATGTCAGTGGTATCACACCTCTCCATATTGCGACATCTGTCGGCAATACAGGGTAAGTCGGAAACATACTCCGATTACTTCTTCATACTGCTTGTATTTTGGCATAATTTAGTATTCAATTATTCAAATTTGGATTGATGGAATATTTGCATATTCAAAACGATAAAGTTGTACATGCTCAAGCCTGTAATGCATGCACAGGTCAGGAATCTCACTTGTCGGTCGGAACTACATGTGTACGCATGAACTAAATGTTCAACCCTGATGGGAACACGGTGTTTGTGTTCTTGGGCAAGACACTTTACTACAATTGTAGCCAACTAGCTGACATTTGAACAATTTTGGAGCGCTGTGATCCAATGGTGCAGTGTTTGACTCATGTGCCGTGGTACATGGGTTCAAACCCTGACAGGTAGCATGGTGCTTGTGTTCTTGGGCAAGACACTTTACTACAATTGTAGCTGACTAGCTGATATTTGAACAATTGTGGAAGCCGACTAGCTGATATTTGATCAATTTGGAACGCCGTGGTCCAGTGGTTACGGTGTTTGACTCATGTGCCGTGGTACGTGGGTTTAAACCCTGACGGGCTACATGGTGTTTGTGTTCTTGGGCAAGACACTTTACTACAATTGTAGCTGACCAGCTGATATTTGAACAATTGTGGAAGCCGACTAGCTGATATTTGAACAATTTTGCAGTGCTGTGGTCCAATGGGTTACAGTGTTCAACTGGTGCCGTGGTACGTGGGTTCGAACCCTGACTGGGAACATAGTGTTTGTGTTCTTGGGCAAGACACTTTACTACAAATGTAGCTGACCAGCTGATATTTGAACAATTTTGGAAGCGCCATGGTGCAGTGGTTATGGTGTTTGACTCATGGGCTGTGGTTCGTGGGTTCGAACCCTGACAGGGAACATGGTGTTTGTGTTCTTGGGCAAGGCACTTTACAACTATTGCCTCTTTTTGCATTGCGTTTCAGAATGGTGTGTCTCTGTTTGAAGCGGGGCGCTGTGCAGACTGCCAAGGATAAAGATGGAATCGTAAGTTCTTCAAGATAACTTTAATCCATTAATCTTGTGTAAGATTTCCCTAATCCATTGATCTTGTTTAAGTAGGATTAGTTAGGATTATCGATGATCAATAAATTCATGTTTTGATCGTTCGGCATGTGATCATCTGTTAATCGCATCGATTCAAGGACACATCCTTAACAAATCGTGGTGTGACAAGGAAAAGGTCGTTAGCAGCCCAGGCAGGCTAAAAACAGTTTTGGAGATTTGGAGATGGTGTAATGTGTATTTTTATGTCAAAATATTACTGAATTGTGCAGTTATTTTAATTTTTATGCTAATGACCTTTTACCGGGAACTTCCCAAGCCTTAAACGTACGCTTAAGCGGCTTCAATCCTAACGATCTTTTGCCGAGAACCAAATTGGCTTTGCGTACCCACTTAAGTGGCACGTTAACGCACTTGGAACATTTTTTGTTACGTTAGAATTACATGCTAACGACCTTTTGCCGGGCACAAATAATGAAAAACCTCCTTCCATCTTTTGTTTACTGTTAATAACTTCACAATGATGTAGCCCCTTATTGCTCATATTGAGACAATATGTATATCAAATGAAAGATATTTCCAAGCTCTATCGATTACCAGAAATATCCGACGAAATAAACAGAGCTGTATCCTCTCTGAGTGATCCCCGTTTGCTATTTCCCGGGTTTGCAGCATTGCTAATGTTGCTAGCATTGTGACATTGGGCGTGATCCCTGGCTGTATGGCATATATGGGTTAATGGCTTCTGACTAGCGCCCTTGAACAAAGACATTGACAAAATGGGGAACCGCCAACATAGGGCTGGATAGCTCAGTTGGTAGAGCACCGGAACGGCAATCCGGAGGTCGCAGGTTCAAACCCCGCTCCAGTCAATTTCTTTGTTAAACTTTACAAGTACATAATGAGATGAATAGAACCAAGTTCTAGAGTCTAGTTCTCGTACCAAGTTCTAGAGTCTAGTTCTCGTACCAAGTTCTAGAACATTTTCGGTGTGCTGTTAAATCATTTGGAACCAAATCAACCTTTTTTTGAATCCATCGATGATTTCTGTTATTTTTTCATTATACAGGATCCTCTGGCGATAGCCATCAATTCAGCCAATGCAGATATCGTTACTCTGTGAGTTTACTCATGATTTCTTCTTCAAATTTCTCTCTTACACGTAGCTTACACGAACCTTTTGATACCTCATCAGATCAACCTCAGTGAACCTCAATATTTAACCTATGGGCCACAGACTCTTTACATGATTCCTTTACCTCACAGAATCTTAAACACTTCATAATTTTGTAATGCAGCAATGTTTTTGTTATGCAATAATGATTTTGTTTTCTATTTTCCCCTCTTTTTTTGGAAGGGGGGGGGGGAGCCACAGTTAAGCGTATTCATTAGGAAATTTTATACCACCGATTAGTACTTGTTGATGTCATTCTTAAATGTAGAACCATCACAAACCTCGGAAACCTCATTTCATATTCCTGAATGACAAAGACTCTAAAAACAAAATACCTCAACCTCGTTGAACATTAGAATACCTCAACCTCGTTGAACATCAGAATACCTCAACCTCGTTGAACATCAGAATACCTCAACCTCGTTGAACATCAGAATACCTCAACCTCATCGAACATCAGAATACCTCAACCTCGTTGAACATCAGAATACCTCAACCTCGTTGAACATCCGAATACCTCAACCTCGTTGAACATCAGAATACCTGAACCTCGTTGAACATCAGAATACCTCAACCTCGTTGAACATCAGAATACCTCAACCTCGTTGAACATCAGAATGCCTCAACCTCGTTGAACATCCGAATACCTCATGGTGTACTCAACATGTACCCAAAAATAGAAAACTGGATTTTCATAAATTTCTTTGAATTGCAAATGAAATACATGTACGTCTGTCCCTGAAAATGCTGTTACACTTTTATTTTTAGACTTCGTCTTGCCAGACTTAATGAAGAAATGAAGGAATCGGAAGGATTGTGTGGGAACCCAGGTGAGTTATGTCCGCTGACAAAAATAAATGACGCTAAACCATCAGAACCTACTCGCATATTTTGCAGAAGAACTGAGCAACTCATAGTTGTATTTTTACGTGTAATTATGTATAATTATTCAAGTGTTATTGACAATTGCAATAAGGTATTCTTTGCAAAACAGTGTTTTTTGGAGGTTTTTTTGTGAGTTTCACCAGCACAGAAACTTCAGCAAGAATAAAGCATAAGATGTGTAGACTGGTGACAATGCTTCATATCCCAAAATCAGTGCTGTTGCAAATTACATTGCTGCTGGTAACCAGACCAATATGGCTTCACATTTTACTTCATACTAATAAATTTAGAGTTGCACCGAAATGGGCCCATGTTTTAAAGCCTTTTTACCGCCTTTTATGTTGTGGCTATTTTATCATACCACGTGACTTGTTTTAAACAGAATTTCAAAAGTAAAATTGTCTTTGTCTTGATTTCATTTTTGTTTCTCCCTGGAAATAGTGGAAGGTAAATATAAAATATTACCCAAATCGAGTGTGATAATAGTTTGTCCTTTCGCAGCAGTAGCTGGGTGGTGTAATTGTGAACACGTAGTTGGTGTAATGGTGTTCATATGTCGGGAGCTATGTAAAAGTGCTTTTGTCTTTGTCATTAGCTTGTTGTCAAGTGTGTGCTTACAACGTTTTCACTGCATGGCAGTCATTGCACGGAAAGCTTTTCCAACATAAAAGAGATAAATTTAAATATGGATGTAATAACTTGAGTCTTGGGTTTGTACATTTCTTCGGTTGGGGGAGGGCCAACACTGGATAAGAAAGAGCTGTATCACTTTATGTATCACTCTGGCAGGTTTTCGTCTCTTATCTTTTAGTGCTTCAAATACCGCTGTGTCAGTGTAGAGTGGTTTGTTAGGGTTTACCACTTTTATTATTGCACACAAATGCACAGTGCACCAGTGTCTAGCTAGCTTGTTTGTCTGCATGCGTGACCACCATTCGCCCACCCGTTTTGCCTTGTTTCACTTGCTTTACAGTAGTGTTGCTGTACCAACTGCAAAGATGAAAGTTATCTGTGACTGCAGTGCAATCTTATTCGAGCTTCCCTTAAAAATATTTCCTAACTTCCCTCAACCCCTTCCCCAGCCCTCTCCCAGACCCCTTCCCACCCCTTCCCTACCGCCTTGCCCATCCCATTCCCTCCCTCATTATATTCCCACCCCTTTCCTCATTCATTTCCCCACCCTGTTCCCCACTCCATCCCTACCCCCTTCATTCTTTCCCCACCCTTTTCTAATGACTCATCCCTTTCCCCACCTTTCTCTTGCCCCATTTAATTCCTCACCCTTCTCTTGACCCTTTTCCTCTCCCCGTTCCTTACCCTGTTCCCCACGTCTTCCTTGCCCCTTTCCTCACCCCTTCCTCTTGGCTCATCCCTTTCCCCACCCTTCTCTTGCCCCTTCTCCTCACCCCGTTCCTTTCCCTGTTCCCCACCTCTTCCTTGCCCCTTTCCTCACCCCTTCTTGGCTCATCCCTTTCCCCACCCTTCTCTTGCCCCTTTTCCTCACCCCGTTCCTAACCCTGTACCCCACGTCTTCCTTGCCCCTTTTCCTCACCCCTTCCTCTTGGCTCATCCCTTTCCCCACCCTTCTCTTGCCCATTTTCCTCACCCCATTCCTTACCCTGTGCCCAACATCTTCCATACCCCTTTCCTCACCCCTTCCTCTTCGCTCACCCCTTTCCCCACCCTTTTCTTGCCCCTTTTCCTCACCCCGTTCCTTGCCCTGTTCCCAACATCTTCCTTTCCCCTTTCCTCACCCCTTCCTCTTGGCTCATCCTTTTCTCCACCCTTCCCATGCCCATTTTCCTCACCCCATTCCTAACCCTGTGCCCAACATCTTCCATACCCCTTTCCTTACCCCTTCCTCTTGGCTCACCCCTTTCCCCACCCTTTTCTTGCCCCTTTTCCTCACCCCGTTCCTTACCCTGTTCCCCACGTCTTCCTTGCCCCTTTCCTCACCCCTTCCTCTTGGCTCATCCCTTTCCCCACCCTTCTCGTGCCCCTTTTCCTCACCCTGTTCCTTACCCTGTTCCCCACGTCCTCCTTGCCCCTTTCCTCACCCCATCTTCTTCGCTCATCCCTTTCCCCACCCTTTTCTCGCCCCTTTTCCTCACCCCGTTCCCTCACCCCGTTCCTTACCCATCTTTCTTGCCCCTTTCCTCACCCCTTCCTCTTGGTTCATCCCTTTCCCCACCCTTCTCTTGCCCCTTTTCCTCGCCCCATTCCTTACCCTGTTCCCTAGGTCTTCCTTACCCCTTTCCTCATCCCTTCCTCTTCCCTCATCCATTTCCCCACCCTTCCCTTCCCTTTTTCCTCATCCCGTTCCTTACCCTGTTTCCCACATCTTCCTTGACCCTTTCCTCATCCCTTCCTCTTGGCTCACCCCTTTCCCCACCCTTCTCTTGCCCCTTTTCCTCACCCTGTTCCTTGCCCTGTTCCCCACGTCTTCCTTGCCCCTTTCCTGACCCCTTCCTCTTGGCTCATCCCTTTGCTCATCTCTTTCCTCACCCTTCTCTTGCCCCTTTTCCTCACCCTGTTCCTTGCCCTGTTCCCCACGTCTTCCTTGCCCCTTTCCTGACCCCTTCCTCTTGGCTCATCCCTTGGCTAATCCCTTTCCTCACCCTTCTCTTGGCCCTTTTCCTCACCCCATTCCTTGCCCTGTTCCCCACGTCTTCTTGCCCTTTTCCCAATCCTGTCCTCAACCCTTCTTCTTGGCTCATCCCTTAACCTACCCTTCTCTTGCCCCTGTTACTCGCCCTGTTCCCGTCTTCCTTGCTCCTTTGCCCTTCCCTCTCTTCAACCTTGCTCCAACCTACTCCCCAACCCTTATCTTTACCTTGCCCTGCCATACCTGAATAAAACCCTTCTCCACACAGACATTTGCAAAACCACGTTACTCAGAACCAATCGGTTTATTTTATAACTGCCAGATGATGAAACTTTTCAAGACGTCTTCCGAGACTTCACCAATCTTGCCTCCAACAACCCCGAGGCGCTGAACCGCAACTTCCAGGAGCCCGACAAGCCCACGTCGCCTGACACCTGAGATGATTTCCACAACTCCAAAAGTAACTCCAAAAGTTCTTCAACCCCCAACACTGACGGCTCACTGTTCCTCAAACTTCAGGGTTTTCTATCATCGGCGACAGTCCAAGATAAATACTGCCCTCTGGTGTTAGTGCACGAACAGGATGCGTAGACTTTGCACGGTGAAGGAATTACAAGTCATGACAACGATCTTAGGCGCGTCTCAATTCATATCTGGGATGAGTTCTGGACAAGTTGCGGACATTGTATCAGGTATAAGTTGCAGGATGCTGAACAACTTCCCCGCAATCTTCCCGCAATTAAGTTATCAGTATTTCTGAGTCAAGCAGTTGCTGATGAAAATATCCCTGGAACATGTCCGGGACAAATGCAGAGCTTCTTCTGGACAACGTGAATGATTCTACCTGCAACTCGTCCGGAACTCGTCCTGGATACAAATCGAGGCGGGCCCTAAAATATATCAGGTTTCTTTTTTTTTGTTTTTTTGGAGGTGCCCTTTTGTGTGCCTAAGAGTTAATATAATGGCCTTGGAATTTTGTCATATAAATAAATCCTTGTCTTTTATTATTATAAAAATTTTCAGCAAAATTTATATATCTGATTTCGAAACTTTCAACTTCATTTACCAAATGTGCTACGTATTTTTTTTTAAAAGGAAATTCCTTGGAATGGCGTACAATTCAGGGGTGTGAGTGACCACTGATAAAAATAGCTGAAAACAGCTGGAAAAGGTGTAAAAAAGCTGAACTTTGGAAATCTCCTATACTTTTGTACACAGCAAGTGAGGGAAAAAGCTGAAAAAAAGCTGAAATCCAACACAAAAAAGCTGAAATCAGCTTTAAAGCTGAGATTTCACACCCCTGACAATTGTAAGAAAGAAATTGAGGAAAGCAGATTGTTGAAGTTGAAGATTAACTAGTTCACGTCGGATGACGTGTTTACACGCAAAGGTTTTGCGGTATTCGGAACGGATGACGGATAAACATGCAACGAGCGAGGCTGGAAATATCTGTCTGCGACCCGCTCACAGCGAGCGAGGCTGGAAATATCAGGGTGTGCTACCCGCAGATGACGGCCTGAACCCGTCTGGCATTGAGGTTCGTGAAAACAATCCCGCGCCTGAGTCCGGTCAATTTCAAATATAATCCCGGCGCAAACTGGTTAAGGCCGAAAATCCATGAGTCGGAAAACTGACTTTTATGCATCACACAGTGTGCACTACGCTCAACTCAGACAGACACATGGATTTTCAGGCCTAACTTGCCCAGAAAAGATATGAGGACAAATAAAATTGAAAAATAACAAATTGTTACACACGACATGGACGGTATTTATTCTACATTGACAAGGTAACCGTAGGTAGTATTACTAATGCCTTGCTTAAGCTACGAGAAACTGGAGAGGCTTAGAAAAGGAAGTATTATTTTCAGAAATTGTAAAAAGCAATTTTAAAAATTGTAAAAAAATACAAAATCAACTATTTTGTAACATATATAGTCATCAGAGCTGCAGTGGAACGTCACTATACCGAACACCGCTATATCGAACATTCGGCAATACCGAACATCGTACTTGGCTCCCGATTTTTTGTGTTCAAAACCAACCAAACATTGTTGTTTAAAAATGTCAACAGAAGTTTGACTAGTGGCTATTATTTCCCCAAGGAATAGAAGGGAAAGGCCACCCATCGATGGGTAATAAGCTCAAACTGTGTAATTACATGATTCAATAGTCGACACATGTTTAAAGTCGTCTTTCAGTAACTACCAGGGCATGCAGGGTGAAGTTATGAAGGGTGCCATTTATTGAAACGCGAGTACCGAGCACCGGCAGCTTAAAATCGCTATACCGAACAATCATTATTACGAACATTTTCTATGGATCCCGCAATGTTCGTTACAGCGGTGTTCCACTGTAGTTCACATTGGTTTATGGAGGAACGCTATTTTGTAGATGTTTTAAATGAGACAAATCAAAGCATATTTTCAAGATAGATCAAATTTTGGATATAAATTTCTGTGCCAGTAAATTTTGATGTACATGTACTAGCAAGGGTTTCTATGAAAAGTCCGCTACATAAGTTTCTCAACTACACCCAAGATATTTTCCTACGTCCACGCCTTTCCTAAAACTCCAAAAATAAAATGAATAAAACTCAAGGATTTTAATACATTTCAGATGGTAAAAAGAAAATTTGAAAGCTTGTCTTTATTCGAATTCACATGAAAAAAAGTTGAAATCAAACATTTGGAGAAATACATATTAATGAAACCATACTGACCCTATTAAATTACTATTTCACGTTTTACTTGTTTAAAATTCATAAACTTGTTTATCTTTAACTTAATACTTTGTAATTAGAATAGCTTATGTTAAACTTAGTACAGTGACAGTACTACACTGTAAAATTGTGAAGCACACAAAAATCCGAAACTAAGAAAAATACTGAATTTAGAATTGTTTAAATTTGAAATGCCTTGTACTGGCAAAAGGACTGTTAAATTTATTTAAATTAGAAAAATAGTTATTTTCCCGTGTTATTTCCTACTAATAGATAAATTAATATTATTCAAATTAAAGGGAATGTTTCAAAGCAAACTATAATGTTGTCCTTTGTTCATTGAATGACTATACCCTTGGTCTTCCTCTACTGAGACTGTGCCCCAAGCTTACGTCCACACAGGATGCAACTTCACACTTCATCGATTTCACATTTGGTACTTAAGTGATTACTTTCTTAGAGTTTAGGCACTCTCCTGAAGACGGTCAGAGCATACTGACCAAAACGTCGAGTTTATACCTCTGGTTCTTTTCAGAACCATTCTCTTAGTTGAGAAATTATTCGCACATGGTGTTTCCGCAAACCATTCATTCATTAGTATCTCCACCATGCAAAGCCTAAATATTACCGAATGAGTATTTGTTGCGGTGACGTGTTACAAGTGTGCTGAGGTAGGATCTGACTACTTTACAATGACACGTGAGTGCTTAGTTCTGGATATGGTGTCTTGGGTACTAGACCTAAGTAAGTTCCGTAAAGAATGTTGCAACCTGACGACGCTTTTTTATTTAAAATATTTCAATGAAGGTCAGTCATTGCAAAAATGATGATGAGACATGAATCTGGGACTGGAAAACATGTCCAAATTTGTCCAAAATTTTCTCGACTCTCCATAGACTTTGTACACAACCACTGAAGTAGCGTCAGGTTGCTTTCAGGTTACATTCTTTCCTAAGTTCGTACTATGTGCATAAGTTAACGCTTAGGGCAATTTGTGACATGGCCGATGTTCAAGCTGCGAATTCACAAATGTTGAACACATTTCAATTATGGCGAATTTTGTAGCAAATGTTTCATGCAAATGACGTCACTTTTGATTCATAATCACGTTCACGTGTAGTATGAATTGGCCTTGAGGCAATTTCTAGAATCCATTGAATAGCGGAATGTGCCTAAGGGAAACTTCTAGAATCCATTGAATTGCAGGATGTGTAAAGCCCCAGTCACACATTCACGGTTGGAGCTACGAATATCCACGGTTTACCAAGAATCAATCGATCACGATGAACCGTCGAGATTCGTGGAGAAATCAACTTTCTAAGAATGCATCATGGTTTCAGGACAGAAAGCCTCAACTGTCATACGGTTTCTCTATGAATACACCACGGTTTGTCAAGAATATCGATGGATTGTTAGAGAATATCAATGGTATTACTAAAGAATAATGACGTTAACGTAAAGGTTGTCTGCGATTGGGCCACGGATGACCAAGGTTCTCCAATGGTATATTCATAATACAACCTTAGCAGAACCCTAGTGAATCTGGGAATATCCGTAGTATTTCTACCACGAATGAGCTACGAATCTCGATGAATATGTACGAATAGCCACGAATAACACTACGAATTATGAGTTGTCCTATGGATGTCCCACGGTTGCACTACAGATTGATTTTCATGACGATTCACCATGGAAGTTATGAACAGTTTCAAACTTCCATAGCCCCTTCACGAATACCCAAGGAAGATGAGGGATAACCACGGATGTACTATGAATACGGTTCTCCGACGGCTTATCACGAATTTTAAACCATGGATATCCGTAGCTCCAAACCGTGAATGTGTGTCTAGGGCTTAAAAGATTTTTTTTTTTCAGAACTGCAAGCTTACAATCATACCAGAAGCATCTTACCACACCATGACGACTACACTAAAAGAAGCTACATGACAATTTATATGAGCCAATATGCATGACTTTGTTTTAGTATGTACTACAAGTTGAAATTTCAAACCACCAAGTGCGCATTTTAAATTCATTGGTTATTCGTTTTCAACAAATAAAATGGGAAGCCAATACTCGTAGCTACTGACGATAGCGAGGATGAAAACTGGACACTGGGAACAAGGCGAGTATTTATGGTGAGTAAAATTTGCCAAGTTTTTATATTTTTTAATTTTTAGAAATATTTTAATCAGAGTAGAAAACCAAGCTGGAAGGCACAATTACGTATATATTATTATTCGGCTTTTCCACATATTTTCGGAAAAGCCTATATTTTAACAATTCTTTTATCCCATAGACTTTCTACATGATTTTAAATGGAGGCACTTGGAGACACAGCTCTTAAAGATGATCGGCGACTGCATCTTGATGATCTATCATATAGCACACAACAGCTTAAAGATTCATTTTTCAAAGTCCTAGATCTAGAATATGCAAGTCCGATTGACTTGAAACTTGATAGGTATCTAGACCATGACATGAAGGCCTATGTTATGATTTCGTTTCATTTTGAGACAACATTTTTACTATAAACTTACTAGGTATATAGACTATACCTTGTTAAATGTTACGATTATTTTTTTTTTTTATTTTGTGATGACATTTTGGTTTGTAATTTTGTTCCTTGGACCCCGCCCTGCAAACAGGACGCTGGGAAGGGCTGATCTCTTTGAGGGCTCATTGGATAGATTTTGCGTGACCTGTGACGTAGCACGCAGCACACAGCGCGTGCTAGCTGCATGCGATGCATGTGAAGGTCATGAAAAGCTACCCAGAATGCCATGCGTACTTCCTTCTCAAGATTCTGTGAAGCTCATCAGCCCTTCCCAGAGCCCTGTTTGCAGGGCAGGGGGTAGGAGCAAAGAAACTTAGTAGATATATAGATTATATAACTAAATGTACAATGTACCATTAGGGAGACACGTTATCGTAATTTCTTCGATAATAGGGAGACACCGGTTATTAGGGAGACACATAACTGTCTCCCTAATCGCATAGCCCCCCTTCAGAGGCAAAATTTTACTGTCGCAAAATTAGGTTATATTTGTTGCTCGTGGTTTAATTAGTAAACATACCAAAATTCATGGAAAAAGGACAAGGGAATATCAGGTTAGGTCACATTTAAGTTTGAAAAATGTGTGCACAAGTCTATGGGAAAGTCTCCCTAATGACCCATTCCTGGTAATTATTATAACTTGTTTTATGTTATGATTTTATTTTATTCAGGGACAACCGACCCTTCACAGGTTTGAGCTGGCATGCTGCCCCCGAAACAGCAGCTTCCCCAACGGAGCTTGGGAGTGTTGCCCCCTGTCGTACACCGCCTGACCCCGCACAAGAGTCTTGTGGATCACGCCCTTCAGGACTTTGCCCTCGTACGGGGTCAGCTTGTTGCGATGCTGTATCTTGTCCCGAGTAACCTGGGCAGAGGTATGAGAACACACAAGAGTTAGAAATCAGACTTCAAGGAGACTCAACAGTAAAAGGGAAAGTAAATAAATATGGTAAAAAATAAAGCTAGGACATGAAAATATGTCCAAGGAACTAGGCCACTAAAGTGAAATCTCGATACGTCAAACCTCAAGAGAACAGGTTCAAAATTCGACTAAAGCAGAGTTGTGAGTTAAGCAGGGTTGTATATCATTGTTATACTACTGAAGGCAATGGATATTTTGGTCGACTTAACAGTTGTTTTGAGTTAGAGTTTGGCTGATCATCTCGAGATTTCACTGTATTTCATTGACGTGGATCCTTACATGCAACCCTCCAGCACAAAAACTGGGATTTTCGGCTCATTGGAAAGGACACTAAATAAGCTTTCCAATGATGTATAGAATATGGGAATCGGACAAAATCTGAAGACAAAGAATCCACAAAAATCAGTCTCAGATTGCGACAAACTGTCTTGCCTAAGGACACAGATATTTCTGCCTTTACCTGAAACTCGGCTTCTGGGTCCCAGATCACCAGGTCCCCGTCCATGCCCACTTTGAGTTGCCCCTTCCGGTCGGCTAGACCAGCCAATAGGGCTGTCCGTTCACACATCAGGCGGACCAGTTCATGAATATGCATGCCCCGGCTCCGTGACCCCGTCCAAAAAAGCGATAATCCTTTTTTTTTCAGCACAAAAGAAAAAGCATTCAAAATTTGAAAATTGACTTTTTCATTAAGTACTTATATGTACAACAGAATTTTCAAGCAAATTTCTTACATTCATAATGAAAATTTGCAAATTAAGGCCACGGGTACAAAAAATTTTTTTTAAGGTCTAAATCAACTTCTAAATTTCAAATCAAAATTTCCCAAATGACCCTTCTACTGAGGCAATCTTGTCAGCGTTTTTAATAAACACATCTAATAATTTAACCCTAAACAGTTAATAAAATTAGACACAAATTGATACAGGTTTGCTCTCTGAATTTAATGATTTATTTCTTCCTGTCCATTCATCTTGCTGTAGCCCAATAATTTTTGACTCGCTAGCCGGGCTACTTAAGGAATAGTTTGACTAGCCCGCCGCTGTTTTGACTAGCATTTGGCTAGCGGGCTACTGCTAAAGTCGAACCCTGACTTCTGCAAAATCCTCCAAAAGGTTACTGTCTCTTACCGAACTGTAGGGAAGAAATTCCGCCCCACGCTTTCATGAAGTCTCCCTCTTGAGTCAGCTTGAGGTCGGCGGTGCATGGTGAGTGATCGGACACGATCAGATCGATGTCACCATTGTTCACAGCCGACCAAAGCCTGGCCTGTAGAAAATTGATTCATACCGAGACCAACTAGTTAAAGGTACAACAGATTTGCAGCTATCCTAAAAGAAGGTCTCTTCCAAAGATGTGTCTAAAGCCACATTTTTGGAAATTTCCGTTAGTAGTTCATTTTTAATTTGGCGAAGCCGTCAATGGGTGCGCGCAAACGTTGATATGATGTACACGCATGCGCAGTTGCTATAATTCGTCGGTTCAGTGCATGACGTCGCGTAGCTGTAACCGGCTGAATGAGAACGTGTTCTGGACGCTGATTTCGGGCGCAATTCAAAACATGACTCGGCAACTTTTGAATTGAAACCGAGATCCTAGAATATTGCTCTCTCGGAATGTACAGCATTCACACACCTAAAATTCATCAGGTTGGTTGTTAAGCACCCTTCTTTAGATTTTGAGCACTTTTGTTGCTTCAAATGAAAAAAATGCACAAATGACGAATGACATACTCTACCTTTAAAGGCAGTTAAGATCATTTACATTTATCCCAAAAGTAACTTACCAAATTATTATCAAAAAAGCTTACTTGGATTAAAGATCGTACTGGTACTAAACACCCCGTGAAATTATTCCATCTGGCTTGCTGTCATTTAGAAGAAATCAAGAAATGCAGGTGATTTCCAACAATCTGTCAAATGACTGATTTTTGGAAATAAGAGTGCTATGGACAAAATAGTGTTTCGTGATCAAAAGGTTGTGCATGGTTGTTCACTGTTATTCTCGAAAAGTGTAATATCCACTGAGCTGAAACTTCAACGGGTAAGGTTTTGATCGTTCGTCATTCTGCTTTCTTAAATTTTGGTGTTAATATTCTCACCTGATTTTCTTGTTCTCTGATTGGTGGGCAGCATTTGAACTGTGTTGCTCCACTCGGCACGGTCTCCGCATCCAATGAGAGGTAGTGATGGCAGGTTTCCACGGTGATGGGAGCGCCCTGCTTACGGGCGTCGAGGATTATGGGTAGGGCCTCGGCCGAAGAGAGGTGAACAATGTGGCAAGGGACTCTGAAATGGTACCCAAAAAAATTTGTGAAGGAATTATGACTGGACTTGTGATGGACTTGTGATGGACTTGTGATGGACTTGTGATTGACTTGGGATGGACTTGGGATGGATTTGTGTTGGACTTGTGATGGACTTGTGATGGACTTGCGATGGACTTGTGATGGCCTTTTGATTTACTTGTGACTGGACTTGTGATGGACTTGACTTCAATGGGGCTTGGTAGGAGCGTAATTTACCTATACTGCAAGCACAATCTGGCAACCAATCGGATGGCCTCGTTCTCCATGGCTTTCGGACGGGATTTGAGGAAAGTCTCGTAGGCAGTTGGGGACGTCTCGCTTTCGTCCGGAGGAAGATTGGTCTCCACTTCCGCGTGAAACTGTCAGAAAGAAAATTTAGAACAAAAAATGTGGACTTTCAGTCAAAAACACTCCTTCACAATTCATTGTGATGGAAATCAGGAAGGTTTTGGGGAAGTGGTTCAAAATCCTGTAACAAATTACCGACACAAAACAGAGGGCCTAGTATTCTGGGTAAATTTGTCTTCAGCTTATTCCGGATAAAAGAAAAATTAAGTTAAAAGAGTTTTTTTGCAAGAATGTGTATGCCTAGGACCCGTGTTGCGTCACTGATATGCGTGCATTAGCAACACACACATACAACTGCTAGCTAGACGTACGCAACGCCAAATGAGTGATTTTAGCATTCTTCATAACGAGAAAAATGAAAACTTATCAGAGGTCAAATCAACTACTGTCACAATCAATAGGCTTGAGAAGATTACCTCATTAAACAAAAGTATTTTTCACCGTTCTGAAAAAGGTTTGCTATGTGGATTTTATGAAATGCCTGCTTAACCAGTTTGCATGGGGATTATTTTTGCCAAAAATTTTGATTTTCAAAAAAGGCAAGATATAGCAGCCAACTTGTGATATACAGCCAAAGCGCCACAAATACTGATTCGCAAGAGTCATTTCAACAGTATGATATTTCTTTCCGCAACCTCATATTTTTCAACACTCCGGGGTGCACCCACGGAGCGTAAATTGTACCACAACAGGCCATGCGCAGTGGCCAAGTTCAAGTTCATCACACGGTCTGACTTCACAGACTTCTCTAATTTTGTGTGTGTACAAAACAAATGGGTGATTAGCGTGTTTAGACGTCACCCGGAAGGAGTCGAGGCACGCTTGACGTTTTAACCTGTCAGCCGTGCCTGTGTATAGACACAGCCAGATCGTGTTAACACGTCATCCGACGCGAAGTGGTTAATTTCTTTTCCGCGTACACGTACAGGAACGCGAAGCTTCCAGTACGCGCTGCCGTATGAGTAAACGCGTAATTTAACTGTTCAAATTATTGAAATGACACCTTACCAGAAGTACACTGTCTGTCCCTTGCAGTTCCTTCATGGCTTTGTGCAGGTCTGCCTCCGTCACGTGGGGAAATTCGTCCACCCCGCTGTGAATGAGGAAACACTTGAAGCCGGAGATCCCGGCACGAATCATCGGCTTCAACTCCAGCTGAAAAAAAGGAAGTCTTTTCATGCATCTGGTTTACACAATTGGCTGATTGAGCCCACAAATTGGCGTTACAGGTGATCCTATACAATAGCACTGCCCAGCTCACAAGTGACGGCTAGTCAATGAGTCAGTGAGATAGGCTCAAAGAGGATTCTCGGCTGGCCCTCTGGACCAGCGAAAATATCCAATACCCATCGTCCAAATTTGGGACAACATTTAACTCATTAGCAGCAGTACAGACGTCATTGTATTACATTGTGTTACGTTCCGTTAATAACGCTGAGAAGTTATTCGAATGAAATAACTGTATCCCAGACGCGATGTAACTATAAAATTGGACCGAACCTGATTTCCCGGTACCACACCGCCCCAGAATGCAACGTCAACGTACGCCATCTTGGCCGCGTAGTCCAATTTCGTCCGGAAGGCATCTAGAGTGATGGTCGACGGAATACAATTTCTGCGAAAAGAACACCAAAAAAAACATCCCTTGCTGTGCTAGTACAGTAACTAATGTAAGTTAGTTTGAATACGGAGTTGCCTAGCAGTCAGGGTTTGTGACTCATGATCACAGGGTCAGGGGTTTGAATCCCAATGTTTATTGTATGCTGTGTCCTTGGGCTAGCCATTTTACCCACATTTGCCTGTCTCTCCCCAGAGTTACAAATTTAGCAGGGGAGTTACGTCTCCACATCCTGGGAGATGGAGACATTCTCAGTCATTTCATGGCAATGAAACATCTGTCCATATCCATACCCACTGCTTGTCGTATGTTGTGTCCTTGGGCAAGCCAGTTTACCCCAACTTGCCTCTCTCTACCTATAATTACAAATGGGTACTGATGCTAGAGTTATGTCCCTGAAATGGCATCCCATCCTTGGAAGATAGAAATAGTCTCAGTCATTTCATGCCAATGAAACATCTGTCCGTAGTCGTAACCACTGCTTGTCGTGTCCTTGGGCAAGCCACTTTATCCCAACTTGCCTCTCTCCACAAATGGGTACTGACATAGAGTTATGTCCTTGTAATGACACCCCATCCTGGGAAGACAGAGATATTCTCAGTCATTTCATGCCAATGAAACATCTGTCCATATTCGTACCCACTGCTTGTCGTATGTTGTGTCCTTGGGCAAGCCACTTTACCCCAACTTGCCTCTCTCTACAAATGGGTACTGACATAGAGTTATGTCCTTGTAATGGCATCCCATTCTGGGAAGTTAGAGATATTCTCAGTCTTTTCATGCCAATGAAACATCCGTCCATATTCATATACATCCGTCCATATTCATACCACTGTTTGTTGTATGTTGCGTCCTTGGGCAAGCCACTTTACCCCAACTTGCCTCTCTGTACAAATGGGTACTGACATAGATTTACATCCCTGTAATGGCTTCCCTTCCTGGGAAGATAGAAATATTCTCTGTCTTTTCATGCCAATGAAACATCTTTCCCTATTCATGAATGAAATATCCGTCCATATTCATACCACTTCTTGTCGTATGTTGTGTCCTTGGGCAAGCCACTTTATCTCAACTTGCCTCTCTCTTAATTTACAAATGGGTACCAACATTAACTGGAGATTTACATCCCTGTAATGGCATTCCGTCCTGGAAAGACAGAACATTTTAAATCATGTCATGCCAATGAAATATCTCCCTCTTTTCACGCCCCCCCCCCCCCAACTTCCCCGACTCAGAATTTGAAGGAGAAAATCCAGAGATTGGTTGATCATCAGTGCTTACAGGGGCATGTCCACGATGGTGGTTATCCCTCCGGCAGCTGCAGCTTTGGTGGCCGTTTCATATCCCTCCCATTCCGTACGTCCTGGTTCGTTCACGTGGACGTGACTGTCGACAATACCGGGCATGACAAGGTGACTACCAGCATCAATATCCTACGGGAATTGACACGAGAAACTTATAAATTTGTACAATAACCATTACCCCTGACGGCTGAACTTTTAATTCCTGTATGGAAACTTTACAAAACAATGAATTTTTTATTTTTTCAATCATACTCCATTGCTGAACCAAGTACATGAACACTTTCTGTGTGGCGTTTGTACCATCCGCCAAGGTTGAAGGCAAACAAAAGTGACCATGGTAAAGTGGAATGCCTAAGGACACCGGCGTTAAAGATGTTAAAGTTGCATGTACTACGTTTGAAAATACACTTACCTTGTGTGTATCCCAAAATGAGGGAAAAAGGATTGTAGTAAAGTGGATTGCCTAAGGACACAGCATTAAAGTGGCATATGTGTACCACAGTTGAAAATATAGGCCTACTTACGATCGTGTATCCCAAAATGATGAAAATGATTGTGGTAAAGCAGATTGCCTATGGACATTGTCATTAAAGTTGCATATAGGGCCTACCATGGTCATCATGGTTGACATTATACTTACCTTCTGCGTATTCCAAAATGAGGGGAAAAACGATTGTAGTAAAGTTGATTGCCTAAGGACACAGGCATTTAAGTTGCACGTACCATGGTTGTAGATATACTTACGATCGTGTATCCCAGAATGATGAAAATGATTGTGGTAAAGCAGATTGCCTATGGACATAGTCATTAAAGTTGCATATACCATGATCACCATGGTTGACATTATACCCACCTTGTGTGTATTCCCAAATGAGGAAAACGATTGTAGTAAAGTGGATTTCTTAAGGACACAGCATTAAAGTTGCATGTACCACTATTGAAAATATACTTACTATCATGTATCCCAGAATGATGAAAATGATTGTGGTAAAGCAGATTGCCTATGGACATAGTCATTAAAGTTGCATGTACCATGGTCATGATGGTTGACATTACACTCACCTTGTGTGTATTCGAAAATGAGGAATACGATTGAAGTAAAGTGGAGTGCCCGAGGACACAGGCATTAAAGTAGCATGTACCATGGTTGTAAATATACTTACGATCGTCATACCAGAATGATGAAAGTAATGATTGTGGTAAAGCAGATTGCCTATGGACATAGTCAATAAAGTTGCATGTACCATGGTTATGATGGTTGACATTATACTCACCTTGTGTGTATTCCAGAATAAGGGAAAAACGGTTGTGTTAAAGTGGATTGCCTAGGGACACAGCAATAAAGTTGATGTACTGTGTTTGAAAATACAATTAACTTGTGTGTATTCCAGAATGAAGAAAAACACAATAGCAGTAAAGTGGATTGCGTAAGGACACAGGCATTAAAGTTGCACGTACCATGGTTGAAAATATACTTACCAAGGTGTGTATCCAAGAAGGAAGAAAAAATTATTGTGGTAAAGTGGATTACCTAAGGACACATGAGGCATTAAAATTGCATGTATCATGGTTAAAAAATACACTAACTTCGTGTCTCCGGCCACAATGAAGAAAAATTAATTGTGGTAAAGTGGATTGCCTATGGACACAGGCACATACCTTTTGTGCATCCCAGTGACCATTGTAACCTTTCCCTTCCATTATTCTTGTAATCTTGCCATTAGTGATCTCCACAACAGCGGGTCCTATGGTTGCGTTGTCCCTGAGAAGCACGCGTCTGCTCCTTACTCGTACGGAAGTCATCTTGCATGCTGAAACAAGTTCAGAACAAAGTTTCTTTGATTATGTAACCCCGACAACAGATACTGAGATAGATAAAACTTGGAAAAATGGGGTTGACACCCCCCCCCCCAAATACCATGTGCGTGTACACTGTGTACTGACTGTGTAGGCCTACTTGTATTTTACGGGGTAGGACGCCCCCCCCCCCCCCCCCCCCAACAACAACAACAATCCTCCCATCCCACTGCACAGGTATTTAAGTTATTTATAAAACACATTCGATTTAACTCATTATAATAAATCCCCCTTTTTTTTCTCCGACACGCCCCCCCCCCCCCCCCCCCCCCCCTCACCACTAACTGCACGGTACAGTTCTTAAGGCCCTAAAACAGCCTTCTCAAACGACTATTTGCCGCTTCAGTGGCGACAGTCAATACGAACGATTAGGGTAAGCTGTACGAACCATCAAAAGATTTCCTGAATACGCCGTAGCTTTCAAAAGTAAAATGTTAAACTAAAGCCAACGTCAGATCAGCAGGTGCACAAAATAAACACAATCATCAATGCGCCGTGTGTCTAACAAGAGAGGGCGCTATAAACCTTCACCAGCAAAAAAAACCCGATTGCCGTTGATTGAACAGCAACTCTTTTCGTAAAGAGTGGAAACTCACTTCCACAAGAGATCTCGCCTTTTTTCCCCCTCGTTTTGTTTTCATCATTTTTTTAATCACCGCCTTAATTTTACTAGCTCCACTAACTAACTCAGCTATCCCCACAATAAAAAAAAAAAGTGGGGGTTGAATGTACGTTGTCAAAAAATACTGCTGAAAGTACGAACTAATTACTCAGATTAGAAATAAAGAAAATCAACTAAGAATTGACGCTTGAGAATGCCGCCGGGGGTAAACCCCTGTCGAACAACCTAATATTTTAAGCACTTTTTGGCCCCTTCTCAGTCTTGGGCTGTTGACTACGTAACGTAAACCATGTTTATTTCTTTGGGACCTCATTTTCTGAACTTTTCCTATCATGTTCAGCTGCGGGGTACGGGCGGTGGGAGTAGGGGGGTGCTTTCGAAACTGATGTCGCCCGGAATTTCCTTGATTTGATTTGATTTTTACTGTGATCTTGGAGCCAGCAGGTCAAGTTGGGCTTTAAAAAGTAACAACAGAAATTCATACCAAAGTTACACTCGTAACCGTTTCCTTGCAACGAACAGAATTGTCAGTGAAACTTTTTCCAAGTTGACTTACTTGACTTTATTTCCATCCATGATAGGTACAATAATTATTATTATACAAAACCATGCCAAAATAGCTAATTTTTGTGGTGTTAGGAAATATAAAGCAGGGATGGAGGGGACCCGCAATGAACTGTTTTCTATTGATAAACTATCGCAATGCTGTTATATAGCTGCACACCCCAAATGTACTGGCAATTTCAGTGCGAAAGTATTCTCGTTCATTGTCTCTTCTGTCGTACTCCGTGTCCTTAAACTTTTGTATCCTCTCGTGCCGAGCTTGGCATTGATTGGATCTTAAACTGCTCGTCAAGCTCATCAAAATGCACTTTTCTGAACTGTTTACACCCCCTTCCTGTCATGGAATCGTCTAATCGTCTGACGTATCGCAAGGTACGTTCAATTGCTGTAGACTTGAAGCTTTATGAAAACAAGAACTACTTTTGGAAGTGCAACCGTCTGCCAAAAAAGGGCTTTCACTTTACGCAAATATGAACCCACCCTACGAGAACCGAAAGACTTTACTGTCTGCATGGCAGCCAATAATTCGAATTTTGGGAAGTTATTATTAATTACCTAAACGTCGGTGGATTTTTTTTCGCGTTCGAAGTCTCATTCAAAAGTGAATAACTCTTCTATTTCTATAGAAAAATAGTCGTTGAAAAAAAATCTACTTTTCGAGGTGGACCACCAAACACGGTAAAAGCATGATATGCGTGTACCGTCTTTTTAGGCGGGTGTCTTAAAGTTGGTATATAATTTCGATTTTCTTTTCCGAACGAAATTTAAAGAAATATAATGTCCTGCAACAAATAGATTTGCTTGTTTATGTTTGCAGGCATCCAGTTTGTGTTTTTAAATGGCGCACCCCAGTTCAGAAATTGCGCACACTATTCAGAACGAATTAGGAGCGTCCCGCTCTTGATTCAAAAGTTGAAATTAATTAATTGATAACTTGTCTTGGGCTTAATTTTCCGTGCGATATCTCATTGGAAAGCTCATAACTAATGTAATGCTTCAAAATTGTCAATTCAATTTGAAAAACTATTTTTCAAGGTGCCACACCCAAAAAGCACATATACACCAACTTTAATCTTTTGTGTTGAATCGAGACCGACTGGTCCTAAGACTGGTCAAAACTAGGGGCGACACCTGAAAATTGTTTTAGAAAGGTACCTTATTTGCATAAAACGAAAATGGCCGCCGTACCGGATATTATTGGGGTTTTGGTACATTTTCAAAAACATTTTTGAAAAGTATATTTATGGGATTCTTTTCCCCAGATATCATAAGGTAGTCTTGCCAAACCTCAGTAAATTCACAGTCATATACTTACTGGCACATTTACCCTACAACTATTAAGATTTGGATTCAGGATTTATGCAAATTAGGCACCTTCCTGCCACCCCCCCCCCCAAAAAAAAACCCCACAGGTGCCACCAGTGGCGTCACCAGACTTTTCAGTCTGGGGGGGGCACAGGGGGGGCACCAGCATTTGATGGGGGGGGGGGCACTTAGGTGGATACGGATCGCCGTCCTGGGGGAGGGGTCCCCTTTGGAAAATTTTCGCATACGGAGGATGGGCTAGATGCAAAATGGTGCCACATTTGCAGCTCATTTGAAGAAAATACGAATTACTGTGCTTCTTTGTCCTTATGAAAAAACAAATCAGATGATGGGAGTTGAATATAACAAAATATATGTATATTTTTTTACCAACCCAAATCTCAGATGGGGGGGGGGGCACTCGGGGGGGGGGCACTAGGTTTTCCAGGGGGGGGGGGGGGCACGTGCCCCCCCTGCCCCCCCCCCCCCCCCCCTTGGCGACGCCACTGGGTGCCACCCCTTCTAAATATCTTCTCTAGCGTTGGACGAATCTATCCGCCAATTTGGAGCTTTGGACCAGTCAGTCACGATCTTGTCAAAAATTGGATCTAAGCAACCTGACTATTTTATAATTAACCTTCTCTGTATCATTAATTCTTACAAACCAAGCTACAGCCTCGTCCCCAAAAGAGGCAAAACTAAAGGTACGAAAGAGACGTGTACGCGGGTTAATCAAGATAATGGTGATGAAAGTCGTGACATCGACAACAATTGTGATTCTGCATCTGCTGATGATGCCTGGATTGTTTTTGATGACGCGCTATCTTTCTGGTTAGGTTTGTTGATGAAGGTGATGGTACTGATGAAGATGATGAGTGTACCAGGTGGTGATGCAGGTAGAGGTGATGAAGGTTATTAGGTGATGATGAAGGTGAAGGGGTCAAGGTGAAGGTGGAGACTATAGTTAAGGTGACGTGGTGACTATAGGTGAAGGGATGATCAACGTGAAGGTGGGGACGTAGGTGAAGGTGGTCACGAAGGGGAAATGAAGGCGAAGGCGGCAATGAAAATGAAGGTGATGATTAAGGTGAAGGTGGGGAAGTAGGTGAGGGTGGTGACGAAGGTGAAGGTGGTGATGAAGGTGAGAGTGGTGATGAAAATAAAGGTGATTAAGGTGAAGGCGGGGATGTATGTGAAGGTGGTGATTTAGGTTAAGGTGGTGTGTAGGTCAAGGTGATGACGAAGGTGAAGGTGCTGATGAAGGTGAAGTTGACGATTAAGGTGAAGGTGGGGATGTAGGTGAGGGTGGTGACGAAGGTGAAGGTGGTGACGAAGGTGAGAGTGGTGATGAAAATGAAGGTGATAATTAAGGTGAAGGCGTGGATGTATGTGAAGGTGGTGATTTAGGTTAAGGTGGTGTGAAGGTGCTGATGAAGGTGAAGTTGACGATTAAGGTGAAGGTGGCGATGAGTGTGAAGGGGTTACGAAGGCGAAGGAGGTGATGAAGGTGAATGTGATGATTATAAGGTGAAGGTGGGATGTAGGTGAAGGTGGCGACTATGGTTAAGGTGGCGATGTGGGGTGATGGCGAAGGTGGAGGTGGTGGTGTAGGTGGTGATGATTGTGGAGTTGATGATTAATGTGAATGTGAGGACTATAGGTGAAGGTGGTGATGAATTAAGGGTGATTGTCATGATGGTGATTATGATGCTGATGTGGGTTTATGACAATGACTTGGATAATTAGAAATACGAGAATTGTCATGGTCGAATGATGTCATGAGTGAAAAGTCCTGACTGGCCCGAAAGAAACGAGGATTTGACAGCGACATGACGTCACTAAATGACGACACCCAATATATAATTCACATCATTATCTTCGGTAGCCCTGAGCCCTGATACAAAAACCTTGAACAAGAGACGATTGACTTCACGGCCTTCGGTAGGGGACCAACTATCAAGGTAATTTTACTGCAGTGAAAATCGAATATAAAATTACTTAGAACACTCGTATTTTTTTTTCAACAAAATTTACAACAATCTCTCATTTGGTAAATTCAACCGCATGCCTACATGTTCTATACACTGCATATTGCGCTTGCATTATGACTACACCATTTGAAATAAATATTCTTCGAAAGAAAAATCATCTCATTAGATAGTAGATATAATCCTCATGGAAAAATAAAATGAGAATTATGAATTATGAGCGACCAAAAAATTACCAACGCTTGACGCAAAAAAACCCCCTGAACTGATAATGCGCATCCAAAGATGTCCACACCCAATATCCGCCGCTGTCTTGCGATGGTCTAAAAATAGATCATCCCCAGTCTATTTTTGTCTCCTCCTATATCGCCGTGCAGCGAGAAAGGCTAGGCGCGGGTCTTGTGTAAATTCAACGGGCGGGCTAAAAATATGCCTGCGCTAAAAATAGACGCGCGGGTATAGAGATAATATAGATGAGCATGCACTTGGCAATGTGTGCATGTACATGTATATGTATGTACATTGTACATGCGGCAATTGATGATAATCACGTTGACCCAGCCTATTGCATGCTGTGTGTAGCAGAGAGGCAGTGTCTTATTATGCGAGGACGATGTCTGGTTATAACGCAACCGTATTGGAATATCTGGCCCTGGCCCTTCGTATCACGCAACGCGTCAGCGCTATCAGTTACGAACGAAGTCCACGGAGTGAGCACAGTCCGTAGAAAGCCAGCTTACTATCGATGAAATATGTCTGGGAAATATTATGTTTATAATTATGCAAGATAATAATTATTATAGACAGCAGTTGTTTTTTTACACCAATGCAAACACCAACGTCAAAAAATTATACTAACGACAAGACCATTAAAAAAACCTCGAAAAATAAATAACTTGCGTACGTGTATGCCTTAATTTCAGGTCGGGCGAGGGCGGGGCATCTTAAGAAGTCTCATTTAGGGGAGGGGCGTGCATACAAATCAGGTAAGCACAGCCCACGGTGTGAATGCAGTTGTTTCAATTTAATTTGTCGTTTCAAAATCGTGTGTCCCCCCCAACATCATTAAATGTCTGAGACCATTCTGTTTTAACACTAGGACCACACGTTTTGGGTCTTCTAAGGACCGGGGGGGGGGGCACATTATTGTCACCACCCTCAGCCATAATTTATTTTATTCTACGGCTGTTTCTTAAATTTTTAACAAAACATTGGTCGACTTGTACTAGTTGTAGGGCTAATTAATATATGACGTCATTTGGTTGCACTGTGGCCACCACAAGAGGGCGCTTTTTTTCCATTTTTGATCAAAAATACTATTTGTGGGAAAAGTAAAAGAAACATATAAAAGAGACGTCTTTAAGTGGACTGCGCTAGGTCCCGCCTATTTTCCCGCCCATTATTATAATGAGCAAAAGACCGTACTAGTCACAGGCATGTGTACTCATTTGTCATTGGTCCATCGATGTCCATCCAGGCGGGCCCTCTGGGCGTGTGTCTTCGTTCGGGCCCCGCCCATACTTGCAATTCAACCATCTGCCATTGATAACGATACATATTCATAAGGTTTGTTTAGTGAATTGCCAACCAAGAAAGCCATCATGTTTAAAAGAGGATATTCCGAAATCACTCATTTTAAAAAAAGTCATTTTATTAAAGACTTTTAAAGAAAATACAGGGCCTGTCATGCATGCGCATGACCATGGAGGAACGAATAAACTTGATTTCTTGAACCATTCCATCATTAACGAAAAAAAACTCGAGTGGGTTGAAGAAAATGTACTTTGTACACGCGTGTTTTCATTTATGCTGGCTACTTCGGCAAAAGATATAAGTAGCAACTTGTAATCAATAATGTGCAGTTTGAGGAACTTCAATAACCAAAAAAATTAAAACAAAAACATTATCATAAACTACTACGACCTCCCCTCCCTGGTAGTCTGACGTAACTCGCAGGTACCCGACAGCCTATCCAACCTATGCAAAAGCACCGAGTTGAGGTTACAGTTCAGTGAGTGATGTATGTATAGTACCAGGCTAGCAAACGGGTTTCCTTGTCAAATTGGAATGGGCACCGCACCCTGAATGTTACGGCCATTACTGGAAATAGTAAAAAAAATATTGCTCGACGGGTGAATCTTCTAATAAAGACCGATTCTGGACGGAATTCGACAAAAGGAGGTATCTGAGAGCGAACACCACAATTTAGGGGGTAAGTACTGGTCCTTATGAGTCCAAAATTTGGCACCCGAGGGGCAGTTTGAGGTTGAAAAGGGCGAGGAATTCGGCCAGTTGCCCGGCATCGGGTGCACCGATAAGCGGTTTTAGGCGGTGCCTTGGTACGGGAAAAATCCTCGCTCGCTGTGTTGTTGACGATTGGGTCTTGACTGCTAACGCACGATTACCGTATTTTAGGTCCGTGCAAAATGATACAAATTCAATTATAAGCTACACAAATATTTCAGTGTGCCCAGCTCTTCAAGTGAGGTGTGGCGAGTCGGCACTGTTGGGAAATTTTGGAGGATATCTCGGCGATATTACGGTTGCTGTGCGGGGCCGGTTAGTCGTGAATGCGGAAGCCATTTTGGATTTCTCGCAGCTTCTCTTGTGTACGGATCGCTTTGTGTTTCCATGTTGATTTAGCCCTTAAGTCATCATTTGTATTTAATTAACTATTTACAGAAATGTTTTTTGAAGTAATAAATGTCCAGTTTATTGTTTCTTTCAATAAATTATTGTGTTGTGAAATGATTTTTGAGCTGAATTTCTTGTCAATGTCATGTCATGCGTGTTTGTCCCCGAATTTGTAGTTGTCGTCTGTGATTCACGATTCTCATGTAAAACAATGAGTAAACAATATCCATATTTCCTACCTGTTTTCTGGTTATGCCCGTTCTTTTTTGATTTGTAAATTTGAAAACAGGTTTTAAATGTGTTCCTTAAAATGAAAAGGCTTTTCATCTTATCTGTCTATGCAAGGCATTGTGCAATTATCAATGATTGTGGTGAACAAGACCACGACCCACTTCCTTGAAATGATGAAAATATCGTGTTCAGTACTAGTTTACAAGTTGTTTAACAAATTTGTACACTTGCTACAAATGCATGTGGTTTGTGTCTCTTTGTGGACAGAACTTCTTACAATATATGAAGAATTGAAGGGAAAAAAAGGATGATTTATTGACATAATTTTTCAAAATATGTGCGCGCTTTTGACACATCATTGAACAGGAAGAAAAGAATTGCTGACAATTGAAGGGAAAGATTTCCATATACGAAGTTCACTCAACACCCTGTGTACAAACCCTATGAGATTGGACTGAAAAATTCTAAGTGTTTTCTAAGAAAATGCTTGTATTTTCTCACTGCTCAAATTGACTTTGATGACATGAAATTGCTATCTGGGGGCTTGTTAGTCAATACAGAGGAAAATTAGTGAACTTCGTATATGGAAATCTTTCCCAATTGAAGCGCCATCAATTTTGAATCAGTATCTGCCTAAAGTATTTTTTTTAGGAAAAAGAGGTGCGACTTCTTTGGTGTTTATATATTTTTGTGGGTGTAAATCCACCGTCATGACCCTGAATCTTCAAAATCAAATCTTGTCAACATTGGTATTGTCTGAGTGCGCTATTCATTTTGATGGATTTAGTAGCATGCTTCAAAGACGGTTGCCATTTATATATCCGATTAAATAATCTGTTTGTTTTTCATGCGTGAAGAATGGTACATGTAGTCTTCAGTTGTGAAGTTGGCACTCAATTGGGAGAAGGCATACGAATGTCCTTACCTCTTAAAAAACGCTTGCAATCTGAAAAGGAAGTGGAGATGTTTCAAAAAGGATTTTCAAAGATTTTGAAGCATTTGGAAGTTCATGTACTGGATGAAAATGAAAAACTGAACTTGAGTTTGTTTATTCCCCCAAATTCTTGCAGACATTCAGTTTAATCTTCAGGAATTTTATCATATTATCATGGATGTCATACTGATTATCCGGCATCTGTGCACTTACTTCTGCACTCGTTCCAACAGCTTTCAAAGCTTTGTCCTAAATATATTCATGAAGGACATTATGCCTTTTGTTTACTTATGACTATAATATAATGTGTGTATCTCTGTGGTGTTAATTGTAATCCTTGGTCATGGCAATAAAGTAAATGACAATGTGTCATTATCATGTCCGACTGGTTTTTGTTCTCATTTGTTTTAAGTTAATTACTTAATTTACTCGGCAAGGTTGAGCACATGCAATGCACTCGTGTTGATGAGAGCTCTAAACATCGTCATGGCTCTGCTCACTGCAGTATTACTTCTATGTACAGCTTCAATATCTTACGCACAATGGAAGTACCAAGTAAAAAGATGGAAACCTCCAAATTCTGTGAGTGTGAAAAATTGAAAACTGTCTGAAATGGTATCCATCAGCGAAATGAAATGTGCATTTCATCGTGTCCGTGTAAGGTCGTGTCTCCTAAAATTGGGCCATTCGTGAAACGCAAGTTTCAGAATGGCAAAAGGTCGTATCTTACTTTAAATAATCCGGCTACATGTACACACAAAGTCAGTGGACTTCGAGATTCGACCTTATTCGCGCGAGATACAACTTTGTTGCAGAATGGAGTTACTCCCATGTTGCACTGACGCGACGATTTCTCTGTTTTTCTTAAATCACAAAAAAAAGATATAAGTTTGAACACAACAGAAAAGTATGCTTTTTCTTGACGTTATTCACAAGAACCATAACTCTCTCTGACCCTTCAAATTTACCAGGATTCAGAAGATTTTGTAGGATTGAGTAAGGTAGCATCCTGCCACAGATACATACATGTGTATAATGGCACATGGGCTCTGAAGATCCGAGCAAAAATGTGTTGAAATGCAGTTTGCATGTACCTCGCAACATTTAATAGAAAGATCCGCCCGCCCTAGCCAATGGTGTTTTGTCCAATCACAGTAATGAGTAATGTTCAACATGAATACACTTGCGTATGACACATGTGCGTGGAACGTGCAGCAAGGAATTGGAGTGGTGCACATGTTGTTGTCCATGTGCACTTGGGCGTGCCCTAATGGATGATTCTATTCATCATTTGTCATATCCATTACAACTGAAGTTGTAAATCCAGTATTTGGAAATGATTGATTTAGGTAAAAAAAAATTGATGTTTACAGGATTGCTTGATGGATAAATCTTGAATAACTACAAATTCCCGTCAGTAGTTATTTTTGAAAAAAAGTAAAACTGCTGCAAACTGCTTACTGACTGGATGGACCTGAAATATATAAATCTTAAAATTAATGTGGCCTGACGTTGCGAACTTAGCAAGTTCTTCTTCAGAGCCTCTGAAGAAGAACTTGCTAAGTTCGCAACGTCAGGCCACATTAATTTTAAGATTTAAGTAGTTATTTTTATCTGAGGGGAAAATTGATATAGCTCGTTCACAAAAAAAATGGCCAAGCTCTTTTATGTCTGCAACCTTCTGATTTTTTTTTTAAATTTTGGGAACAAAAAAAGCCGCCATAGGAGCAGAACGTTTCTAGTCCGCACACTACCGATTAATGTGTCGCGGTGGAATCGCGTCAACGCAGCTTCTTAAATATTGTCCAATAACATAATATACAATTGGATTCGGAATGTGCAAAATCTGAGACTAACAAAACTTTACGTACAAAAATTCCATAGGGTTGTCTAAGGGGCGTAGCTAACTCGCAAATGGCAATAAGAATACCAAGTGAAAATCTCCATGGGGGTTGTCTTAGGGGTGTGGCTAACTCGCAAATGTCGATAGCTCAGTTGTGGGGTGGGAACCAGAATACCCAGTGAGAACAGAATTATTGTCGGGCTGCAAGTAACTCGAAATTTGTTAAGTAAAATAATTCAATAACTGAGTGGGGACGGAATTTTGTCGGTCAACGTCTCATTCAAAAGTGAATGACTTTTGTATTGCTTAACAAAAAGCAAATTGAGAACGAATTCATTTTTAAGATCAAACTCGAAAAAGAGCATTGCTAATGCATCTATAATTGAATGCGTCTTTAACTCCATACACCTATAAGTCAATGCAGCTTTAAGTGAATGCAGCTTTAAGTCAATACAGTTTTAGGCAATGCAACTTTTATGCATAATTACCATAAATATGCTAATTGTTGTCTATCCTTTGTTTTCTTTTGCAGATCTGTTTTTTTTTTCAGATCACTGCCCAGGGACTACCTGGACACACCTTTTTATTAACCCAGGTAAGTTTTTTTTTAGCTTCTTTTTTATTTAAATTTTGATCGCAGCCCATTAACGCTGCCCCAATGTACAATATAGTCTATTGTAAAAGTAATTCTGAAAGTGATATCCTTAACCCTAACCCTTAATCCTCCAAAATCCTCCTGGCGGTTTTGGAGGATTTTGGCGGATTGAGGATGAATGGTGTTTGAGAAACATGAGGATTTTGGAGGATTGAGGATGAATGGTGTTTGAAGAAGAGGAGGTTTTGGAGGATTGAGGATGAATGCATTTTGTTTAAGGCAGGACTGTCTGATGATTTTGGAGGATTGAGGTGCTGGGTATCCTTCATTTGAACAAAAGTGCAACATTTTGGAGGATTGAGGATGGTTCTTAGCAAAACATCTGAGGCTGTTAGGGTTAAAGTTAATATATAACATTTACTTTTGCCGTAATTTTCAGAAATGGATGGATTTGGAAATTAATATTTTATAGCAAATATTGTTACACTGAGCTGTTTAAAGTTTTGTGTTTGTGTACATGTATGCTGGAAAAACCAAGAAAAAAATGTTCTAGTCGTGTGGTTCCTGACCTTACTTCAGATGAAATAGAGCAATTTATAGGCGTTGGGGACTGGTCGGGCCAGGGAACCAGACTAGCTGGCTTGCATCCGTTCACGGATGTGTATTAAACCGATTGCAAACAAAATGTGGACTAACTAAATTCGGTACATACATGTAGGGGTCAGTATTTGAAAAAAAAGTCAGTTTTTTTCCAACGCTGGTCGGCCGACTCATCGTTGGAAATTGCTACAAAAATTCCACTTTTCTTGAAAATGACAGCACACCAGGTGCCATGATTTTACAGGATGCTTGAGACTATTATTCACTTACAGTCAAGTAAGGAATTTCAAAATAATTTGGTTGTTTTGTTTTTTGATGCTTGCAAATGTTGTATATTACCTTTAACTTGGTGAAAAGTATGACTTTTTATTGTCCCAAGATGAAATTAAGGACAAAATCTTTCAACTGATTGATAAACAATAAATGAAATATACTGGCGTGGAAGTTCCAGCAACTTGTATTTAATAAAAAATTGAAGTGTCTGTAATTTTTAAAAATTGCTAAGGAAACATTAACCCTAACCACCCAACCCTTCAAAATCTGCATGTTTTGTTGGAATCTGTTGGAGTGAGTACTGCTCTAGTAAACTGATTATGCTTTACATGGGGTCAGGCATACCACCATAATCAGAGTCCAACAGTTTGGGTGTTGAGTTTACCATATGGTGTTGGGATTTTCCAAGAGTGAGGAAGGTTCCTAGTAAATCGCCTAAGGGGTTAGGGTAGTTTTGTTTTTTGATGCTTGCAAATGTTGTATATTACTATTACTAACAACAAAATGTTGCATTGATAACGTCACTTCAAACGTTGAGTCCCTCCAGTTCTTTTTAGAACCACACATACTCAAAAAAGAGATTTATTCACATGGTGCTACCGCAAACTTATCTTGTCTTAATGTCACTTCAGTTATTGTATTGTGTAATACCTGAAATCATTCGAACAATAGAGAGTTTCCTGCTGTTGTGCATAACAAATTTTGCTTTTCATAGAGACGTATAGAGTTCAGTATTGAATTGCATGTTAGTGTGGGACTGAAAGGGTGTTGTCTATATTTGTGCAAACTGAATCGGGAGGTTGTTTATAAATGTCGTGTGTATAGATTGTCGCATCCTGCTGCATTTTAGTCCCGAAGAATGGTCAACTTGAGATTAATTTTGATAAAGGTGAGCAACATGCCAGAATAGCAATTTTTAATACAGTGCTTGGTTGATAAACATCTTTGTTGACATCATTGGATTTCGCCGTGCACGTGAGGGATATTATCATCGTGTTGAAATTTCTTGCACAATGGTTGTGAATAGAACATTATTGATATCTAGGCCTAAGGCCTAACCAAAACAAATTGTGTGTTTATGGTAACCAGACCTACCTGGAATGTTTTTGTTCAAATTTCCGGACCTCAAAACTTTTTATTGCCACATTTGACCAAAAATTTAAAATAAAGTATAATGTTTAAAATAAAAAATCTTCTATAAGCAGGTTTTTTTTGGTGTGTTATTGGAACCTTCCTATACAAAAATACATTCTGTTCCAAGTTTTTCTTGCAAGTCAAAATCAATCAAGTGACTGTTTTCAACAGCTAAGAGCTCCTAGCCCACATAAAGCAGGATTGACTGGCTGTGACTGTTTATGCAGCTTGGTACAGCTATGCGTTGACTTTAGGTGACTGATAAGCCAACTGTGCCTACAACTTCTCTGCTTTTGTCGGTTGACTGAATTTGACTAGTCACAATGCTTGCTTGAAATATGATCTGACTGTTGGTGACTATTCTAGCTTGTGACTCTTCAGATAAGAGGAGGATTAAACAGGTTAATTAAACAATATACAATGAAAGGTATCTTACAATACACAAAAAAACTGTAAATGACCAACCGACAAAAAACACTCAAAAAATTACAAATATAATAATTTTTCTACCCACCTACCTGGATAATTTTGAGGGTGTCACCGTAAACACAATTTTTTTTCTCTGCCTAATGACAATGTTATTTAGAAAAAAAGACCCGTTATTTCATAACATCCTAGTGTCAGAAACGTTTCTTGTTTTTGTTTTGTTTTTTCATTAAAAAATAAAATTGAACAAAAGCTTATGAGCAAACCTATGCTGTTTTCATTTTCATTTTCATTTTCATTTCTGTTATGGGTATGATGTACTTTTAGTGAAATCATTCGACCTTGGAATCTATCCAAACAGAAAATAGAAATCCCTGCATATATACATACCATCTGCTGACACTACCAAACCTTAAATTCCCAGAATATTCAGGTCATAATTTTGTGTACCTGCACGTATCCTTTTGCTTCTCCTTAAAATCAGCTCACATTCCGGGAAAATTAAAATTGTCGGTACCTGTGTGCAACTACATTCTGTGTGAAAATGAAATGCATATCATATTACAAGGCCAGACACTCGTGCCACAATTGTGCACGTGGCACATCCGCATGAAACTGAAAACTGTAACATGGCGTTTTTGTATCGGAACATTTACTTTGTTATATATCGTATTGGTTGATGAGTCACAGACAGAAGGTTCGATCTCTTCCCGTGCCATGCATTTGTATAGACGAGTAAAAAACCTGGTAAGATCACATTTGTGTAAACACTGTGACTAGTCAAATTCCATCAACAGACAAACAGAGGTAACTACCTCCAGTCAAAGCATGGCTATATCAAGTTAACAAGGGAATTCGTAACTGTTAAAAGCAGTCACTTGATTGATTTTGACTGCTGTGATGGCGCAGCTGAATTTGCCAACGACTGTACGCTATGACTGACAGAACCCTATGATTGCCTGCACATGATTTAACTTGTTGAAAAATTGAAAGGGGTAGCTTTAACTTTCCTAATTTTTTGTTTGTGCTTGAAAACCCTTTAATTAACCCTAACCTTCCCAAATCCTCCAAAATACTCTTGGCAAAATTGAGGATTTTGTAGAATTGAGGCTATATGGCAAAAACGTGTGGCTGATTTTGGAGGATGCACCGTGTCAAGGTCTAGGGCCGGACCTTGTGTTGTTTATGCTCAGCCGTGCATAGATTTAGGCTTAGATTATACTTGAAATCCTCCGCACTGCTCCAGGATGTGACTGGCGCTGCCTCAACATATTGACAGCGATTGCTGGAGGATTTTGCAGGATTGGGGCAGTGGTGGCCCCTCCAAGGACCACATTCAAGAAATAACGGAGGATTTTGCAGGATTGAGGGTGTACATGCAATTTTTACATGGAGCATTTTGCAGGATTGAGGTTGCATCCTAGCCAAAATGCCTTGGGAGTTCTGGTTTAAAAGAAGCCAAGTTTTGCCTAAATGGTCTTGCTCAATAGATTTAGCACCCACACTTCAAAATACTTTGAGGTAATCTGTGGTCATCAATAACACCTAAAATCCCCAATTGTTTTGTGTGGTTAAGCTCGGGGCATGCAGGTTTAGTCTGTCACGCATCACTGCTCTCCACCATGCAATGTTTTGTGCAATGACTCTGTATGACACAAGTACAATGTACGTACTTAACTCTTCAGCTGAAGGGTGAGGCGTTTTAGATTGCACTTGCATATTGATTTCGCAGTAGGAGGGTTTACATTCAAAATCAAAACATCTGTAGTACTCCTATGAATGGTTTGTGCCACTACTTTTCACATAGGGCATGAGGTTCACATGTTGAGGCACAGCATGTCCGGTTTGGGTCACTGCACTTTGTTTCATTTTGAGTTCTTGACCCTACTTTTGCTCAGAATTGGCAAACAGCAAAACAAAATGTCCTTTGCCTTTAAAAGCCTTTCACAGTCAACCTTGTTCCCAGGGCCCACTTTGTTTTCCACCAGTAGTAGACCCCGGGAGAGGAAACTTGCTTCCTGCACTGTGATTCGATCAAGCAATAACAAGTACCGGATTTGTATCATGTACTTGTTGTCTTGTTGTTGATATCAATTTTCAATGTGTTTTAATTCAATGCTTGAACGATAACTGGGAATATTCTCCGCACGGCTGAGCATCAACAACACATAACCTCAATCCTTCAAAGTCATCCATTTTGCAAAGAGTGTTTCGGAGGATTTGGGAAAGTTAGGGTTAGGAATGCTGCCGCATGCGCGCAGACATGACGGCAGTGGCGCCACCACAAAAATAGCTTTTAATTTTGTTCAGCCAATTCACTGGAGGTTGCTTCACAGTCTTTTGTGTGGTCAACACATGTACAGGGCAAGCAGTGAGGCCCTCTGTCACGCATGACTGCACCGAAGATTACCTCAAAGGAATTTTGAAGTGTGGGTGCTAACTCTGGGGGCAAAACTGGTTTTGCAAAACTTGAAGGGTTGTGAAGTGCAAAAGACAGTAAGGGTTACAATCCCCTGGGGCCTTTTTTGCTAGGAACCATCCTCAATCCTCCAAAGTCCTCCAAAAATTTACACTTATGTTCAAATGAAGGATACCCAGCGCCTCAATCCTTCAACGTCGTCAGACAGTCCTGCCTCTCAAAATGCATTCATCCTCAATCCTCCAAAATCCTCCTCTTCTTCAAACAAGATCCTTAATCCTCTAAAATCCTCTAAAATCCTCATGTGCTAAAACACCATTCATCCTCAATCCTTCAAAATCCTCATGCTTCTCAAACACCATCCATCCTCCAAAATCCTCGAAAACTGCCATGAGGATCTTGGAAGATTGAGAAGGGTTAGGGTACCCATTGTTGGGGCTGATAGACTCGGTAGGCTGCAAGTATTTCCGATGTTGGGAGTCCAGTGGACTTCCTGGAGAAACCTAAAATAGTCGTGGCATAAAATACAACACAGAACACTTATAAACAAAACAAAGTAGGGATTTCCCCGTTAATTTTTTGAGTATGTACAAATCACCCTGTTTTGAAACAGATGAGGAAATGCACAATATTCTTCTTTATTTCCTCTAACGGCTACAACCATCAGTCTAACTTGTTTGAATCATCGCACCCTTTGAACCGACTCAAAACTAGACCAATCAAATGAAGTTGGAAAAGATTGCCGATATATTGACACAATGCTCACGTGACTGAAGATCGGAATCAAAGGTTACAGAGATATCGAGACTTATTCTGCAATTGTCTGGCACCGGTTACAACCGGAAATCTACTTGAAACGGGCGTATTGCAGAACCCGAATAACTTGGATTGCCTCTGGTATTGATATTTTTGTCACTGATGTGGCGACGGGATCAGTAGGGCATTTGATAAGGTGGGTAAAGTTCACTAGGTGTGTTGTTCGAAGAAAAGAAAAAAAAGTCTGGAAAGTTTTGGGTCAGGATTTGTTTTCGACTTGGGCTTAGTGGTGTGTATTTACGTGTAGTACTGGAACTGGGTACCCTGTTGAAGTAAAACACGTGTACCCAGGTATTCGTAAATGAAACCTAACCCTACAATTCAAATCCCGGAGATTGTCTGAAGGACTTTATAGCTTTACGGTGTAAACTGCAATTTGCTTGAGTGTCATCTGTCGTGCGTTCAAATGCACTTTTACGTGAAATCTGTTTTGGTTTTCCACGTAGCCTGGTTTTCATTTTGAAAACTACCCACAAATGGCATTCAAACCTTTCTTTTTCATTGTCGGAGAAGTAACTAGGTAATTTGTAAAGTTGGTTACGGGTGCCCGATCCCATAATCTGGAACCAGTTCCTGACATCAGCGGTCGGGTACTCGGGTACCCGGTTCCGATGCACAGCCCTACTAACATGTCAAGTTACCACCTCTTTTCTTATCGGAGTGATTACCTTGAACTTCTGTAAATTATAGTACTGTTCATGTGTCATATCCAACTGAAACTGTTCCGATGCGCACCCTTACTTGGGCCAAACCATATGTAGAGTAAGCAATTTCCCTTGACTTGCATTGCAAAATATTTGGGGCAAATGATCTGTTTGATATTGAAAATTTCACAGATAATAGACGCAAAAATGTGTTTTCACAGATAAGTTTACCAAAAAATCATAGCAGTTTGCTATTAAATTTAAAAACAAATGTGGGTCATTGATGTTTATTACATTAAAACACATTTTTTAAACTAATCACCTTGTTTGATATTTCCTGAATTAGATTGATTAAATTCATCAAAAAAACCCCGACAGACTGAATTGCCCTATTCGCAGTGGCTTTCTGCATCCCGTATTGTGCATGCATACATGATGATAAGACCGAGAAAAAGCAAATTGTGTGTTTAACGGTAATACTCTAAAAATTATCCAGGTACGTAGGAAGGAAAGTAATTTTATTTTGTAAATTATTTGTTTTTTGTTTGTCTGTTGGTCATTTATACTTATTTTGTTTATTTTAGGTACCTATAAGAGTGTTCTGTAAATTAACCTGTTCAAGTGTTAAATTGAATAATAACACAAAAATTGCATAGGGAAGTGTTTTTCATTTTCAAAATATACGTCATTTAAAATGTTAAGCAACATGCGGAAATAAAATGTTGAGGTCTGAAATTTGGCCTGGAAAAATCCAGGTAGGTCAGGTTTCGTTAACGCATATTTTTTTACACTGGAAATGATCCCTGAAGATCAACAAGTCACCTACGTGTTATGTAGCAGTTATTGACAAATAAAGACGTCTAAAATTAATAACAATTAGAAGGTTTTTATGCACGGAGAAATGTACAATTGTAGTCACGATCAATCGGCACTTAAAATTACAAATCAGACGTCCCCGAGAAAGCTTAAAACAAGATGGCAGACTGGACAGCTCGGTCTCCCAGCTGCTGTCTGTGGGCGAACACAATTTTCAAAATTTTCTCAGCAAAACAGCGTAAATGAAGCATTGTTGCAACACTTACATTTTCATTTTTTGAAGTACATTCAATGACGAAAATAAACCATTTCAGTTGCTGTTGACTCTGCAAACCGGGGCTTTACACATATGTTATTGTAGAAACCTGATTTCAGGTATTAGCATTGGGAAATGACATTCCCCCCCCCAGTGTTTGTTTAGATGTATATAGCTGCTGAATAAATTTGCATATATTATTGGCTAACTTTCCTTTTATAAAACACACGTGCTTCACCAAGACAACCTAGAAATTATTTATTGTTGTCTATATTTAGTCCTTTGTTCATTTTTGTGCTGTAATTTAATAAAAAGCATATGCTCTGCTAAAATTATTTTTTTAGATGTACAGACGACTCTTGTTAGTACAAACACTGTTAATACAAATTCTGGTTATAGCAAACACAAAGCCTTGATCCGGAATGTGTTTTATAAGCATAATGAATGGGACTCATGTTCCTCTTAATACAAAACCCTGATTTAACAAACAATTTGGCTAGGTGACTTTATTTTTCAGCAGAAATTTCCCAGACATTGGGAAATGTAAGATGGGAAAAAAATAATCATCATCACTGTGCATAAAGAGGCCCAATGGTGAGTCGTGCCCATTGAGTGCAGCGTACACACACAGAGCAGCGTGTGTGTGTGTGGCTCAACGTACAGGCATCGTGTAGTGCCGTGCATAATGTGTGGCGTGGATAATGTCTGCCCCTCATTATGTGGGAGGCTGGTTTGGCGAGCCAGCATGTACAGCGCGGCCCGCAGAGACGACTAGTGGAGTCTTGATAATCTATTCGAACCGCACCTTTCGTCGTGCTCTGCGTGTGTATGTGTCTGTGTCAATGGCAGTGCTGCTACTCACGATCTGTGATCAGTCTGAGGCCGAGCTGCGTTGATTCCTGCAGAGTAAAAGGAGCTATCCTCAACATTGGAATGAGAATTAAAACCAACCAAATCATTTCACCCGGCGACAACTTTGGCGTTCCCGTGAGGTTTTTTGTTTCTGGAATTGAAACAAGTGTTTAGATGCATGTTAAAACCAAAATGTGTAGCGTAAATGCTATGTTTCAGCACCATGGTTTAGATGTTTGTGTTTGCAATATTCTTATGCCTTTTGTGCTCTGTCTTTTTTTTAATTTCAGATTTGATAAATTTAGCAAGCTTACACAATGTCGGAGTTAGACCAACTAAGACAAGAGGTGGACATCCTCAAAAACCAAATTAGAGTAAGTATTCCACTTTCATATTTGCAGAATTTATTAATTTTTTTTTTTCCAGGCAAAATTTTAGTTTCAAGAAAGGTGTAGGGAAAGACATATTTTGTCCTCACAAAGATGAACATGCAGCCTTGTTTTACAGACCTCAATTTGTTTTCTGCATGAGCCTCAATGTTTTTCTGCAAGAATTTCTGCTTGTCAATTTTAGAATCAACATCGTGCAAATAACATGCAAACTGAAATGGGGTGTTGCTATCTGAAGTTCCTTTTTGTTAAATAAAAAATTAGGCAGTTAATTTTAAGACAGTTAAAAAACACATGTTTTTGTCAAGTACAAAATTATCAAAGGAAATTGTTCAAACGTTGACATTTCAAAACAGTTAAGGAACAGGTTTCCACATCAACGCATTTTATCAAAGTGCAACCTTATCAAAGTAATTTGTTGAAATGTCAAGATTTGTTCTACCACATGTGTTCTTGAAAAAACGAAAAGCCGGTGCAGAGTTACAATAAATCTCTATGTTGACTTCAGAAGTATGCCAGAAATGGCCATTATCTGTGCCTGGTACGAAGCATCTTTCCCTAATGATTTCATGATCAACCCAGCTACGTGCAGTGCGTTCACTGCATTTTGTTTGTCCGCTCCTGTGATGGCAAAACCATACAGCATATTGCGCTGTTTCTAAAGGCGAACAGAATGTGTACATGTACAAGCAAATCAAACACAGATTTGTTATCGAGCACTTTTTGTTTTTGTTTACTTTTTTGTTTGTTTGCCATTTCGTCCCCAACGGCTTTGATTGCAAACTACGTCATTCGGAAAATGGCATTGATCAGAAAATCAATTTATCATTATGGTTTGAAGGACGAAAACAAGTTTTGAAGTTAGTTGGTGCAACTCCAAAGCCAAAGTTTTTGTGGAAGTAAGTCTGAACAGTCGCCATAGTTATCAACAGAAATTTGTGTCTAAAATTACCCCCAAACCCAAATAACAGTATCAGTGTAAGCCCCTCGCCCCCAAATCTGATTCATTGAACATCTTTACTTGCCAATGTGAAATGTCACATAACATTATAGCGCAATACGTATCAATACTACAGTGAAATGTCGATAAGTCAAAATTTGACTTAAGCAGAGATTTGAGTTTAAGCAGGGTTGTATATCATTGTTATACTACTGAAGGGAATGGATTCTTTGTTTAACTTAACAGTTCTTTTGAGTTATCAGAGTTTGACTTATCAAGATTTCACTGTACTTGAACTTGGATTCTTTACCAAATATTTTGTCTAAATTCTTGTGTGGCTGAAGAGTCAAAAGTACTCGCTTTTTCCACCACTGGCCGGATGGAAAAACTTGTGCAGTGTGGTTTACTAGCCAGCGGCAGCTTTTAACATCATGTTTCCACTCAAGGCTAGCAGACAAGAAGCCTTTTAAAATAAATGCGCTCACAAATGCACTCATTGTCAATGTTGATCCAAATATACTGATATAACCCAAAGTTAAAAAAAAAAATAATAATAACATCAAGATTTTGAAATGCTTAATGTAAATCCCTGCCGAACGAGATCCCCAAAATAAAAAACATTTTGTCAAAATTCTTTTGAGTAGCGGAAACAATATCCTTTGCTTGATCCTGTTGGAGTCACGTGACTGACACGAGCTTTGCAGAGACTTCGAATTTCATATTTGATGACATGTTAATATTTCAGCCGCAAAAAACACTCTGGACTTGCAGATTTAATCTAAACACAATGCGGACTGCTTCGCGGATGATGTTTATGGAAACAAGCATGGTTTATAAATAGATTTGAATAAACGGCGATGCGTACCATGGGCCTTCCAAAACACTACCAGTATATATTTTGACCGCTGCATTGAATAGAATGTTGAAACATGTATGCGCGGGTCGGCTCTGTATGTGTCGCCCATAATGTGGCTCCACTTGTGAGGGTACAGAAATGTAGCGATCTCAAATGCCATCCAATCTGTCTGCACATGTACATGGTTCAGTAGGATTCTGCCGGTTTGCAAATCTGAGCTAGTCACGATGGCCCTTTGTTTCCCCAGTCACGCTGGATGAGTCACCGTACTGCAAGCTTATAACAAGTCCCTTTTCCACTACATGCGCTAGCCAGATAATCTTCATTGAAACCAGCGTGTGAACGACGACAGAACATTGCCGTTTATATACATGGCACATTCCAATCCTTTCCTCATTCCAAATTTTGAATAGAAAAATTTCACCACTTATCCTCAAAGCTATACCAGATTCAAGCAGGATTTTTGGTCATTGATGACTTAAATTGACGGCCAAATTTCCTGGAATTAATAGGAAATCCTGCTTGCGAAATTCATTCGCTTAGCAAAAAGCTGGCTGGGAACCAGCGACAGGCAATACACATTGCATGGATTTTTAGCCGGTGACCTGTTTTTTTTTCGCTGAGCAGTTATTTTCTGCGCTAGCCAAAATCTGCTCTCCGTGAAATTCTTTCCTTCCGTTGTACTTCAGGCAACTGGCAATAACCATAGTAATAGAGCAACATTGTATTTATTTTTGCTGCTAGATTCAATCTGCCTGTTGGGCCTCACAAGAAAATGAAAAATTTGGGTTTCTTGTGATGTTTAAATGGGCATGCATTTTTGATAACAGTAATAATAAAACGAAATTTATGAGGGGCAAATATGGCATAGCATAAGGTGCCGAATATATTGATGTTAATGTTACCTACATGTATGTGCAAGGCAGTATGATCTTTGTCAACACATGAAAAAAAAATCTTTTTGAAATATAATCTTGAAAGGTGTACATGATATTTCAGGGAAGGAATTTTTCCTCGGAATCGCTGATTTCCTCGTTTTTTACTTCTCATGAATGCCAAATGTTACAAATTGAAAAACACTGCACAAAATCTTGTGTGGTTTGGAATTTCCTTGTATTTTTTCTAAACTCCCAGTTGCATGCCTGATATTTATGCGAGGCAGACTGAAGTCACACTGCAAAGAACTGTTTTACATGTTTTAATTAATACCATTGAAAAAAGTATGCCACCAAGTCATAAAAAAGGAAGAGATTGTATTCAGAGAACAGAATTCAACGCAGGCAAACCAGATGAACAGGAAGTTTAAGGCTTTCCTTCCCGCCATTCACACCTCATCATAATATTTCCCACGACACACATGCGGAGTGTCACAGTAAGCGTCAAGGATTTATTCTCTTCCTCCTAAGGACAGCCCCCCCCCCCCCATTGCACACAATAGACTGACGGAGCGCGTGCAGAATATTACAAGCGGTGTTACCAAGCAACCTAGTGTGTAGGGCCATGTAGCAGCATAGGCCTTTTTTTTCCCTTTCTTCCTTCGTTATTGATTCACGGCAACGATATAAATTCTGACGGTAGTGTCTGTCCCCAGCTTGGCTAGCCAGATCATTCCTCAGGGGATGGTAGATTCATCTCCCCCCCCCCCCCTAAAAAAAAGGGTAAAGAGGGTGTTACAATAATCAGCAGTAATTAGAATCTTTATTCCCATAGCGTTCACGCTTGTGCCATCCCTGAAATGATATTAAGGCCTTAACATGAACATGTACATGAAAGTTACATGTACTTTGCCTTGGCTAACGCGTGTACATGTACCCTTTATCGACTTGCATGTGTGTACACAATACATTACACATTATACACATGTTAATTAATCCAGTATGCATTTTTGGACTGAAAGTACCTAAATTGACAACTAGGAATCAGATTGTCGAAGGAATCCATCTGATGCAGATTGCTGCAACAGTTCTGGTTTCGGTTCTCCGTACCTTTTTTGTTTTTAGTTTCATGTCATGAAATGTGTCAAGAGCATGGCTTTGTAATTAGTCCACGAGGTATTTAGTCATAGAATGCATTCCTGCTGTGTACATCTGTGAACGTGATTTTTACTGTAGCATGTGGAATATAAGAAATCACACATTTGTTAAGTCCAATTCGGGAATTTATTTAAGGCCCCTTGTCTTCTGCATTTCACAACCTTCATTTTTGCAAAACCACTTTTGCCCGTAGAGTTATGTTAATAGCGCCCACACTTCAAATTCCTTTGAGGTAATCTTCTGTGGAGTATGGATAACACTTCAAATCCCTGCACAATTCTTTTGTGTGGTTAAGCTCAGGGCAAGCAGGCAGATTTAGTCACGCTTCACTGCTCTGCACAGTGCTGTTTTTGTGTGCAGTGACTCTCTGTGTGACACAGTTACTTTAACACTTCATATCCCTTCATCTGAAACTGACCTGCAGGATTTTATTGCTTTGAATATTTACTTCTCGCTACCTGCTCACCCTGAGCTGGACATTATGGCCTGAAATTCCCGAAAATGTTACGTTTTGGATTGTTTACTTATCCTGTTTTAAAGATCTGGTTGAAAAGAAACTAACCTAATGTTGGGAATCTTGCCATCCAAAGAAAAGAAAAAACCCAGTTGTTAAGTTTAGACGCAGCAGTCATTTTGTGACATACGCATACGTATTTCAAGCCGTGCCTATTCAATGTACGGTACACGTTGCGTGTGTGATGCATAATACACACAGCATCAATACGCAAATGTTGTTCCGCAGAATGTGATGCACTGGTGGAATGTGTGCGGCAGGAAACACGACTAACACCCAACAGCTCGATTTCTGATAGTCAAAATGTTGACCCCCCAAATTCATTCTCGCAAGAATAACACAAAAAACACCTAGTTTTTAAAGGGAAAATACAACATTTGCAAACATCAAAAAATAAAACTACCAAATCATTATGAAATACCTTGCTGGACTGTTAGTGAATGACAGTGTAAAGCATCCTGTAAAATCATGGCACCTGGTATACTGTCATTTTCAAGAAAAGTGCTATTTTTGTACCAATTTCCAACGCTGATCGGCCGATCAGCGTTGGAAAACTACTGGCTTTTTTTTTCAAATACTGGCCCCAATTGACCATCACACTTGTTTGCAATCGATTACAAACCTATGAACGGGTACGAGCCAACTAGACTAGTTCCCTGACCTTACAATTCCTCAATGTATGTAAAGTGCTCTGTTTCTTCTTATATGGAGTCAGGGAACCAGACTACAAGAAAATGATCGTTTTTCTTGGTTTTTATAGCATTTTCGAACCCAAAACCTCAAAAAAGTCAGTGTAACTATATTTGCTATATATTTCCAACCCCCCAATTCCATCCATTTCTGAAAATTACAGCAAAAGCAAATGATGTATATTCCCTTTAAGTTCACCATGTTTTTATAAAGGGGCTGAGGCCGCCTGTCGGTTTATAAGTACAATGAAAACCCATTGGTGTACTGTACAGAAGCCGGCGGATTCAGGAAGTGTGAAGCAAAAATATGTGTAAGGGTTTCGGAACCAGGAAATAAAAAGACAAGATAAAGATATAGAAACATAACACTTGTTGACAGTACAGATCATCGTCTGGTTCACTGTACAAATTTTATCGTGATGATCAAAAATGTAACTGTTGTTTTGTTGGTTCTGGGAAAATGCATTTGATATTGTTTGTTTGTGTACATGTTAGTCAGCGCTTGCCAATCGTTTGTGTATTATTTCGTACATCTGTGTCAGTGTTTCCCCTGACTAATGAACTGAGCGAGGTGGTAACAATTCAAATTGATGATTGAAACAAAATTTACACAGTCTGCAAACTGAAAAGAATGCAGTGCTCACAAAAAAAATGCATGATGATTCCATCTACACATCCAAATTGAGAGTTCTTGATACATAGAGGTCAAGGGAAAACGTTCATAAATTACACAAAATGTAAATTTTTCGATTAGTATTTCCTTTATTGCAAATCTTCACAGAGAGGTGGTGATATTGAAAAAAATTGAGCGAGGTGGTTACTGAAAGTAGCGAGGTGGGCCGCCTCACATTTGAATGGGCAGGGGAAACACTGATCTGTGTATATAAATCTACACGTACATGTACATGTATTACAACTCGCTATATGAAAAACTGCATGGTTGTCATGGGGGGCGGGGGCTTTCTATTGTTATTACTGTGGATGCGGTGTTTCCAAGCAACAGATAATAATTGAGGGAGAATGGGCCCTTGTGGATCTCAAGGCAAACGGAAAAACACAATAAGAGACGCACCAGCGTGCAGCTGTATCAGTGTATGGCTGTGTGTAGGACTACCGTAGGCTGGTTTATTTATGCATGGTATTTATGCATGGTAAATGTATTTTGTTGTATCAATGGAGTAGTGGTAGCAGCTGGCTAGTCCATCAATGGGAGGGGTTTGCGAAATCTGGGTATCATCAGCAGCTTTGCCCTTAGGCTCATTTTTTTGGTTTAACCAGTTTGCTCTGGGATCCTATTCTGGATTGAGAAGTTTTGAATTTCACATTTGGGATATATAAACGCAACAAATCCAGTGAAGAGAGGGTTCAAAAGGTCATTGAAATTGTGACATTTTAGCCCTCAGTCCCTAGGCATTTTTGCAAGGGTGTAACCTCAAATCCTGCAAAAATCCTCTAACTGCCTCAATGTTAAAATAGCATACAGCCTCAGTCCTGTAAAACCCTTTGTATTTCTTGAATTTGGTCCTTGGACGGGTGACCACTGCCTCAATCCTGCAAAATCCTCCAGCAATCACTGTCAATATGTTAAGGCAGAGCCAGTGACATCCTGGAGCAGTGCGGAGGATTTTAAGTATAATCTAGGCCTAAATTTATATGCACAGCTGAGCATAAACAACACAAGGTCCAGCCCAAGACCTAGACGCAGTGCATCCTCCAAAATCAGCAATACACTTGTGCCAAGTAGCCTCAATCCTGCAAAATCGTCCATTTTGCAGAGAGGATTTGGGAAGGTTAGGGTGAATGACGTGAATAAAAATAAGCGTGCAGTCTTTGTTGTTAAACTGATGATAATTTGTGAGTGAAAAAAACCCAAGGTTTTGCAGAGCGGTTGTTTTGAAGCAATGGTATAGAAAAGATAAAACAAAAAATGAAGACAAAATTGTTCAGGTTTTGAACCATTCCAGCAATCAACGTGATCAATGTTTGCTCTACGATGGAGCCACTTGTCTCCGAAATCGATTTAGGGGAAAATTGGATAATGTTGAAATGCTGGCATTTATGTAAATACATGTACATGTGCAGGTACCGGTACATGTACATCACACCTTCAAGTACATATACTGGTACCACAATATTTTATACTGCATCACATGAACATATAATTATGTAAATGCACACATTGTCATGTATTTTGAAAGCTGAATTAGCCCTAACAATCCTGAATCGTCCAAATTTAATACAATTGTTCTCACCCCCAGACCACAAAACAGTTTCTGTAAATTATGTGTGAAGTAGAATGCCAGCGCATTCTGTACATAATGCATTCATATAAATATTTGGCTATAATGATCATCCCATCTGGTTTCCAATTTGGAAATAGAATTTCTGGTGCATGTACTTGGAGCTTTGGCAGCCCAAAAATAACTAGCATTTGCTAGTTATACTGAACCATATTTTACAGATCCTTTTGTGTATATTATGGGCCTCATGTGCAAACAAGAGAGAATAAAAATCCTCCAAAAAATAGAACCAAAAAAAAGAGAAAGATTTGCATACAGAGTAAATAGTGATTTAAATCAAACTCCAAAACCCATATTAGGCTAAGAACAAAACCTAAAGCCAATTGTACTTATTTACTCATTTTTTTGTGACTGTTTCTTTTTTTTCTAAGTCGTCGTTAATTAATTGATTTTATTTCAGAAACAAAGGAAATATCCCTCGGTCTCGGTGTGGAAAAACCCCGACTGAGTCTGGTTGGGTTGAAATTAAAACTAGCAGACAGTATCACAGGGCGTATTTGAACAAGCAGACGTTGCACACACACAACTCTCCATGCACATGCATACAAACGCACTCCCATACCCCACCATTCCGTACGGCATTCTCATTAACATAAGCCGGCATGTATTATGTGCCGATTCTTATTACACTGGAGCCCGTTACAGCGGGCGATAGTGGACACTGCCGCACATTATACATCCAGTACAACGCCTAGTGATGTACGCAACAGCCCACTACATATTCTCAGCGTGCGTGTGTGTGTGCATTGCTTGATCATTTACTGAGTGAAAGAAAAAAAAGCCATTGGAATTGTGTTGAATAAGTGCACAAGCAAGTCCGGGGCCACTAATTACATGTGTAGGGAGGGTAAGAGATATTTATTTTTGGCCCTGCCTTTTGTGTCGCACTGCTTGCAGATGAATTGTTAAACAAGCGAACAGAAATTTGCTTGGGTATTATTCTTGCATAGGAGGGAACATGTATGATTTATGCTGGTGGGGCTTTCTTTCAGCATAATGAAGCTATTGTTGGCGTACTAAGAGATCATATTGGACTTTATCTCTAATGATTCTGCGTTGAAAGCATAGTGAAATTCTGAACATTCGCATAACATGTGTGATGATTTTAGATTCATTTGGAAAATTAACAAGCAGAGATAAATAAAACTAATGAAAAATATTATCAAGTAAAAATGTTTATTTTTGTTTTTATATAAATACATCAATGAATCATTCATTGTAAAAAATGTATCATTACTTCTGTAGGGGCATGACTTTTGAGAAACATGTGTAAGTGCTTTTCCCCTGCGACTGCTGTAATGTTTAAAAAAAAGAAAGAAAATGTTCACATAATGTTCACAACTGAACTAAGGATGTATTGGAAAGTTAATTTGTTAATAATGGCAATTTTTTTTTTTAAAAGAAGTGTGTTTCTCTTGTTTTGTTTTTGTTATTAAATTTTGAAATGGGACTGTCTGAAATTTCAGAACAAAACCTTAAAACAAACAAAATGACATGCCCCTCTTAAAGTGTTTTAAAAATATTTTTTTAAATGAAATTTCAGTTTGAAACTTTTAAGGATATTTCGAACAATTTTGGTTTTGGGCCGGGTCGGTTTGTGTAACATTATTTCAAATGTCCGACTTTTTATGTTAGACTTCGTTTTCATGTGTTTTCCTTTTTGTTTTGTCTTTCTTTCTCATCGCAGGATGCCAGAAAAGCAGTCAACGATAGTAACCTTGGTACCATCACATCCAACATGGATTCAATAGGTCGTATCCAAATGAGGACTAGGCGAACACTTCGAGGCCACTTAGCCAAAATCTATGCCATGCATTGGGGGTCAGACTCAAGGTAAACAAAAACATATATGTGCTAAGTAGATGGATGCGCTGAGCAAAATTCATCAGGGAACCAGCCATGATCGATACAAAATACATGACTTTTTGGCTGGTAACCTGATTTTCGGTGCTTAACAAATTTTTGCTGTTAGGGCCGTCTCAATTCATATCTGGAATGTGTTCTGGACATGTTGGAGACATTGTATAGGGTTTAAGTTGCAGGATTCTGAACAACTTCCCCGCAATCTTCCCGCAATGAAGTTATCAGTGTTGGTGAGTCAAGCAGTTGCGCAGTGAAAATTTCCCCAGAACATGTCCGGGACAAATGCAGAGCTTTCTCTGGAGAAAAGCGAACGATTTACCCGTAACTTGTCTAGAACTTGTCCAGAACTCGGCCCGGATAGGAATCGAGTCAGGCCCATAGCATCTTTGGTCGGTGATTAGAAATCCAATCTGCTAAACTACGTTAAGCATTTTGCTTAGCAGAAACAGACTACCGGTCAAAAATGTCATGTAATGTATACCACTTGCAGCTGGTTCCCAGCCAGTTCTTGTCTAGCGAGACAATTTTTGGAAGCAGTATTTTCATTTATCAGAACTGTTCTATTGCCCAGTAGTGTGACGGTGTTATGGAGGTTACGTTTATGGTGGAGTGGAACTTCTATTTTTGCGACACGATCGCGCCGTGTGTCAAGACGAATAATTTTAATGACACGTGATAACGACCCACCAATCAGCGGACGGGTATATATTCAGGCGATGTATAATGAAGGATACTTTGCATCTGTGCGGCTGTGAACATGTGTGTTATCTAGAGGAGAGACACTCGAGGTTTGTGACATCACAGTTTGAAAAGTGGTTTTGTAGCTGCTTTGCAAAAGAGTTTGTCAGGGTTGAAATCTAATCAATCACAAGTCCTACGCAGGTCAAATCTCATGTCAAGTCAGTAATTGACTTGTGATGACTTGCGATTGACTTGTGATTGACATGTGATTGACTTGTGATTGACTTGTGACTGACATGTGACTGACATGCGAATGACTTGTGGTGACTTATGGTGGCTTGTGATTGACTTGCAATTGACTTGCAATTGACTTGCGATTGACTTGTGATTGACAAGAAATGACTTAAAATTATTTAACACATAAGTTTCTACTGTTATTTTTCTCACAACAGAAACCTTGTGAGTGCATCACAGGACGGCAAATTGATAGTTTGGGACTCTGTATCAACCAATAAGGTGAGTTTAAAGTAGCCCAAGTCTGTAGTGAGCTCATGTCCCCTTGAGGGGCTGACTAATTGACTGACTCTCGCTTGTGACTTACACTGGTTGAAGACTGATGAAGAAAGCTGGGCAGTGCTATTGTATAGGATCCCCCGGTAGCGCCAGTGTAGACCAGATGCATGAGCAGACTTACAGCGAATAGCCATTATTAGAATTGTGCGCGTTCTGTACAGCCTAGTGTTCTTTTTGTACATGTACACTAGCTGACTGTCACATGTGACTAAGACTGGTGAAAAGAGCCGGGCAGTGCTATTGTATAGGATTACCCATAACACCAATGAAAGGGCCAAATCTGGCCCATTGTGTCGACCAGATGCATGAAAACAGTTAAGTGAGTAGCCATTTTGAATCACTTGTTACTAAGACTGGTTTATAGTGGAATCCGGCGACCAGAATTAGAAGCTTTTACTGTGGTGATATCACGCTCACGCGCATGCTGCACGCGTTCTTAAAGACGAGGCGGACACGCATTGTGGTATTCTATTGGTGGAAGGAGCCCGGAGTGCATGTGATTTACCTGAGTGCGACTTGCGCGAGCCTGGTGCCACCACAGAAAATAGCTGCCGGCAGATTTGTTTATAGACTGAAAGCTGGGCAGTGCTATTGTATAGGATTACCCTGTAATGCCAATGAAAAAGGCCAAATGCGGCCCATTGTTTTGACCAGATACACGAAAAGACTTCCAGTGAATAGCCATTCTTGACTGTTTTTGACATACTTACCTTGCCTTGTCTTGTAAAGTTCAGAGCATTGACTAATGATATTTTGGTCTGCGCTATTTTCTGTTTTCGTCGGTAGGTCCATGCAATTCCGCTGAGATCCAGCTGGGTAATGACCTGTGCCTACGCGCCATCAGGTAGCTTTGTGGCATGCGGCGGTCTGGACAACATCTGTTCAATCTACTCCCTCAAGACGAGGGAAGGCAACGTCCGCGTTAGCAGAGAATTGCCAGGGCACACCGGTGAGTACGGGAAAAAAAGAAACACGGGCCTTGCCCGAACCACTCATCACTAAAGGCAAGCATAACACAATTGTCTATCAGAAGTGTTTCAGCTTCTTTCTTAGGTGTACTCCTTGCAAGCCAAATCAGTTCTTTGTTCATGCAAAATGAAGTAATTCAGGTCAGCCATGGAGGAACGTGATGGCACATACATTGTACTCAAAGCTGCACAGTTGTGGTAAAGTAGGTTGCCCAGGGACAGCGGAAACACACTCTAGCTATGTTATGGTATGTCCCTCTCGCGAGTAGTCGTAAATAACTCCTTATTATGGAGATTGGCGTGCGCGTGGTCGGCGTACTGCACGATGTGGCGCAGAACGAGGCGTCGCCGGTCTAGTGTGAATTTAAGACTCTCGGCGAAACTATGGGATGTAGTTAAAGGCAACCGTCTATGAGAAGTGTTTCAGCAGCTTTCATAGGTGTACTTCTTATAAGCTGATTCAGTACTTCTTTCCCGCGCAATGAAGTAATTCAGGTCAAGGGTCATTTGCGAGGAAGACGCCTGGCATACAAGTACCAAAGCTTGCTGCTTACTATAAACTTTGTCAAATGTGGCACTAACCGAAACTTATTGCAGAAAGTGCCACAAAGAACCAATTGGGTTTCGTCGTCTTTGAAACTGTTGTTTATGATTATTCCGATTGAACCATGACACACTATGTTTAACCCTAACCCTGCCAGAAGCAACACAGGTGTAAAAATCGAGTGCACTTCGATGCATTCAGCTACCAACACCAGTGCATAAATGACCGCTTCTGAGACAATGAGAGCTAGTGCCATTGAACAATGCCTCAGTTGTATCCTGCTGCGTTCGGTGACCAAAGACTCTTGAGGCAGTTTGGCCTTGAGACTTTGGGCCTGATGGATCTTGCTGCAATGTGCATACTTGTCATTTTGACAAGTGTTGCATGTTGCAGTGTTTGGCAGGGTTTCTAGGCAAAATACCCTGGAAGGTTAGGGTTAAAGCATGTGTAGTTGGAATTTACGGAATTGGCTTATAACCAGTCGAGTAAGTCAGACATGCATGTATTTCCTAGGCAGAAACAGTTACCAGCCAACATGCCTTGGAATGTATGCCATGACTGGTGCTCCGCTGATTTTCACTGCGCACATCTGTTTAACTATATTTTCAAGTGAACGTGTTGATAAGCGAATTTTGTGTCAAATGTTCTCAGCATTATTCATGATGTCAATCTTGGCACACGGTACACAATGGGAGGTGTGGGGGTTTGAAAAGATACCAGACTAGTGCTCTTGTTCAGAGATGATTTATTCACAGCATCTAGATATCTATGAAATGGAAACTTTGATGTTTGTTTTTATATTTGTCCTTGTGTTACCCAGGTTACCTTTCATGCTGCCGTTTCATCAATGATAACCAGATTGTAACTAGTTCAGGAGATATGTCATGGTAAGTGGTCCAAATTCAAGAGAAGATTTTTACTCTTTTCTTTTCGCCATCGTCAGATTAGCCATTATGGAGGTGGAAGTATGCTATTTATAATTATGGAGGTGGAAGTATGCTATTTGTGCATATAGTACAAACTTGGTATTAAACTATATTTTTCCACAGTCCTGGACAATTTTTGAAATTCATGGAATTTTTGAATTTTTTTTCAAGGACTCATGAAAGTTTATACTTTCCCACAAAAAAGCTTTGGGAAAATTGTTGGAATCCTGCACAATCCATATGTGATGATGTCTGACGTTTTGCCTATGGTATTTTCCTGGTTTACAATACTTTCTCTTCATGCGTGAATGATCTATACTTGTATGTTCAGTGCACCGTTGTGATGCTTTTGAGGCGCTCAGTGGTCTTGTGTCAAACTGGAAGGCTGAAAGGGAGTGGCGTTCCTTGCCTCAGTGTGATGACTGGCCAGTGTAATGTAAATAGGCTCCTTGACCCTAACTCCCTAGGCATTTTTGCTAGGATGCAACCTCAATCCTGCAAAATCCTCCAACTGCCTCCATGTGAAAATTGCATACAGTCCCGATCCTCCAAAATCCACCGTTATTTCTTGAATGTGGTCCTTGGAGGGTTGACCACTGCCTCATTCCTTCAAAATCCTCCAGCAATCACTGTCAATATGTTGAGGCAGAGCCAGTGACATCCTGGAGCATTGCGAAGGATTTCAAGTATAATCCAGGCCTAAATTTATGCACGGCTGAGCATCAACAACACAAGGTCCGGCCCAAGACCTTGACACAGTGCATCCTCCAAAATCAGCCACACATTTTGCCATATAGCCTCAATCCTTCAAAATCCTCCATTTTGCAAAGAGGATTTTGGAGGATTTGGGAAGGTTGGGGTTAAGATGCCATACAGCGTAGGAATTGGTCGTGGAAAATCGTAATTTTGTCCTGGAAAAGTTGTGGGACTTCATTTTAAGATTTCAGTGGGAATCCTGATAATTATATTCCGTTCTTGTCTACTCTTACAAACAGTGGCCTTTGGGACATAGAAACAGGGCAGCAGACGACAGGTTTCACTGGGCACACAGGCGACGTCATGAGCCTGTCGGTGTCCAACGACAACCAGACCTTCGTCTCGGGCGCTTGTGATGCCTCGGCAAAACTATGGGATATAAGGGAAGGCAACTGCAAGCAGACATTCACTGGTCATGAGTCAGATATTAATGCCGTCACAGTAAGTCAGAATTATAAAAATAATAATTGTGGAATAATGTGGTGCTTAGCATTTTTTACGAAAGGTCCGAAAGAGCTTCACAATTGTTACCCCTGTTCATCAGGCCATGGGTCCCTGTTTCTGCTGCATCTCCAGAGCAGCGCAATCTGGTCTCTACCCTCAAAGGTACCCTTTTTCTTCTGGGTGGAGAGAGGTTATTGAAGTAAAGTGTCTTTCCCAAGAACACAAGCCTATGTTCCATGAGTGGAACATTGTAACCAATAAACCACAGCACTCCACAGTAGTCTGTACTCCCCCCTCCCATTATGAGGTCAAATGTTACGTGTGTTTAAGCAGCTCTGGTGTTACAACATTTTATTTATACTCCTTGGTGGAGGGAGGCAATTAGAGTAAAGTGTCTTGCCAAAGAACACAAGCACCATGTTTCCATGAGTCGAACATTGTAACCATTGCACCACAGCGCTCCACTTTAATATTTACTCCTTCCCTCTTTTGAGGTCAAATGTTACTTCTGTTTTAGCAACTCTGGTGTTACAACATTTCATTTATACTCCTGGGTGGAGGGAGGCAATTACAGTAAAGTGTCTTGCCAAAGAACACAAGCACCATGTTCCCATGAGCCGAACATTGTAACCATTGCACCACAGGGTTCTACAGTATTTACTCCTCACCAACTTCAAGTCAAATTGTACTACAGTTTGAGCAACTTTGGTGTTACAAAATTGACTTTATACTCCTGGGTGGAGAGAGGCAATTGCAGTAAAGTGTCTTGCCCAAGAACACAAGCACCATGCTCCAATGAGTCGAACACCATAACCATTGGACCACAGATCTCCACAGTAGTTGCTAATCCCGCCGCCCCTTTTGTGGTAAAATGTTAGTTCCGTATCAGAAACTTGGATGTTGCATTTCCATGGATTTAACTCCCTCCTTTTCCCGCGCAGTTTTTCCCTAGCGGCACTGCCTTCGCCACTGGCTCTGACGACGCCACTTGCCGGTTGTTTGACATCCGTGCCGACCAGGAGCTGATGCTCTACTCACATGACAACATCATCTGCGGCATCACGTCAGTAGCTTTCTCAAAGAGCGGCCGTCTGCTCATGGCCGGCTATGATGACTTCAACTGCAATGTCTGGGATTCTATGAAGGGAGAACGTGCAGGTAGCTATCCAGTTGTTTCTTTCAAGCGACCAATAAACCTTGAAATATGATCTGATTGTTGGTGACTAGCCTACGTAAAAGGCATGGCAGGGAACAGGATTAAAGTTTGACTGTCTGTGACTGATCAAACAAAAGGAGGGTTAAAACTGCCTTTTTGAATTCTCTGCTGGAAAGTCAAACAGACGTCTGGTACCAATCTACTTTGGCACTGAATATTCCTTTCAACGATGTTATCTCTGGCTAGGTTGTACTTTACAAACAAAATTATGAGTGACGTCATAAAATGTTCGAGCGCCTTCTAGCGGCAGGTTGAAAAATGTTTCAAATAAATAATCTATTGGCCTTGATCACTCTGCAACCTTCTACTGCACATCTATGTCCTATCAGTTTATAACCTGACTTAAAAATACAAAATGCCGAAACAGCCATGTGTTTGTCCACAAACATAAATCTAGTTCAACTTTTTGTTTTGTTTTGTTCTTGCAGGTGTATTGGCAGGCCACGATAATCGCGTCAGCTGCCTGGGTGTGACCGACGACGGGATGGCGGTATGCACAGGATCTTGGGACAGCTTCCTCAAAGTATGGAACTAAAACACGCCACACCCGCTAAAAAAAGATAAGATAAACAAAAACCTCCCGTGAGCAATAGGGGAGGGTAACCCCCGGACCGGCCAACACAGGGGGACACACTCCTAACTCCCCCCTCAAAGCTGCGATGATCTGGGAAATCAGCCCCCTGTGCTAAGAGGGGGAAAGTTAAAAACCGCTTTTGGACCTTTGAATACGAGTGTGGCACTCGTGTATAAGTTACTGATGAAGGGATGAAAGTGATATTTCATAAAATAAGAGGAAAAGGGGGGGGGGGGTTGCGTGTGTGTCCGAGTGCCCTGTTTTGTGGCTCTGATACAGAGCATTATATCATCTGTGTAAAACAGGAAGGGAACGAAAGGATATCCAATGATAGTGGTTTAAACTAGACAAAAACAAAAATACTGTAATAATAACTAAATTTAAAAACAATTGTGCACGAAATGCTGGCGTGAGTGGTTCAAATAAAATATAATTGATTTTTAGATCTCGAAGTTTGGGGGAGGGGGGAGTTGAAGTTGATTGTTGAAATTTTTTTTTAAAAACCTGACAGAAAAAGAGTGTTCATCATCAAAGGTTTTAACATTTAAATAATTAATTGAAATTTCCGTGCACCTAAAAAGTTCCAGAAAAAAGGCGTCTACTTTTAGGCAGTGTTGATACATGTGCTTTAGTTGTGTATATATTTTGTGTTAATTCTGTATGCTGATTTTGTTCCTTCAGATTTAGCTAGTTGAGATGGACACGTCTTCAATTTTTTTAAAAACTATTTGAAGCTATTCGTTGGCGCCTCTTTTTGCAACTATCCCTTGAAAATCCCCCCCCCCCCTAAAATGCAAGAATGTAACGAAAGGCAAGAAATTTTGGAAACTCTAGTTAATGCTTAACTCCAGTTCAGTTTTGGTCCGCCCCTTTTTCTGGAAGTTTTTAGGATTCATCCGGTTGAGAACCAAGAAGCATTTTTTGGCCGGGTTTTAAAAAAAAGTATATATATATTAAAAGTAAGGTTGTATTATTATTATTATTATTTAGTAGCCCATATATCCGATGCATGTGTCGATCGATGCACGTATATAAAGATACATGCCATTTACATTTTTTAATTTCACATGTGGTTAAATGTTGACGGAAAATGGGCTTAAAAATGAAAACTACGGAAAAAAAAAAATTAAAAAAAAAAAATTGTGTAGATTTTTTCACCACCAAGTTAATAGTTTAGCTATCCCATGGAAAATTGTTACGGATAACCTGTGCTTTGTGTAACACAGAATTTTTTGTTGTTGAGGAATTTTGTTTAACGTTCCCTTCTCTCTTCGATATTATTGCATTTGTAAATGTCGTAAATGGATGAATACAAAAAAAACGAAACTGTATAGACGCCAACTGTATGTATGCAGCATTGTGCACGAGAAAAACTGAAAAAAAGGTTCGCATTTTTTTACCCTTGATGTCCGTTCATCTCCGTTTTGGTGAAAGTAACGCTACGAGAGATTCCCGAATATCTCTCATCATAATCGGTTGGTTTTATGAAGCTGTGTTTTGTTTTGAAGCCGGCTTTTGGGCAGAGTAATACATGTTCAGCTTGACGAACCGAGAAACTTTTAAAAATCATCATGTAACGTCATGGAAGGCCATAGGTGGCAAGTCGCAATGATCGTGAGTTGTGAGTCGACCGCCCACAAAAAAACTAAATAAGAACAACCGGCTCCTTAGGAGGAATAAGATGGCCTTTCTGCCCCAATCCAAATAAATTCGGTTTCATTTTTTTTTTCTTCCGTTTTTGCAAGTTTTTTTGTGTGGAGTTACTTTGAAAATGAAAAAATATATACAAGAAGTGCAGACTTCTATGTGTGTAGAAACACTGATTGCACCTGTTTACGTTCATTATTTACTGGCAATATTTTCTAACCGAGAAAAGTTCACGTAATTTTTTAATTAATCAACTCTTAATGAAGCAAGGAATTTACGCTCGCTCTTTGTTTTTAGTATTAACCTGCATCAGTTTTTTGGACGGGGTATGTCACAATCGTCTCTCGACAATGTCTCATTAATTCACCGTTTTTTTTGCATCCGAATGTACCCTCTGCCTTGCCAATGCTTTTTGGTCTGTGAAAGGCACACTTTTGAATGAAAAACATAAAGTGCAATGAAAAAGTTGCTAAGATCATTGCGGAGATTACGTGCCTGGTCGCTAAACGATCCTGCGTTGTGTGAACAAATTTGAATCCCCAGAGCCGTTCCGGCAAACGTTGCCCTCTATTTTACTGTATCCGACCATTGCTTTGTAGCAGATTGAATATAAAAAAGAAATCCAAAATCTTGTAGTGGATGGGCTCTAGCAAGTGAATATATATACTCTTTAAGGTTTAAAAAGAAAACACAAGCAAATTGAGCAGCTGCCGACCAATTAGAACTCATCTTGTAAAATTACTTGATTGTTGTGACTAATTTCTTTTTCCTTTTTTTTCATTTATCGCACGTGCTTCACCGATAATTTTTTTTTTCTCTTTTTGACAGGTTGTAATAGATATAGGGGAAAGTGGATATATATATATTTACCTTGCGAAAATGTTTTTTGAAATCGTTGGGATTTGTCGTTATAAAGATGAGCAATTGTTTTGCCATTCTTGGAACTGATGGGGAAATCCCGTCAGATATTTTGTTTTAATGATAAAAAAAGCGGAATTATTAAACAGCAGAATGATGTAATTTCTTAGTTCTCCCAAGGGAACTATTGGTAGCGTTGTGTACTATTGCATAGTTGCCACATGGAGACGATGAATTCTTTGTGTATTAATATGATGTACGTGTATTTAAAAAAAAAAAGTAAAAAAAAAAAAAGTAAAAAAAGTCATGAATTTTAACACTTATAAAAATAGGAAAACAAACTTTCAAACTGCATAGCCATCAAGATTTAGAGATCATTTTCATCAGAAACTAGTACATTTTTTGTATCATGGACGAAAAAAAAAAGAAGTTAAAATTGTGACTTGAAAATGACGTGAACGTTTTAAGAATATCTGTGTATAAAAAAAATAATAATTAATAAACAAATCCTATGTGTGCAGGGTTTTCACTTCGTTTGGTTGAGCCCTTTTCTCGAGCTGTAGATAGTAAAAAAAAAAATCAATCAAAAAACTTTGGGGTTAACTCTAAAATAACGCTCCAGTCGGTGGGTTGATAATTTTTGTGTGTGTGTATCTTTGGCAGAATCGGAAAGAAGTTGGCATGTTGTCTTAAAGAGCATAGGAGATACATTGTAAAACAAAAAAGAAAAAACACAATTTAAAAAAAAAAAAAAAAACTGTGCGCAAACATTTTGTAGATAGTGTTCCTAGTCAGTGCTGTGTAGTTTGGGTGTCAATGTTCGGAATGGTTCCAGCATAACCAGTTCACAAAGCATTACTGTTGATTTTAACCGTTGGAAACAAAAAAGAGAAAAATTGCATAGAGAAAATGGGTCGTTAGCCGAGTTGCAATCCATTTAAAATAAAATTGCGACGTGTTTTAATCACTTTCTTCACAGAAAGAAGTTTAGGGTTCATTTTACTTTTTTTTTTTTTTTTTTGGCAATGGTTTGTTTTGTGGATGGAGATGAAACTATTGTAATAACACTTTAAGTTGACGTGGTAAAAGATTGGAAACTTTTTAATAATAATATTTCGTATGATAAAAGTTATGCTCCTTTGAACACAGCCAATGATGTATGTCGTACTCTTTTTGATATAGAATTGATGTATAGGTTGTACCTTTTGTTTTTATTCGAATTATCGTTTGCAATTCTTAAGTAGCGACCAATGCCTTGGTTCCGATTCCCAAGTATTGAAGAAAAATTGAGACGCGTGTAGATTTTTGTAGTACATGTAAACCGCTATCTTTTCTGGTTTGGTTTTTGCTTCACTGCGTATGAATGAAGTGTGGCCCTGAGTAGACTGGTACCCGCAGTGTCATTGTTACAAGGTGTTATTGCTGCTGTGATGCTGGGGTACCAGACCAAGATGGCCCCTGTATAACACCATGATGCCTGGTCTTCTGAGGATGTTTCAGTCACTATCTTTCCAGCATGCGTGATATCCTCTCACTTTTTGCCGTAATAGTATCTCAACATTCAGATGTCTATTTTACTTGCGAAGAAATTTCATGAAATTTCTTGCCTTCAAATGTGACTGGAAAATCCTTGGAAGTATCAAGTATCTATCAATTTAAGAAAAGGCCAAATGTCATTTTTTAATATAAAAAAACGGTGGACATTTGTGGGAGTGGTTTATCTGGCCACCATTTGTAGTTGTGTACATTGCCTTCTCCCTGATAGATTTTGCATATGTTTTGCATATGTTTTGCATATGCAAATTAGTTCAGCTGTGCAGCTCCGCCCTGTTCAACCGCAAACACAATGGACAATTTTTATATTGTATACAATCCAAGGCTTATGAACGAATGCACAAAACTATAACCCACAATTGGACCAAATGGGGGATTTTCACTACAATTTGCCCAGTTTTCTCAAACACTTTGTTGACAAACTATGATACTTTTGGACGTCTTTTGCAATCTGTGTCCAATTGAACGTTATAATTGAACGAATACTTTGATTTGTAATGCACAAATTTGACATCTTGTTGACTTCAGAATTTGAATCAATTGTCCCATTGTTTTGTTAATGAAAGCATAATTTAATACTGATATAATTTTTTTTGGAAAGAAGGTATCATTTATGAGATTTGTTTTCTTCAAATGTGCATGTTTTACAACAGCCTTGTAAATTGTTCATTGTGTTAGCTGTCAAGACACGTGCAGGACTCGTAGTTTCATTATCATATTAGTTGTGAAGTTGTGTAAGAGAAAAACAAAATGTCGCCCCCTGTCTTGCTCTAACTTTTTACGGGCACAACTTGAATGCCTTGTTTTAATTTGATCTCTGAATATGATGATAAACAAAAGAGTTAAGTGTACAGTTAAAATTGGATATATCGATGTAGTGGTTAGCAAAAAAAAAAGTGTATTATTAAACAAGGAGTATTGCTGGGAAAAAAATGAGAAGAGATTTTCTTTTTTAAGTATTGGAACCCCAACCTTAGTGTAAACTCCCTTTCTCGAAAAAAAACAAAATTTGTTATTGTTCATATGCTGATGCTTTTAAGAAAATCTGCTGTGGGATCTTTGGAGAAAAAAAAATTAATGAAAACTCATTAAACGAGAAATCCTGCAGGTATTGTAAACATTGACGTGACGACACTCGACTTGATTAATTACTATTATGATTATTATTGTTACTCTTATAGATGCGTAGATGTTGGTGATAACGTTAGTAGCTAGGTCGGATAAACTCCTCGACGCGACGTCTAAAAAAAAAAACTTACGTAACGTTATTAAAATAAAAATGTACTATTGATAGTAAGAAACCCAACACAAGTGGACCATGTGACTCGGCTCATTCATTATTCTTGAGCTGGTCGCAGTGGTGACTAAAAAACATAATGTGGGCACGTGCACTATATATAGATGGTAAACGAAACAGAAAAATCATCACCCTTATATGGTCATGTGTACACCAAATCTTTATATATATAATATACAAGAGAATAGGTGAATGACCCCTTTGGGGGTCTGGTCTCCCGTCTTAGTTTACTTGTGTCGTGTATCACATGGTAAAAGCCTGTGCCCACGTTTTTCTGTATGATGGCAGTAAAGTTAAGCGTAAGTAAAATAAACTTGTGTCTTTATCAAAAAAAATTTGCAAATTGTGTTTATTTTGTTTCTCAACTTGATTGTTACCCCTGTTACCACCCCCTTTTTTGGCTGCCCCGCCCAAGATGTAGGGATTATGACTTATGAAGTGACCATATCCCCACCCTAGGGCAGATTTCAAGTGACAATCTCTGACATGCGTTGGGGGGGGGGGGGGGGTCCTACACTGGTTGCCTGTCTGTCAAGTGCACCGATGGCTAAAATCCCCACTAAGAACTAAAAATCCCAACCCCTCGGGTTTGAGATATTTATGTGACTAAACCCGACGTGACACCTGGGGCATGGGGGGGGGAGGCAATTGATAGATTTGGCTTGTTTCTTTAAGGTAATATACAACATTTGCAAACATCAAAATACAAAATTAACAAATTATGAAATTCCTCACTGGATGGTAAGTGAATAAAAGTATCCTGTGAAATCATGGCACCTGGTGTGCTGTGATTTTCAAGAAAAGTGGAATTCTTGCATCAATTTCCAACGATGGTCGGCCGACCATCATTGGGGAAACAAAACAACCTTTTTTTTTTTAAATACTGCCCCCAATTTGCCAAATTTAGCTAGTCCAGATTTTGTTTGCAATCGGTTTCACATTTGTAAACGGGTACAAGCCAGCTAGTCTGGTTCCCTGACCTGAACATTTCCCTTCTGTAAATTGCTCCATTGAAGTAGAGTCAGGGAACCAGATTACAAAAACAGCATTTTTTTATTTTTTCCCCCAGCATCTATGAACACAAAACATTAAACAGGTCAGTGCAACAATATTTGCTATAAAATACTAACTCCAAAATCCGTCCATTTCTGAATATTTTAGTATCGACTTTAAAATAGTTTCCATGGTTTCATAGGTTTTATTTTTGGTGATTGATGATTTTGTTTTCCCAGTCCTCAAAATAGACCTTTCATTTGTAACCATTGATTGCCATTTGGGTTGTCTAGCCGCAAGGACATAAATATAAGCCATGGTTAATTTTGGCAACAAATCTTGCTTAAAAAAATCACTCTACCTTCGTTATATAAGAAAGGTATTTGTATTAAATCCGTGATAGCATTTAATGGCTATTTTTGTAATTCAATATTAATAACTATTCTTTATTTTTGCAATGTTGGCCTTCCATAGTTCATCAGACCATGGTTGGCAAAAAGTGCCAATCACGGCAAAATTCTATAAAAAAAAAAAAGGTATAAATCTCACAAGATCTGCACCAGAAACTGCAAATACAGAAAAATTAACTTCAAAAAGAAAAAGAAATTAAAGCCTGATTAAAGATCACATCAGAAATGTATCACATTTTATGACTTCGTACCAATTTAGGCAAATAAATAAGTGTACTTTAATTCTTCAGGCAAACAAGATCCAATAGGATTTTGACACATGGAACAACTTTTTTATAACAAACATAACTTTTTGATAAATATTTCTGCTAGAAATTTCTGCAATCTCCCCCCCCCCCCCCCCCCCCCCCCCCAGCCTGGCGACGCATCTTAAAAACCTTTCTACGTAGGATCTTTTTTAGGGGAGGCTGGGAACCGCGCATATTTTCTCTTCCTGAAAGCGCCCCCATGCGGCGTGATTGGTCTCATTCACGTGGGTTCATTTGACAGCGCAGCAAGTCGAGATGTCTGGGTAGGGTCTAGTGAACACGTCACACGGTGCAAAAAAATGGCGATCAATATGGAGGGGCTACAGCGATTTCTCGCCATGTTTTTGGCTTTATTACTGGTTGTCTGCGTGACACTGGCTTCAGACAGTAAAACCAAAGGTACGTTGAATGTCTTAACTGTCGTGATGAGTTGTTATTTTGTTTCTGAGAAGGAATATCACAAAATTAATATTGTGCCCTCGAAGTAAGTTCCGCCATCATGGCCACGTCCGCGCCGCGGCTCGTGGGGTGGGTTGGTTGTAAGAAAGTTCATGTCTTGGAAATGTTCTCACGTGTCTCAGGTTCTTAAACTCAATTTATGAGTTTGTGAAGTAATAAATTAGGTCTTATTGCCATATTCAATTGTATTTTCCCCGCACCTTTCGTTTTATATTTGATATTGTCCTTTAATCAAAACGGGGGTTTACAAAAAAAGTTTTTAAAAAAGTCGGACAGCCGTGTTTGTTTTGTGCAGTGGGGCATGACAAAACAAACCTCGGCCCATTTAAAAACTTGTGGTTTTATTTCTTTTGTGAAGATGTTATCCAGGTACGGCTAGCGTGTACACTTCCCAAGAACACAATCTTTTGTCTTGTTTGTCCTCGGTGACTGTTACATTTGACACCTGTAACTTCTTTTTCTGTTTTGCCTCAAACCGAACAAAAGGTCAAGATTTTATGTCGTGCTGTGCGACGTTGACGTGTACACCGTCTGGTTTCACTAGCTGGCCCCGTGGCGTGACCCATCTTTGACCTTTTGCTTGGGCAATGTCTTATAAGTGCTGGCTGTTGGTTCACCCCCATGCACAGAACATGTCCCCAACACTTGAGTCACTATTTCTTCATTTTTTTTTATACAATAAATCATGATCCAATTTTTTCAAAACAATTTGGCATGAAACGATACATACATGTACAAAATCTGTAATAAAAAAAAGGAATGATTCCACGTCAATTGACACACTGAATACAAAACCTATGAAACTGGTCTGAAACATTCTAAGTGCTTTCTCACTAAATACCTCAATATTTTCCCTGCTAAATTAGACTTTTTACGACATGTTATCGCTTTCTGATGGCTGACAGGTCATGGTTGGGAAAAATTTGTGACGTCCGTAATAAAATTATTGGGTAATCATAAAATTACCAAGTAATACTTGTAGCACAGTTTTACAAACTTCCTGCCATTTGTCATGATTAGAGATTTTTCAGCCTTTTTGAAAACTGATAATTATGAACATTGGCCTACCAGTACCAGTAAGAATTTACTTTTATAATTTATACCACGATACGCAATAGACCTTTGTATAAATTTGGTTTTAAAAGAATTCCATATACGGACTCCGTATATATGGAATTCTTTTTAAAAAAAAATTATGCAAAGGTCTATTGAGTATCGTGGTATAAATTATGAAAGTAAATTCTTACTGGTACTGGTAGGCCAATGTTCATAATTATTAGTTTTCAAAAAGGCTGAAAAATCTCTGGCAAATGGCAGGAAGTTTATAAAACTGTGCTGCGAGTATTACTTGGTAATTTATGATTACCCAATAATTTTGTTATAATTAGCCCCTTTTTTCATTGTTTTTTAATTTAAAGTTTCAGTTTTTGGTAAAATAAACCTAAAGTTGCCTAAGCTTTATTTCCATCATGAACAGGCCCTATATGTTCAAAATCATTTCCATTTCATATTAAATTTGAACTGCCTGAACAAATTTGCCAAAAAAAGGTATGCATTATTGTGAGCAAAATGAAGTACTGCATCTGTGTTTCTTGAAAATAATAAAACGTTGGGAGCTGTTAAAATGAGGAGTAATTATTTCTTTAACACTAACGATCTCCAACCAGCCAAACTCCAACACCAGGATTTGTTGGAATCTGTTAGGATGAGTACTGCACTAGTAACCTGACTGTGCTTTATGTGGGATTAGGCATACCACAAATAAACAGAGTCCAACTGTTTATTGCACAGTTTACCATATGGTGTGGGGATTGCAAGGATGAGGAAGGTAAATCACCATAATAGGGAGTTAGGGTTTTAACAATAAAAGTTGCCATCTTTCTGTGGCCTTTGATTTCAGGAGTGTACTTGTACATGTTGTAGAGCCAAAAAAAAAAATGAGTGTAAACAGTAATCCGACCTACCTGGATTTTATTAGGCCAAATTAGTGACTGCAAATTTTGTATTGCAACATTGGGCCAAAAATGTAAAATTAAAGTATATTTTGAAGAAAAAGAAAGGCTTCCCTATAATATGATATTTTTGGTGTGTGTTATTGGTTAATTTTAAAACAATAAAACATGTTGATTAAAAACAGAATACGGTTAAATACGGTAAAGGTGCATATCCAACAAACAAGTATATGAGGCTAAATAAAAAAAATGTTTAGCGCCCCCGCCCGCTTCCTTTTTGGAGGCCGCCTCCTTTTTTTCTTTTTTCTTTTTTTTAATTTGAAAAAAAAAAAACCCAGAAAAATTATGAAATTGTAACAGTGACATAATTTTTGCCTCTTTGTCTGTTGCACCTATGATCTAGCCCATATAAAGCTGGTATGTCATTTCCTGAGTCCAAGTGGCGGCCATTTAAAAAAAAAGTTGGTGGCTATCTTGAAAAATAGCCCAGCTGGTCATTCTGGAAAATTTGTCAGGCAGCCATTTTGGAAAAAATAAAATAAAAAAGGCCTCATCTTTCCTTTTTTTCAAAAAAGGCAGTCCTGACGCAAAGTTGGTTTGTTTTTATTTGGCCTTACATGTAAATATGTAAGTGTGTTGTTGGCGTATTAAACAATATAAAAGGTTGATTAAAAACAGAATATTATTAGAATTTAAATAAAGGTATCCTATCAACAAGTATAACACACTGACAGACAAAAATATAAAGTAAAAATTTTTAAACATGTCCAGTAAAAATATGTACCTAATGGTACCGTGATAATTTTAGTGTGGTACCATACATGCCATAAACACACAATTTTTTGAACTAAACATATGTGTTTGGCAATTAAAAAACAAAATTATGGCATATCTTTTTTGTTCCGAACATTTTAAATCTCCTATATGTGTATGTACACATGTCCTCCACAACAATAGATAAATAAGTCTCTACATTTTACATATAGATTACAAATTGTTGTACATTGTTACTTGAATGTTTACACGTACGTTTTGATATCACTTAGACTAATTCAATGCAAACAAGTATCAAGTTATTTTACAACAGGTTGTGAAAATAGACCTGTTCTGAACAAACAAACAGCAAAAATACGCACAGCAGGCGGTAGACCTGGTCAACGAGACCAGACACAATTTTGCACGTCTACAACAGGAAGTCCATGATCAACTGATCGTGGTAAAGGAAAAAAAGGTTCATAAGGTCATGACATTGTATTGTGTGTGTGCAAAGAAGTTTGTGTTCGCATCGTCTGTCAGCCTTCCTTTAAAAATAACACCCAATAAAAGAAATTACAGAATTTTAAACACAACCACCGTTTTAAGGTTCTGTCCACAGATCACAAAAAAAAGTTCAGTGTTCTTTCAGCAAAACGAAAACATAGGGATGTGTGTGAATTGTTTTCGTTTTGCTGAAAAGAACGCACACCATTTTTTTGGTCCGTGGACAGAACTTTAAAACGGTGGTTGTGTTTACAACTCCGTAACTTGAAAAGTACATGAGTGATTTGAATGATTCTTGTACATTGTACTAAAAGAAAGCTTATGAATTGAGCTTTCATATCCTAGATTTTCAAAGTGCTTCATGAGAAACTTCAATAAAAGAATAGTCCCGACATTTGGAATGTTTGGGTTTCGTTTTTTTTTTACACATCCTGTATACATTGTACTACATTGTAATTTGTACATGTGCATGTTTAACATGCATACATGTACATGTATACGCAGCTTTTATCAAAATGCATACGTGTGGTCTTTCACCAGGCCCAAATATGTACATAAACATGTGTAAGTACATGTACATGCCGTGTGTCCTATAGAAAAAGTGGCTCCGGACAGATCAGGGGCCATATCTAAACAAATATTCATCTGAGACTATTTTTTTTTGGGGGGGGGGGTGTTTTTTCATGCTGTTGATGTTATTGCCTATGAAAAAATAAACTGAATCGATTGAAAACTTTTAAAGCCATCTGGCCATGACTAGAAACGCAAGAGCCATAAAATCAAAATTTACACCTTTTTTTGCGGCATTAGCATGTGCTGGTAAATTAGTGGAGAGAGGGAGACCTCAAATCTTCACCACACACGAAAACATTTCAAATTCACATGCAAACAAGAAGAGACTATGTCTTTATTTCATTACACGTTTATTTGTAATGTTCATAAATAAAGTCTGATTCGGATAAAATTAAATATTTCCCCTTGAATACATGTAGTCTCTTCTTGTTTGCATGTGAAATGTATTTGTGTGTGATATAGGTACCAGCACTTGTAGCTAATGCCGCAAAAAAATGTAAATTAATTGTAAATTGCGATTTTATGGAGCTCTTACGTTTCTAGTCATGGATTTAAAAGCTTGCAATCAATTCAGTTGATTTTTCCACAAGCAATAAATAATATCAACGGCATGAAGAAACACCCTACAAATTTAGTCTCACTTGAATATTGTGTAGATATGGCCGCTGATTTGTCCGGTTTTCTGGGACACTTTGCTGTACATACAGTGATACACATGCATTGTACATGCGTGTAGATGTGACGTGGACATTTCTGATATTAAGCCAACTTAGCCAAGAGGAAATATCAATACCATGAACACAATTTTAATGGTCAGGACATTTCCTACACCCAGATACTTTCTGATGATCTCTATTTTATGTACGTTTTAGGCATGTCAAAATTATCCCTCCTTTTGTTTGATCAGTCACAGACAGTCAAGATTCAATCCTGTTTCCTGCCATGCCTTTTACACAGGCTAGTCACCAACAGTCGGATCATATTTCTTGTAGGCACTAGGACAGTCAAATTCCATCAACAGACAAAAGCAGGTGACTGGTAGGCACAGCTGGCTTATCAATCACCTACAGTCAAACCATAGCTATATTAGGTTTCATAACAATTACAGCCAGTCAATCCTGCTTTATGAAGGCAGGGAGCACTCAACTGTTAAAAACAGTCACTAGATTTATTTGGACTGCTGTGCTGGCCTTGTTGAAATTGCCAGCCAGAGAGGGAGTGCATTTACATGCACAGTGAATTTTTTTTAAGATATAGAAAAGGTTTTGATCATGATTTTGTTTCAGTAAGTTGTCCATCCATTATTGTTTATTTGTGGTACCTCACAAAACTCTCGCGAAGCCTGAGAACAGAGCTATTCATGTTCAGTTCACACACAAATGTCCAAATAATTAGGATTGCCTCGACTCGACTAAGGGTGACGTCTAAACGCGCAAATCCCTTGTGCCTTTTGTAGACACATACAAAGTCTGCGGAGGCAGACCGTGTGTTGATCTTGAATTGGCCGCTGTGCACGGCCTATTGTTGTACAATTTACGCTCCAGTGCACACCCCGGAGTATTGAAACATATGAGGTTTGGGCAAGGAATATCGTACAAATACTGTTGAAATGACTCTTGCGAATCAGAATTTGTGGCATTTGGCTGTGTATCAGAAGTTGGTTGAAAAATTTTGCCTTTTGCGAAAATTGAAATTTTCGGCAGAAATAATCCTGGTTAAGAAAAGAAGAAAAATTGCTACATGTAAGTCGTCCTCTTCTCATGCCATTCTGTATTAAGATTTTTTATACAGTATGTTGAATGACAACAAAAATTGGTTGAGTTATTTTTTGTAAGATTGATTTGTTTTTTTAATAAATTTCTTTGATTAATTTCACGGTAAAATAGAATGTGCTTTCTGAGGACTTTCAAGACAAAATTTCACTAGCTTACAGTGTTATTGGCTGTAGAAATTCTTATTGGCCATTAATGTAAATTAATTTCTCATAAACAAAACAAAAAAAAAAAAAAAATAACCCTTGCATGGAAACCCGTTTTTTCCCCCCAGATAAGACAAGACTGCTTGTTGTTACCGTAGCAACAAATGAGACCGACGGTTTCAACAGATATATGAGGTCGGCCAAGAAGTATGGCTACGACGTGAAGGTATGTACATACACACTGACAGCGCAACCAACAAACAATCAATTTAAATAACAAACTTGAACTGCAATTGGGCCAAGAAAAGCACATGGGTTTCCGGTTTACCCAATCTAGAAAATCCTGCAGAACCTAAATCTTTTTATTCAAAATAATATTGTATAAACCTGTGGGGACGCCTTTAAACAGAGATGCCACTTTTCTGGTTTTAACCGGAATTAGTTTTTTTTTTTTTAATCTCACAAAATTCTGGTTTTGTTTGGCCATCAAAATAAGCCGGAAAAAGAGAAGAAAAACTGGAAATCAGTTGATTTTTACCTCGTTATCGCTCTCGATTTTAGGCGCACGCATGGCACAACGTTGTTCGTTGAAGTAGTCTTAAAAACAGTCTTTGTTGTTGCCGAGCCTGCATGTGATACAGGCGGCCAACGTACTTGCACGCAGTATACAACGGCACCTCGCGCGTGCTTCACCGCGTGTGGGCGAGTTGTCGAACGCATCGCGTAGTGCAAACAGCAGCGTTGTGGATGGAATCGTGCATGTTTCTTGTCGAATATTACGTTGGAAATTCGAGTAGGCAGATATGGAAAAAGTCAAAGTGATTGAACGAACCGACAGCTTTAATTAAAGGCCATAGAAGCAAATTTAAAAAATAAAGGGAACTGGGCTTGGCTACCAGATAAAAATGACAACGGGAACTTTGTGTCAGACTCGGAGTTGCTTTTTCACACAAAAAAAGTTCCCTTTTTTTCAAGCAGCCGTTCCGGTTTTTTCAAGCAGACCCAGTTCTGTTTTTTTCAAGCCGACCATGTGGCATCTCTGTTAAATAAATGCATTCTGTTAAATAAATTTTCAACCTCTGAAAAAAAAGAAGGTTTTTTAGTAGACTGGCTCCCGGTCCAGTCAATACTGATATATTATCGATACTGATTGTGGGGCGGGAACCAGTCTATCCCGCAAGAATGAAATTATTGTCTGGCAGTCAATAATTCAAAATTGTAAAGTAAAAATTCAACAACTAAACATGAGCTGATGTTTTTTGGTCGATGTCTCATTCAATTTAAAAAAGGAATCTATTTTTCAGAATGAAACTCGAAAATAGCACAGGGAATGAATCTTTAATTATATGATTTGAGGCTTTGCATGGTGGAGTATCAGTATCGTTTCGGTTTGCGGTAACACCATGTGGTAATAACTACTGCTCAGTAGATATTTAGGTCTGAAAAGAACTTGTCCTGCTTGTTATCAACTTTCGCTAAGTAGTTTTTTAGTTCCGATAAGAACAGTCCTGCTTTAAGTTCTAAAAGAACTTGTCGTTGGTCTTAACATTTTGGCTAACCTGCTCTAGTCATCGTCAGGAGAATCTGTAGTTGTTCCCTGCTTTCTATTTATTTATTTATTGATGTACATGTATTTATTTACTTCTTTATTGTCTATTGTTGTTTACAGGTCGTGGGCATGCACCAGCCTTGGAAGGGCGGAGATGTCTTGAACGCACCGGGAGGCGGGCAGAAGATCAACCTCCTCAAGGAGGCTCTGAAGGAGTACAAGGATGAAAAGAACCTTATCATTATGTTCACAGACAGGTAAGTTATTCTTGACTCCGTGCAGGAAACAGTAGATGATCTCAATGTCTTAAAACTCTTTCAATTATGATAGCGATTGGTTGCAAAACTGGCTGCTACAGAGAAAGTCGCTATACTGAACACCGGTATACCAAACATTCGGCTATACGGAACATCGTCCTTGGCTCCCGATTTTTGCGTGCAAAACTGAACATTGTTGTTGAAAAATGTCAACAGAAAAGTGACAAGTGGCTATTATTAAGGATCAGAAGGGGAAAGCCACCCATTGCTGTAGGTAGTAAGCTGAAAAAATGTAATTACATAATTCAATAGTCAGCACGTGTTCAAAGTCGTCTTTCAGTAACTACCGGGGCGTGCAGGGTGAAGTTATGAAGGGTGCTATTTATTGAAAAGTGAGTACCAGAGCACTAGCAGCTTCAAACGCTATACAGAACGATCGCTATTACGAACAATTTCTGTGGATCCCACAATGTTCGTTATAGCGGTGGTCCACTGTGTATCAGATTCGAACCAGCAGGCCAATCCTGACAAGCTCGGTGGTCGAGTGGTAAGACGTCTGCATTAGTACGCAGGAGGCCATGGGTTCGAGTCCCCCCTGGGTAGGCTTGTGGATTTTTCCTCCCAAGTACTCGGGCAGCACTGACTGTACAAGGTTTTTAAAAAATAACGTTCGTGACGGGCAAAACCCAATGTTGAATTTATATCACCCCAACACGAATTCCATCTTATGAATAGTTTGGTTGCTGTACCCCCTGATATATCAGACTCGAACCAGCCAGCCGACCCCGACAAGCTCGGTGGTCGAGTGGTAAGACATCTGCACTAGAAAGCAGGAGGTCGTGGGTTCCAGTCCCACAAAAGTAGGCTTCTGGATTACTTCTCGCAAGCACTCAGACAACGCTGGGTATATCGTCATGTCCGTGCAACAAGGACGTATCTCCTAAAACAGGCCGTCCGTGAAACGCGAGTTTCAGAATGTCAAAAGGTCGTATCTCACTTAAAATATTCGTGTGACTTTGTTGCAGAATGGTGTTGCACTGATGCGGCGATAAGATGTTTTCGTTTTTTATATAATTTTTTTTTTATATTATTTTTTTTTTTTTTGCAGTTATGATGTCATTTTTACCATGGGACAGGACGATGTTCTTCTCCACTTTAAAGGGATGGAGAAAAATCTGGTCTTTTCGGCTGAGCCCTTCATCTGGCCGGACGAATCTCTCGCGGTAAGAATTATGACTCTGGCTGTGTCTCAAAATACGTGGCTGTGGCTGGCTGTTACACATGTCTATGGGAAGTGGCTGCAAGCCGCCTCCATAGAGTCTGTGTAATTGCAAGTCATAGCCACGTGAATTTGGATGTGGCTTATATTGGCACTGGCACAGCGCCCTCTTTTGGCTACAGGTGTGCCAGGTGAGAATGGCCTTATGGTAGCAGACCAGTAAATAAACTTCCATAGACCCCAATGGTAAATGCTCCCATTTCAGAAATTCAGGAAAAATACTCACAACTCTCTAAGGTGTTCGAGACACACATCAAATTAAAGCTTATTTCATCATCTTTCATTTTCTGTTCAATTTACGGGGGGTCATCTGATGACTTTTAGGAGAAATTTCCATCTGAAGATGATCACCCCTGAAAATAGTCCTGAAGCCCATCGCCATTTTGAAAAAAACGATGCCTACACTCCATTGCAAAATAGAGCGCTTTTAGGGTCCAAATTACATCCAAATTACACAGAACTGCAAGCTCCCAGTCCTGTGCACGGCTTCCACCCATATTTTTTACAAACCCTCAAGTTCATGGCCCACAGCATGCTCAAATACTGAAGATTTTGAGGGCATGCAAATCGTGATTTGGCCGGCATAGGCAATTTCGGACCGATTTACGGGTCTGCACCCTATTATGCACGAGTTGGCCATATTTGTCGAGTTCCCTGAATGTATATCATTAATTGTTAACTGTTGAATGGGATGGCGCCAGACTATTCATGCAGGCATAATGCAGCCTTATTTTACTGTCATTTGTTTAAAATCTGGCTTTAGACAATAGGGAATGTTTAATTACAAATTTCAAATTATTCATTGAAGCAGACTGGAATTAATTAGTAATCAACTTGCTTTCATCTTTCTTCGCAAGTTCCAAAAATTAAGATTTTACCACGCTTTCAATTCAATATGGCCGACTCGTGCATAAGGCCCATACTACTAGGGGGGACATTCTAGTCTGGTTCCCTGTCCGAATTGTCCTTCTGACTTCAGATATGGGGACAGGTAGTTAGCAGTGAATCCAGAATGCATGTGTGCTTTATATTCCGAGAAAACAATATTCTAGGATCTCGGATTCAATTCAGAAGTTGTCGAGTCATGTTTTGAATCGTGCCCACAATCAGCATATTGCAGCTACGCTACGTCACGCACTTGACCGACGAATTATAGCAACCATGCACGTGTGTACGTCCTGCCAACGCATGCGCACACCCAATCACGGCTTCACCTAATTAAAAATGAACTACTAATGGACATTTCCAAAAATGCGTCTTTGGAAATTTCCTTCTTTTGTTGTTTCCTTAAAAATGACAGCATGCCAGACAAAAATTTACAGGGAGTTTAGTGCCGTTACTATCTTTAAAGGGAATATACAACATTTGCAAACATCGAAAAATAAAACTACCAAGTTTTTAAGAAATACCTTACTAGGATGTTGGTAAATGAGAGTCTAAAGCATCCTGTAAAATTATGGCACCTGGTGTGAAGTCATTTTCAAGAAAATGGTATTTTTGTATACATTTCCAACGGTGATCGGCTGACCACCGTTGGAAAAACCTAACTATATTTCAACTACTGCTCCAAATTTACCTTTTTTCAGTCCAAATTTTGTTTGGTATTGGCTACATGTTCATGAACGGGTGCAGGCCAGCTAGACTGGTTCCCTTACCTTACAATTTTCTGGCAACTATAAATTGATCTATTTCATCTTTAGTGGAGTCAGGGAACCAGACTACTTGAACAATTTTGTTTTTCTTGGTTTTTCCAGCATTTTCGAACATAAAACTTCAAACATGTCAGTGTAACAATATTTGATATATTATACTAACCCCTCAAATACTCCATTTCTGAAAATTACAGCAAAAGCCAATGATGTACATTCCCTTTAAACCAAGTAAGCTTTTCAACAAAAATGTTGTCAGTTACTTTTTGGATAACTGCAAATGATCTACTCTACCTTTGAACCGCAGCCTGACTACCCTCAAGTTGAGGCAGGCTACCCCTTCCTGTGCTCAGGGATGTACATCGGTTACGCACCGTACATCTGGAAGGCCCTCACATGGCGAGATATCACCGACGATGGGGACGACCAACTCTTCTTCACCTATCTTTATTTGAATCAAGTCAAACGAGTAAGTGTGAGAGACCTGTTGTCAAGTCTTCACTAATCCTTAAAAAACAACGACAAGTCGAAAAATCTATTCATTGGTTCAAACCCAGCTTTCTGTTGTCACCTTTACAATTAAAAAACTTTCAATCTCATGCCTAGTGACCTTTCTGTTAAGTTTTTAGTGTTAATCACATACACGTACTTTCTATTTGGTTTTTTAGTAGCCCTAACAGTCCTTAGTCCTCCAATTTTTATACGATTTTGCACACCCCCTAGGGAGTTAGGGTTAGTGGAATTTTTAAAGATAATGTTAAGCTTGAAATACGTGTCAGGTTCTTTAACTTTTTTAATTTGAATAGTTCATTAGACTACATTGTTATTATATATACCTGCAGCCGATTTTCACGAAAAAGTGCGCAGCTTGTGCCAATGCGTAGGACTTACGCAACAAATTTGTTGCGCAGTTGCGAAATAAACTTACGATCGTTTTCACGAACCTTGGCGTAGCTGCGCAATGTTTTAAATAATCTAAACATGGACAAGGATAATTACAGCATTTAAGATGGCTGTTTGTGTATGAATTTGCTCGTTCATGAAACAGTCATTGAATCACTTTAGCCCGCCATATTGAAAATAACTTTGTTCGACATTTTTTAGAATCGTGCGGCAACTCTAAAAATTCAGTCAAGAGTAAAATAGCAATTCATGTACTAACACAGAACTGTAAGTGTCTTCTATTAACGTTATGATTTATTTGTAAGGTCCGAAATTTTGGGTCCGAAATTTTGGATTCTGAAATTTTGGGTCCGAAATTTTGGTTTGAAATTTTGGGTCCAAAATAGATCATTTTTAGTTGCTGTGCCACAACTTACGCCGCCTAAAATGATTGCGCAAGTTACGCCATAAATGCCTTGTGCAGTTGCGGACTTGCGCATTGTGAGACTTTCGTGAAATGCGTCACAAGTGAAATGTTCCGCAGCGTAAAATGCTGCGCAACTTTTTTTGGCGTAATTTTGGTGAGATCGGCTGTTGGTAATGGAACAAAGGATTGCTCAAAAGCGCAATAGGCACTGTAGCTCGCAAGCCTGAAGAAACCTGTAGAGAGAAGACAACGAGAAGAAATTACAGTTTTAGAGGTGGGAGGAAAACCCCAGAAGAATATTCTGGGAAAACCCTCGGAATCAGGCAGGGACTGAAAACCCAATCCACATATTGGCCCAGGCGGGATTCAAACCCGGGTCACAGCGGTGGAAGGCGAGGAAAGTACCGCTACGCCGACCTGACCAAATGTATAGTTTTTACACGTTTATTGAATTATATTTATATTTTTATTTTGTTTTCAATTTTACAGAAAAATTGGCGAATTGGGCTCGATAATAAAGCAGTTCTCTTCCAGAATATGAACGGGGCCCACGGTACGGTATTTCAACTCTAAGCACCGTCTACATCATAATTTTCAACAATCGATATATCGGAAATCCAATATCAAAAATATTCGATATAACGATTATCCCACGTAAAAGTTAAAGACCATAAAGTTGAACTTTTTTTTTAAAAGTCCCAATTTTCCATGGCTTTCTCTGGAGCAGATTGCTCAATTTTTTTCAAACAAATCTTAGCTCTGAGAGTTTGTCCAGAACTTTAAAAAAAAAAATTTTGTATAGTTTTACATTGGGGGAGACCGCGAATTCCAGTAGGAATTTGTTTTCGTTAAAAAATGTTGGCTGGTGTCATGCGGAACAGCCAATACAAGGATCCACATGGATTGTAAAGGATTGGGGGGGGGGGTGTTAATAACATGAAACTGTTAATAGTTGTCAGGTTTTACCAGTACCAAAATTATTACTTTTTTTTTCAATTTATTTTGTGTTCTTCAGGTGATATTTCGATACGTTTCCAAAACAACAACAGTGTAATTTTCAACAACAAGTATGAAACAAACCCGGCAGTTCTACATGGAAACGGCAGATCTAAGGTAGGCATGCGGCACGTTGTTCGTCCAAATCAATGTTGAAATGTATTTCCTTTAAAGGGAAGTTACAACATTTGCGAACATCACAAAACGAAAAGATCAAATTATCACGAAATACCTGGATTGTTAGGGAATGACAGTCTAAAGCTTCCTGTAAAATCGTGGCTCCTGGTGTGCTGACATTTTCAAGAAAACTTGTATTTTTCCAACGCTTGTCGGCCGACCAACGTTGGAGAAAACTGGCTTTTTGTCAAAAACTGCATCTTATTTTTCATAATTAGTTATTGCGCATATTCTTTGTAATTGATTACACACCTGTGAAGGGGTACAACCCTGCTAGATTGATTCTCTGACCTTACAATTCCCCAAAGTCTATAAATTGCTCCGTTTCATTTTAAGTGGGGTCAGGGAAGCAGACTACATGAACATGTTTGGTTTTCTTGGTTTTTCCAGCATCTACAAGCCCAAAACTTGAAGCTAGTCATTTCAACAATATTTGCTATATTACTGATCCTCCAAATTCATTTATTTCTGAAAATTGCAGCAACAGCAAATGTTGTAGATTCCCTTTAATGAGATATAATTGCAATACAGTTGAATTTTATTATAATGACTAGTATGGGGTTCATAAAAGTTTAGTTCGGTACGAGGGAGTGTGGCCTAGTGGTTAGGATTTGTGACTCATGATCAGAGGGTCAGGGGTTCGAATCCAGCTGCTGGCCATATGTTGTGTCCTTGGGCAAGCCACTTCACTCCCATGTCCTTCTCTCCACACAAATGTTTAAAGTGGTACCAGCATTAGCTGGGGAGTAACCTGTGATGGACTAGCATTCCATCCAGGGGGAATTCAATGTAGAAATATTCTCAGTCGTTTCATGCCACTGAAACCGGAAACAGGAGATAAACGCCGGCCAAATTGGCTTGTGACAGACTTTTACTGACAGACGTTTACCGTATTATTTTCAACCCAGCTATACAAAGGGCAGCTCCCATTACCACAGCTTTAGATTCCATTCTCTTATTATTTCTTCTTCCGTATTTTCAGACCATGTTGAATAACTTTGGCAACTATTTAGCCTACCATTGGACGCCTGAAGAGGGCTGCGTGGCCTGTGAAGAAGATACCTTCAGTCTGGCCAATGTCACGGTATGTGTCAGGATTCCCCCACACTCCCAACCCCACCTCCACCCCACCCTCCACCTCCCCATCCCCCACCACCCATCCCCCCACCACCCACCCCAACCCCTTACCCACCCCCACCCCCACCCCCACCCCCACCCCACCACCCCACCTCCCAACCCCACCTCCCAACCCCACCCCACCCCCTCCACATATTTACCAAGAACGTAGAGAAACACATGAAGCAAAAAGCAAGTCTAAAACCTATTTAGTACTGTACAAGTGTAAAATATGTTGAAAGAAGGATCTGGTACCTGGTCTTTGTTTGTATACATTTACTTCATAGTCCTGTCACCAGACTACTCAGTGGTCCCATTAATTGACATCTTAAATACCCTAGACCTGACTTGTTAGAAGCTTATAGCTGAATCTCTGCAATACAATTGTTCATTTAAATCCAGTTAGCGAGCCTATATTGTATATAGCCAATGCCCTTAGGTACTTGTCGGTTTTTGTTTGTTCACATCTGTAAGTTAAACTTAGCTTTTGTAAGCAACATGTGCACTGAGCCCTGTTGGTATTTTTGTCTCCCAATCTTATGCCCTCTCTTTTATCTTCTTTCTGTAGGCTCAATGCACGTGTTTGCTTAATATAGGGACCATTGCTTACAAGCTTTGCTTCTTAATGGATCCCTCTGCAGTATCACTTGTTCGTTAATTGCATCTTTATATATCCAATTATTTATTTATTTATATATTACTTTCTATGATTAACTTTTGTTGGATTAATACTGTGGAAATAAATAAACCTGAAACCTGAAACCTGAATGGGAAATTCCAGCGTTATGCAATGTCCGTAACAGAGCTTTAAAGAGCTCAGTGAATAAACCTTGATTTTAATCTTATGGGCTCCGTGCGCCAACGAAAGAGGGCGCCCTTTTACCTAGCAACGACGTCCCATGGGCGGGACATTTAGCTGGTTGACGCGCACCGTTCCTTGTGTGTGACGCACGTACACCAGGGGATTTGTACTATGTACACGCAGTGGTACAGCCGCGCGTCGCGGCAAAATTGCAGTCAGGCAAGATGGCGTCATTCGGTCACCCCCAACTGTACTTTCTGTGCCGGTGAGGGGGTATTTCCATCATTTAGTAATGGTCCAGGAGATTACAGACTAGGAGTTTGGATCATTTCTCTGAATCGTTAATTAGGTATCATGGTTAACTGGCTCTGTCACGGACATTACACTGCTGTAATTGCCCTTATGCTTTTATGTTGCATGTTTTTTACCACGCTGCGTCATACAACTGCTATGTTACACGAACACTCATCGCGGTCGTAAGTAACGCGCGTCACGCAGCTGCCCTTGTGCGTTTGATGCATCAACGAACTGCGTTGAGATATATGGCAAGCAAATTCAGGCGAATGTCAGGACTGTGGTCCAACTTTGTGAAAAGAAAATTACCATTTACTATTTGGTCTTAGGTTTCAGATATGAATCGCATGGCTCCGTTTTTTTCCTGAAAAATGTTGAAGAAAACTTGGCTTAAGTGTAATAGTGAATTTTGTGATATCCAATATCGGTCTAAATATGAAGCAGAGCAAATGCTTAAAGTGCCAGCTAATGTAAAAAAAAAATAAAAAAATGAATTAAGAAAAATAAAGACAAATGAAAACAAAAAAAATAAGTTTAAGGGCAATGTTTCACTTACAGACTTTTTTTCTTCGTTGTTTAGGAAGATGACTTTCCACCAGTTCTGGTGGCGCTGTTTATTGAAGTGCCCACGCCATTCCTGGACGATTTCTTTGACCAAGTTGAAGCGTTGGACTACCCCAAGAAGAAAATTGATCTGTTCCTTCATAACCAAGTAAGATAAGACAATTCTTAGCTGCATTTAGTCCAACAAATGAGACGTTCAGTTAGTTTAGCTAAAACCCGAATACTACACATTGTAAAAAATGTGAAATTTGGATTAACTTTGTCAGGCTTATAGGATGACATTAAAAGACAAACCAGTGTGGGGCAGCCCTACCCCAGGGGTAGGTATTGTCGCTTTCAGTGATACCAAATCCCCACCCCTTGGGAACCATTTCCAGTACAAAAGATTGGGAGTGAATTAGATTTTAAAACAAAGAGAGAAGACTAAACTCAGTACCTGTGGTCCAAAACTGATGAGAACCCCACCAAAGGGGCGAGGCATACCATGAAAAAGAGGGTGGGATGGAACACTTGAAAGGTGCATTATTTCTATAGACTAATTCGGCGAATCAAAATTAGAAGCCAGTTTTGAGGTGGATCCACGTCCGCGAGCACACTGCACGCGTTCTTAAAGGGAAAATACAACATTTGCAAACATCAAAAAATAAAACTACATAATCAGTTTGAAATACCTTACTGGACTGTTAGTGAATGACAGTGTAAAGCATCCTGTAAAATCATGGCACCTGATATACTGTCATTTTCAAGAAAAGTGGTATTTTTGTATCAATTTCCAACGCTGGTCGGCCGACCAGCGTTTGAAAAAACTGGCTTTTTTTCAAATACTGGCCCCAATTGACCATCGCACTTGTTTGCAATCGATTACACACCTATGAACGGGTACAAGCCAGCTAGACTGGTTCCCTGACCTTACAATTCCCCAATGTATGTAAACTGCTCTGTTTCTTCTTATATGGAGTCAGGGAACCAGACTACAGGAAAATGATAGTTTTTCTTGGTTTTTATAGCATTTTCGAACCCAAAACCTCAAAAATGTCAGTGTAACTATATTTGCTATATATTTCCAACCCCCCCAATTCCATCCATTTCAGAAAATTTCAGCAAAAGCAAATGATGTATATTCCCTTCAAAGATGAGGCATTTTGGTATAAACCCTATTGTTCGAAAGAGCCCATAGTGCGTGCCTACTACCTGAGCGCAAGCCTGGTTCCGCCTCAAAAATGGCTTCCACTTTTGTTCGCAAAAGTAGTCTACGCTCAAATTGCCATTTTCTTTTTAATTCCACAGCCTAAACACCGTTTGAACAGAGTGGCTAGGTTTGTCAAGAAAGCCAAGGAGATGTACCGGTCGGTCAAGCTCTACTCCCCAGCCAAGAACTTGACAGAAGAACAAGGCAGGAACAAGGGCCTGTGAGTGCAATACTCAAGTTTATTAATTGATGGCAAGATTATTTTTGGCCGCAAAACATCATTTTTGAAAAAGACAACAAATATCAGCCAAATTTTAAACTCAAGTCAAACACCACAAATACTGACTCTTTGAAACTGTACTGTACAATATTTGTACAACAACTCTCACCGTAACTTCATATTTCGCAACACTCTGAGGTCCTGCCATAGAGTGATATTTGCTGTGACGACAGGCCAGTGTGACAACAGGCCAAGTACAGTGGCCAAGTTCAAGTTCAACAAACAGTTTGAACAAAACCAATGGGAACCACTGACGCGTATACATGTCCACCGCCAGAGACTCTGGGAAAGCTTGACAATTTAACTTGACGATACACATTGCCAGATCGTGTCTACATGTCCTGTGGCATGAGCTGGTCTTGGCAAGTCCATCACAAGTCCAGTCAGTGGTTTTTTTATCTACAGCACATATCGTCAATGGATCACGATTATTCATCTAGTTTGATGTTTATTCATAAGAAAATAACAATGATTATAAGATGGAATTTTGCGTCGGGGTGATATAAATCAAATTAGGTTTTGCCCTTCACCGACGTTAAAGGGCAAAACCTAATTTGATTTAATAACAATGATGTCACACCATTGCTATCACTCAGTCATGCATGTACATTAAAGCATTTCAAAAAACGGCTTTCGTCAAGCTACCACAGTGGCCTAGTGGATAGTGGAATGAACTATGGATTGCAAGATCTGTGGTTCGAACCCATGTCCATTTTTCGTCAAATATTTTTGTTGGTTGGGATAAGCGTAATTGAAAGGAAAACACTACAAGAACCTAAGTTTCTTCCATCCACACAGCGTGATAAATAGTCATGTTAGGTGCGTGATTGGTTAAAATATGATATATGCTACAAAAAAACAAAAAAACATGTCCAGTCACAAGTAAATCATGAGTCCAGTCACACGTAAAAATCACCCTCTTGATTACGGACAGAGCACACTGTCTGAAAAGTCGAGTTCTACACGCAACCAACCGGTTCTTTTCAGAACCACACATCTTCCCAGAAGAGATTTCTTTCCACATGGTGTTACCCGCAATCTTTCTACTTTATCTCATCTGCCATGCAAAGCTTCAAGTCATATATAAAAATCACAATTCTAGGAATGCCTTTGTCAAAGCTCACTTGAATAGCTTGTGTGTTGAATTGGGACTGGAGGACTTGTGATGGACTAGACTACATCACTACCATGCAGTAAAATACAGCATTTCATTCTGGGGATATTTGTGGGGAAGTTGTTTCCTGTAAAGCGTTTATTTCAAATTTGCCAGTTATTGGGGGTTAAAGCAGTCAAACCTTTTGTTTTATTGTTCCAGTCAGCACTGCAATGATCTGAAGTGTGACTACTATTTCAGCTGGGATGCCGACGTGCGACTGACCAACCCCAAAACACTCCAGCTTCTCATTGAACAAAACAGGTATACATTTGTCTTCCCAATTATTTCGTCCGTACAGATCCACTAATGTCTGCCTGATGATGGTTTGACGAATTGCAGATGTTATCAATGTCCGGCATGCGTAAAGACAAATGTCCGACATGCGTGCACAGGTAATGCATGTGGTCTAGCGGTAGAGCACAGGATTCATGATCGTGAGATTGTGGTTCGAGCCCCGCCGTGGCCATGCGTGTTGTGCCCTTGAGTAAGGCGCTTTACCTCAATTACTCCTCTCAACCCAGGTGTTAATAATAATAATAATAACTGTATAGCGCTTTTTGCCAGAGGATACAAAGCGCTGGGGGAGAATGCAACCAAAGCCAGGTAAATGAAGTATATGAACATTATGAGACCCATTATGTTGCACCTTATAAGGGTTTACAAGGTGCTGCGGCGCATAATTGCTGCCACTGCCAGAAACACCGGGGCAAACCCCTTCTCTTAGCGACAAGTGTTACTGGGTTCTTTAACGTGCATTACACAACACACAGGACCTACGGCTTAACGTCCCATCCGAAGGACGAAGCAATAATGGTAAAGTGCCTTGCTCAAGAGCATAAGCACCATGTTCCCAAGGTCAGGATTCGAACCCGAGTCGAACACCGTAACCAATGGGTACCAGCATTGACATTGAGGACTCGTGACTCGCGAGTCATGCATTCTTATTAAACCTACAATACCGGGGTTTTTTTCAGAATTAATCAAAACAAAAGGCTGATGTTCATTTTTTGGTTGCCATGGCAAGGAATAACATTTATCACAAATTACGTACTTGTCAGTAATTTCTTGAGGTATATAAACCCAATGATCCGTGGAGTGTTATATTTTCCGACACCCCTTGCCTAGGGAAAATAGAACACTCCACAGTTAACCGAGGGAATCTATTTTTACTATACCCCTCAAAAGCATTCAATATTTGTGTACTATTGCCCCATAGATCAGTCATAGCACCTATTGCCCGCAAGGAAGGCAAACTGTGGAGTAACTTCTGGGGCGACGTCAACCGGGATGGGTTCTACTCCAGATCCGAGGACTACGTAGACATCATCAAAGATTATAAAATGTAAGCATGGACTTTTTCTAAAACATTTCTTTGTATTTTATATCAAATTCAATCATGTCGTTTAAGAAGTGGTCACGAAAGGGCCATCCATTGTTCATTTACAGCAGTGTTGTTGACTTGAGTTGCTGACTCGGACTCGAATCCAACTCGAGTCGCTATTTTTTTTACTTGACTTGACTTGACTTGAACAAAAAAAAGACTTGCGACTTGACTAGACTTGGAAAAAATGAACTTGCGACTTGACTTGACTTGTGAATTGTCTTGACTTTTGAATTGTCTAAACTTGTGGAAAATTGACTCGTGAATTGTCTTGACTTGAGTTGTGACTTGTCTTGACTTGTGAAAAATTGACTTACGACTTGACTTGACTTATGATTTGACCTGACTTGTGATTTGACGTGACTTGTGACTTGCGACTTGACTAGACTTGTGGCTTGACTTGACTTGACTTGTGACTTGTCTTGACTTGTGACTTGTCTTGACTTGTGACTTGACTTGACTTGTGAAAGATTGACTTGTGAATTGTCTTGACTTGCGACTTGACTTGACTTGTGACTTGACTTGACTTGTGAAAGATTGACTTGTGAATCGTCTTGACTTGCGACTTGACTTGAGTTGTGACTTGTCTTGACTTGTGAAAAATTGACTTACGACTTGACTTGACTTATGATTTGACTTGACTTGTGATTTGACTTGACTTGTGACTTGCGACTTGACTAGACTTGTGGCTTGACTTGACTTGACTTGTGACTTGTCTTGACTTGTGACTTGACTTGACTTGTGAAAGATTGACTTGTGACTTGTCTTGACTTGTGACTTGACTTGACTTGTGAAAGATTGACTTGTGAATTGTCTTGACTTGCGACTTGACTTGACTTGTGACTTGACTTGACTTGTGAAAGATTGACTTGTGAATTGTTTTGACTTGTGACTTGACTTGACTTGTGACTTGACTTGACTTGACTTGTGACTTGACTTGACATGTGACTTGTCTTGACTTGTGACTTGTGTTGACTTGTGAAAGATTGACATGTGACTTGACTTGACTTGACTTGTGACTTGTCTTGACTTGTGACTTGACTTGATTTGTGACTTGTCTTGATTTGTGACTTGTCTTGATTTGTGACTTGTCTTGATTTGTGACTTGTCTTGACTTGTGAAAAATGGACTTGTGACTTGACTTGACTTGTGACTTGACTTGACTTGTGACTTGACTTGACTTGTGACTTGACTTGACTTGTGACTTGTCTTGACATGTGAAAAATGGACTTGTGACTTGACTTGACTTGTGACTTGTCTTGACATGTGAAAAATGGACTTGTGACTTGACTTGACTTGTGACTTGACCTGACTTGTGAAAAATTGACTTGATTACAATATGGTATGGAGACCATACCTAGCATGGAACTAGTCTTGGCCCAAGACCAGATCTATATTTTATTTCCCTACATGCAGCTAGTCCGTGACAACCACGGCAAAGCCTCCATGGTGGTCGAGGTCTCACGATCAACAAGATGAATCAAACTCAGCCTTGGGAATATTGGCAGTGCTACCCATCTAATTTTGAGCATACTTCATGCACACGCGTCAGCTTGAATACAGTGCAGGTGCGGTAGGCTCAAAATTTACTGGGTAGCTCTGCCAAGATTCCCAAGGCTGGATTCAATTCATCGTGTTGATAGTGACCTCCACTGCGGAAGCTTCAATGAACCAGCTGTATGAAGGAAAAACAATCCAGGCTTGGACTAAGACTAGCATTGAACTATATTTGGTTTTGGTATTGCAGCGGGTTGTGGAATGTAGCCTTCATCTCCAGCGTGTACCTGATCCACGGCAGCAAGATCCACGCTCCACACACGCCAACCTTTGAGATAGACGACATGGATCCGGACATGGCGCTCTGTAAACAGCTGCGAGACAAGGTTAGCCCCTTCAGCTAATGCTGTGCATTTTCAAATAATTTAATATTCAATTATTCATACTTGGATTGGAGCGGATATTTGAATATTCGCAACACGCCCATCAAATTGAACATATTTTAAAAATAGTTTTAAAGACGCAGCTTAAGTCAATATTCTCAACAGGAACTCTCAAATCACGTGTGTGAAGTGACTCTCAACCAAATTGAAGGTTTGACAAACGATAAAACCTCGGAAATTACACATTTAAAATAACAGATGTTTTTGCGTTGTCTTCTCGAGAATATTTGAATCGGAAAAATCCTGGGTTTTTTGGGGGGGGTCTTTCTTTTCCCCCATCTTACAGTGAGGGGGGGGGGGGCAGATTCCTCCCAGTCTGATCTTTGAAATGTAATGACAGAGTTATTTTGAAACTGTTATGCTAGTAGAATTAATCATGCTTGGTATATAAGCAAAGTTTTAGCTCAATCGGGAGAATATTAATTTTAAAAAGTAAGACTTGAGGCTTTGCATGGTGGAGATAATAATGAATGAAAGGTTTGCGGAAACACCATGTGCGAATAATTTCTCATACTGAGAAAATGGTTCTGAAAAGAACCAGAGGTATAAAATCGATGTTCCGGTTGGACTTCGTTTTTTAAGATGGAATGTACATGTAGATTTCAAGTTTCCTCCTTCATTTCCCGTTTACTCGTTATTCAGGGTGTGTTCATGTATGCCACCAACATGCACTACTTTGGTTATCTGGTAGTGACGGAGTACTGTGAAACAGAGCATCTCCACAATGACTTGTGGGAAATCGGAAGCAATCGCAAGGTAGGAGAAAGCTTGAGGTCTATGAGTGGATACGTCCATGTACATCATAACTAAGGAGTTAACGAAATCTTGGATTTGTCACCAGCTTTGCCTCTGCCTCAAGATTCAGTACAATCCTGCCACATTCAAAACTTGTGAAAATACACCAACCGTTTGCCTAACGATTTGTGTCTGGTTAGCAGAAAACTACGACAAATTATTGTACTGGAGTCTGTCAAGCCAGTAAACTATAGAGCAATAAGCTTGAGCCGGAGCTGGATACAACACCAAGATTTCGAAAACACTATAGCCGGGGTTTCAAGTGATTTTTGTGCATTTTGTACCAATGGGCTTGCCATACACAAAGAGTTACTCTTGATATGTTGCCGTGACTCATATTCGCTTTTTTCATTTTTATCGCCTATTTTCTCAGGATTGGGAGCGTCATTTCATCCATCCCGATTACTACAAAGCAGCTGAACCGGGAGTAGAGGTCAAACAGGTACTGTAGGGCACTTATCTGACCTTTGACCTTGAGGTCAATAATCTGGAACTGGTTCCTGACATCAGCGGTCGGTACTCGGGTACCCGGTTCCGATGTACAGACCTAACTATATGAGTCTTTCCACCGGGTTGGGGAACAATGTGTGACATATGACCATATCATGAAAAGCATGAATGCCTTGCTAGCAGTTGCTCTACATAATATGTGCTGTTGGGTGTTTCACTACTGCAGAAAGTTTGAAATCATTTCAATGTATTTTGCCAAAAATATGAGAAAAATGTCACTCGGATGTAACATTGACACCATGTTACATCCAAATATTTTTTTTTTTTTATTTCTGTAAAACATTACCCAAAATTCACTTTATGTACTTCTTACTGTACATGCAACACACTAAGATAAACTTTTGTTATGGTAGTCGGGTATCAAATGGAGCAGAAATGATAGCTTGGTTGTGGACGTAACATTGACACCGTGTCAACCCCAAATGTCACACTTCCATTGAGTGATTTTGACACCATTACATCCACATTAAGATATCGTTTCTGCTATATCTGAGCCCTGACTATACCCAAACAAAAACTTTTCTTGGTGCATTAGGTGTCCAGTTATAAATATGCAATGTCAGTTTGCAATGTATGCAAGTATGCAATGTCATATTTTACATATGTGTAAAAAATGGCAAAAAAGACTATTTGGATGTAACATTGTTACATCCAAAGTCCATTCAACTGATTTCAAACTTTCTCAAGTATTAAATATAGACGTCAGAGGTCTATGTTTTGGATTGGCAGTTGTTTGCCGTCCCCCCATAGACTTGATCTCCTTCATTTGTCTTGAAGTGAACAACTGACAAATTTTGAATAATGCAAGTGAAGTAGGAATATTAACCCTAACTCCCTAGGCCTTTTTGCGAGGATGTATCCTCAATCCTGCAAAATCCTCCAATTGGCCTCATGGAAATATAGCCTCAATTCTGCAAATTCCTCCATTATTTCTTGAATATGGTCTTTGGAGGGTGACCACTGCCTGAATCCTGCAAAATCCTGCGGCAGTGACTGTCAATATGTTAAGGCTTGGCCAGTGACATCCTGGAGCAGTACGGAGGATTTCAAGCATAATCCAGGCATGTATTTATGCATGGCTGAGCAAAAACAACACAAGGTCCTGCCCAAGACCTTGACAAAGTGCATCCTACGAAATCAGTAACGCACTTTTGCCATGTAACCTCAATCCTCCATATACCTCCACTTTGGCAAAGAGGATTTTGAAGGATTCAGGGCGGTTAGGGTTAGGGTTAAACTTGCTTATGAAAACAAACTGTTCTCTCGTTGCTTTTGTGCAGGCTTGTCCGGACGTCTACACCTTCCCGATTTTCACCGAGGAGTTTACCACAAAGTTGATTGAAGAAATGGAGTTCTTCGGCCAGTGGTCCAGCGGTACAAATGAAGTAAGCTTGAGGAGAAGGAGTTTTATTCACTCATAATTGGACACCATAACTAATGTCAAACTGGTGTGCTGTCATGTTTAAAACATTAGTTAGGGCGATCTGATACACCGTGCCCTCTGGAGACATGCACACAGTAGGGAACAAAAGATTGTATACGTCTCCCCAGGGCAACTTCTATAGATGAATATGTCTCCGCAAGGTTTTCACGAAATAGATATATGGATTTTACTCAAAAACTAGGAATTTTCAAGGTGGGTTGATCTGTCGCAAATGGAAGAGTTTTAGAAAAGGGATATTAAGTCCGAATGTCAGCCAAGGAAATTAATTCTGGTTAAAGTAAGAGCATTGTGAAACTACACTTTCAAACTCGAAAACTTTACTACATGAGAACAAAGAAATGTCTCCATAAGGATACAAATTTCAGTATGCGCATCTACATGACGTTTAGCTCAAAATATGGTCTAAAAGCATGTATAATATTATTTATATTTATAAGTCAGTTATCAAGCTGCTGTCCGTCTATTTTCACAGGACCAGAGGTTAGCGGGCGGCTATGAGAACGTCCCCACGCGAGACATCCACATGCGACAGGTGGACTACGAGCGACATTTCCTGTACTTCCTGCGAGAGTTTATCAAACCGGTCTGCGAAAAGGTCTACCCCGGCTACGACTCCCGGGTGAGAAGATCGGTCCAAAACGAAAAAAAAAACTAGAGATCTATGTTTGTTTGCAACCGAACATAGGGCTTTTCTGCATAATTTTTTTTATGAGGTTATGCTTAGTACGTTTTGTCATCTTGACAACACTTGTCACTGAACATTTTGTCATTGTGGTCTTGGTTTGTACCAAGTTTGAAGTCAATCCGATGAAAGGAAGTGTACAATTTTTTGCACACTAGCTTCACTTTGGCACGTGTGAGGTGTGCTCGAAAATGTTTGGGCCTGGTGCAGAAATTCCCAAGACTTGATTTGATTTGTCCTGTTGATAGCACAATGGCAGCTAGGGGAACATAACATAAGTACTAAGACTAGCCTCTTCATCTCATTCAAGTCAAGTCTGTCACGAGTCAATGTGGCCCATCAGGCCGGTGTTTATCTCCGGTTTCAGTGTCGTGAAACACCTGAGAATATTTTTGTCCCCCCTGGATGGGATGCTATTCCATCGCCAGTTACTCCCCAGCTATAGGAGTATTTATACTCCTGGGTGGAGAGAGGCAAGTTGGGGTAAAGTGGCTTGCCCAAAGACACAACATATGGCAAGCAGCTGGATTCCAACCTCTGATCCTCTGATCGGTGACGTGAAATGACTGAGAATATTTCCGTTCCCCCTTGATGGGATTCAGGTCCATCGCAGTTTACTCCCCAGCTAATGCCGGTACCCATTTATACTCCTGGGTGGAGAGAGGCAAATTGGGGTGAAGTGGCTTGCCCAAGGACACAACATGTAGCCAGCAGCTGGATTCGAACCCCTGATCCTCTGATCATGAGCTAAAAACCTGCTAGGCCACACTTGTAGTGTTAAGTCAAAGACCTTGGCCCTGGCATGGTAGTCCATCGACGATAATTTTTCGGCCATTAACCCTAACCCCCTAGGCCCTTGTTGCTTACAACCATCCTCAATCCTCCAAAATCCTCCAAAATTTTGCAACTCCGCCTAAATTTTTCAAAATTGTCAGACAGTCCTGCCTCAAAATGCATTCATCCTCAATCCTCCAAAATCCTCCTCATCCCAAAACTTTGCACTCGTGTTTAAATGAAGGATAACCAACGCTAAATCCTTCAAAATCATCAGACAGTCCTGCCTCAAAATGCATTCATCCTCAATCCTCCAAAATCCTCTTGTGCTTCAATCACCATTCATCCTCAATCCTCCAAAATCCTCATGTGCTTCAATCACCATTCATCCTCAATCCTCCAGAATCCTCATTTGATTCAATCACCATTCATCCTCAATCCTCTAGAATCCTCCAAAACCGCCAGGAGGATTTTGGAGGAGTGAGGTGGGTTAGGGTTAATACTCCTGGGTGGAGAGAGGCAATTGGGGTGAAGTGGCTTGCCCAAGGACACAACATGTGGCCAGCGGCTGAATTCAAACTCCTGCTCCTCTGATCATGAGCCAAAAACCCGCTAGGTCACACTTGTAGTGTTAAGTCAAAGACCTTGGCCCTGGCATGGTAGTCCATCGACGATCACTCCCCGGCCATTAATACTCCTGGGTGGAGAGAGGCAATTGGGGTGAAGTGGCTTGCCCAAGGACACAACATGTGGCCAGCAGCTGAATTTGAACCCCTGCTCCTCTGTTCATGAGCCAAAAACCTGCTAGGCCACACTTTCAGTGTTAAGTCTAAGACCTTGGCCCTGACACCAAGGTAACTGGTCGTCACCACCTCCTCATGTTCAACCTTGGCCGACAAAACCCTTGTTAAACCACTAAGGATCTCGCCGGAACAAAAAAATAGATGACTCACGTGCGAAAGACATATCAAACCTGTGATCGAAGGAAGTGTATTAAAACCCTTGGTAATTTAACTCACACGGGTGCGAGGAAATCAGATTTTGATGAAGGTAGCAGTCTCCATCAGGTGCGATTATTGCGAAATCTTCTGGCGCTCTGCCAAAAGTGGCATTTGTTTCAGATTCTCTAATGGTGTACTTCCTTGACTGGTGGATTAAACGACCTGAAAAAGAGGATTGAATTGTAATTTGACCTTCTTTAAAATTGGCCATCTGCTTCAACAACATAAGCAAGTTGATCGGTGTTAATGGCTCGGTTTCTCAATTTTTTGTTTCATTATAATTGTTTCATCAATCATTCGTTGAATTTGACAGCCAGAGAGGGAGGGTCTAAAGAGCCCATGACGTGAACAACTGGACATCCCATTTTTGGTTAATCTTATTGAAAAGTGCACTTCTTTAAACCTTAACAAAATGTCCATGCTTTTCTGGGCAGATGAGGGCGCTGTTGCAGTGATGTCATTTCAGGAAGACACTATTCAGTTGAGGGGGTTTTCTGTTCAAATTGTGAACCCAGTATTTGCTCATTGATAGCTTTTTGAGAGAAAACTTTGCTCATTGGCCTAATGTCAGGTACTGAAAAATGTCAACAATTGTGGCAAATTGTTGTTCTGAAATAGCTGTAACATGGAGTTTTCTGCCTGAAACAACATCACACTTTTGCTCATGAATATGCAAAATTGCATCAGCATTAGCAATTCAAGAGGGCACTAAAACGCCCTTAAACATGGCAAAATGAATATTGAAAATAATTTTAAATGGGACACAAAGGTGCATTTTCAAGGACTGCATTAAATAAATTACATTACATGGGCCCTTTTTAAAGGTAGAGTCCATCATTTGCAGCCATCCGAAAAGTAACTGGCGTAATTATTGTTGAAAAACAAACTTGGTTGAAAGATAGTAAGGGAACTAAACTCCCTGTGAAATTATTCTTTCTGGGAAGCTGTCATTTTGAAGTAATCAACGAAAGAAGGCATTTCCAACGGTGATTCTTAAGAAGCACCGTAGGAAAATTTAAATTAGTAGTTCGTTTTGTTATTCAGTGCAGCGCGCACAAGTATTGGAACGACGCACACGCGCGTGCGGCTGTTGTAATTCGTCGGATCAGTGCGCGACGTCGCGTAAAGCTGCAATTCAAAACATGATTCAGTAACTTTTGATTTGAAATTGAGATCTTAGAATGCTGTTTTTCTTGGAATGTACAGCTGAAGCTTAGCTGAAACTTCATCAGGTTAGTTGCTCAGTATCCTTCATTAGAGTTTGAACTCTTTTGTTGCTTCAAACGAACAAAATGCACAAATTACAAATGATGGACTGTAGCTTTAATGGAGTAACTGAATAATTTAGAAAGCCTTAGTGTCATTTTATAATTCTTTAATTTTGAATTTTCAGGCTCATGCCATCATGAACTTTGTCGTGCGTTACCGACCGGACGAACAGCCGGCGTTGCGACCCCACCACGACTCCTCCACCTATACTATCAACGTCGCCCTCAACACTCACGGATTGGATTACGAGGTAAGCCGTTTGTGGTCGTCTTTTCTTCACAAATTGTGTTCCTCATGCTATTTTTCAAGTTTCATCCCGAAAAAAAAAAAAGATTCCTTTTCTAAATGGTGATTTTTCTAGCAAGACACGAGTTATTCACTTTGAATGAGACATGGACGTTTAGTTATTTAGTTATTACTGTATAATTTCAATTTATTGGCTGCTTAACAATTATTTAGTTCTCGTGGGGTAGGCTGGTCCCCGCCTCGCAATCATTATCAATAATATACCAAAACCAAAACCTTTTGTTAACAGGGTTGCAAAGTCCAAAATTAAGGAAGGATAAAACAAGTTTTTGATTGGAATTAAACATTAAAGTTGAAAATTTATTAATAGGAATAAAACAATGTTTTTTGAAGAGCATGAGGGGCGTACATGTATTGTTTTTGCAGCAAACGTCGTATTTTAACCAATTACATGACGCACCTTAATATGAATATTTATCACGCTGTGTGGATGGAAGACACTTGGGTTCTCGTAGTGTTTCCCTTCAATTAAACTTATCCCAACCAACAAAAACATTTGATGAAAATGGACATGGGCTCGAACCACAGATCTTGCGATCCATAGTTCATTCCACTATCCACTAGGTCACTCTGGCAGCTCAACGAAAGCCGTCCTTTGAAATGCTTTAATGTACATGCATGACTGAGTAATAGCAATGTCGTAACGTCATTGATATTTTCTTATGAATAAACATCGAACTAGCTGAATAATCATGAACCATTGACAATGTGCGCTGCAGATAAAAACACTGCTCACTGAGAATGCAACGATCTTATAGCATATAATATCAGTTAGAGGTCTTTGACAGATCAAATAACAATTCTAGCTCCCATGGCCATTGCAAATTGGGTCAGTCAGGAGAAACTAGTTTTATTTTCTCTCTGGCCTAACAATATTTCTCCCAGCTGGTAGTCAGTTGTACTTTGCTTATCATGAGGATCTGCAGCGTCTGCAAGTTGTATCGGTTACCGGCCAAGTTTTGGCATATCGCAGTTGACTTTTTGTTGGCGGTCTTCAGGGAGTTAATTTTTTTATTGATGGGGACTCCCTGTCTCATTAAGACCACTATCGCTAGAGCTCTGAATATGAGACAGATTACGAAGGGATGTAGCCATATAACCACCTGGTTTTTCAATACACTAACACCTATCAAAGTTTGTTTCGGGGCATGAAAATCTGGCGCACTGCTTGTTTTTCATTTGCGTTCTCACGAAAATAAGGGTTCTCTGAGGAATAAAATGATTGAATGGGTGTGTTCATATTTCGCCCCTTCCTGTCTTTTCCCCGCCTCCCCCTCCCCTCGTAACCCATGGGTTTTGAATGTCATATCAATACCTCGCCTTACTTGCTGTGAATGACATGAACTACTGGTAGATGCTCTGATCTGGTACACGGTACCCTGTGGAGACATGTGCATAATAGGGAACAAAAGATTGTTCTATAGGTGAATAAGTCTCCACAATATTATCACAAAATAAATGGATTTTACTCAAAAATTATGTATTTCCAAAGTGTTGATCCATCGCAAATTGATTTATTTTATGTAAGGGATATTAAGTTTGAATTTCAGCTAAGGAAATTAATTCTGATTAAAATAGGTTCTGGTTAAATTTACAATGTATGCACAGCTAAGCATAAAGAATACAAGGTCTGGCCTATGGGCCCAATGTGCCAACAAAAGAGGGCGCGTTTTTACCACTTTTTGAGAGCTCCTTGGACAGGACACACAGCATTCGCGTACTGTATTGTACTGGTAGCGCGCGGAGTACGCATGACTTCCTGAATGAGCCAAAGCTATAAGCCACCGCGTCTCCGCGTGAGCGTCAGGCGTTGTCAGCGTGCGAATACGTTAGAATTTAACTTGCAATGGTCTCCCAGACTAATCCCCGCCCCCAATAACTTTCGATCATTCGAAATACGCAGTGGATGGACCGGGAACCAGTCTAGGTCTCCCCCACTCTCCTTTGCTGGCCGTTGAAGGGGTATTTGTGCACTGAGCCCATGACCTTGACACAGTGCATCCTCCAAAATCAGCCACACTGTTATGTCACAAAGCCTCAATCCTGCAAAATCCTCCATTTTGCGAAGGTTATATTTGAGGGTTTGGGAAGGTTAGGGTTAATAAATAAGTAAAATAATAGGGGAGACTGGATGCCCATGACCTGGGGCCAATTTCACGGCGCTGCTAAGCACAAACATTTGCTTATCACAAAAAGTCTGGCTTATAAAAGCAGGTTACCAGCCAAAACTCCATGTGATGTATATTGCTCATGATTAGTATTCAGCTGTTGTTTGCTTAGCATGAAAATCACATGGAGTTTTGGCTGGTAACCTGCTTTTTTAAGCCAGGTTTTTTTGTGCTAAGCAACTTTTTGTGCTTAGCAGCGCCGTGAAATTGGGACCTGCAGTGAGATGACGCACTGCAACGCTTGAAATGGGAAAAACAGTTTAACAGGAAGCGTGCAGTATTGGAAGGACAGGGTAAATGCAGCTTGATGGATTTTTTAAAACCGGCGAGAATCGGAACAGTAATTTGACCCATCTGTTGTACTGCCTATGGCAGACTTTCTCAGGAATTTAGCTTCAAGGCACACATCCTCCACCCCCCCCCCCCCCCCCCACTAACTGACTATGTTTGCATTGGGCACCTCAACATGGTAATTGGTTACACGGGTGTAGCCCCCAGAGGGGTGAGAAAGGGGTAAGGACACTGCACCCTTGAGATAGTGTCAGCCACCCCTAACACTCACCCCCCATACTGTTCCATCAACTTTTTAAGTTGATTACACATCTCCTGTTTTGTGATACCAATCGGCAGGCTTGTTGCATAGAAAGTCTGCCAGTCAGGATGAGTGGACAGTTTTGATTGGCTCCTCTTGCAGGTGTCGGTGCTTAGATTGTTCCAACTGGTCTCAGCTTTGGTCCCCATGCAAAAGCTGACCAACTATCCCCCGAAAAAGGTCTTCCAAATTTTCAAAAATTTTCAAAAATGCTTCACTTGATGCATTTTTGGAAATGACCTTCTTATATTGTTTTCTTCAACATGACAGCATGCCAGAAGGAGCAATTTCACAGGGAGTTTAGTGCCATTATTATCTTTAAACCAAGAAAGATTTTCAACAATAATATCATAACTTACTTTTTGGATAGCTGCAAATGACCTACTCTTCCTTTAAAGCCGAAAATCTTTTCTGAACAACTGCTAAATGTTGAGGTTTTTTTTGTGGTTTTGGGTAAAAGGGGACCCTAAGTCATCCTATCACAGGAAACCCTTAGATCCTAGAAGCTTACACATCTCCTTGAAGGCTCACTCAGAGATAGGAACTGATGTTGTTTCGATTCCGTTAAGCCGCAACAGGGGAGTGTGTCATCAGACGCTTTTAGGATCCTTAAAACGTGATTCGTTAATTGCCAGAGCGTCGTTATCAGCGGTGTATCTACATCTGTCGGAGTCTGTAATAATTTTGGAACTCTCATGTAGGTTATCTCTCGAACTCCAGGGGTTTTGATAAATGACACTCCGTTACATGTAAGTCAACGTGGCATTCCTGTCCAACAAGGTCAGATTTAGTCAAATTAATCTGAACACTTTTACGACAACAGCTGTGTCTTTTCTGACTTGTCATCAAACAAAGCTTTTTCAATGATTTTTAGGTCGAGCAAATACATTTACTGGAGCGGGGTTCTAAACAGGGAGTGTGGCCTAATGGTTAGGCTTCGTGACTCATAATCAGAGGGTCAGGGGATCGAATCCAGTTCCTGGCCATGTGTTATGTCCATGGGCAAGTCACTTTACCCTCACCTGCCTCTCTCTATCCAGGGGAGCAAGCAGTGGCAGTATGGCCTAGTGGTTATAGGGATCCTGACTCATGATCAGAGGGTCAGGGGTTCAAATCCAGTTGCTGGCCATGTGCTACCGGTATGTCCATGGGCAAGCCACTTTACCCCCACTTGCCTCTCTCTACTCAGGGGAGCAAGCAGGGGGAGTGTGGCCTAGTGGTTAGGGTTCCTGACTCGTGATCAGAGGGTCAGGGGTTCGAATCAAGCTGTTGGTCGTATGTTATGTCCTTGGGCAAGCCACTTCCCCCTCACTTGCCTCTCTCTACCCAGGGGAGCAAGCAGGGGGAGTATGGTCTAGTGGTTATAGGGTTCCTGACTCATGATCAGAGGGTCAGGGGTTCGAATCCAGCTGCTTGCCATATGTTGTGTCCTGAGGCAAGCCACTTTACCCTCACTTGCCTCTCTCCTCCCAGGAGTACATGTACACATGAAGGGTTTAAGACCAAAATGCGATAACCACTATTAAGTTATTTTCATATGAACCACAAAGGTAAACTGATTAGGTGAATTATAACAATTTTTGAAAAGTTGAACAAAGAAATTGAATGGAGCGGGATTTGAACTGCGACCTCCGGATTACCGTTCCAGTGCTCTACCAACATAGAATCCTGCTTTCTCCTGGCTGACCAAAGTCAGTGTCAACGGGTTTTATATCCTTAAACACAACTTCAAGAGACAATAATTAAGTTTAGAAGCAGCTGTTACATGTATACCGTTTTTATTCTTGAAACTTTGATAAACATGCAAATGGTTCGATTTTTTTTCTTCAAAAAGGATAGATTACCCTTTGGAAAACACTTCATATGTAAGTGGGTACCAGCATCAGCTGGTGTTTTTTTGCTAGTGCAGAAATCTCAATGTTACCACTATTTCAGCACCAAAATTTGCCAGAAATTTGGATATTTTGCTGTTGTAAATTGTTCTTTTCTTTGGTGATTCTTTTCAGTACATGGCAGTAGGTCAGTGAGCAAAGTTTGGGTTCACAAATTGAACAGAAAACCTCTAAACTGAACAGTGTCTTCCTGAAATGACATCACAGTAATAGCGCCCTCAGTTGTCGGGAAAATCATGGAATTTTTTGTAATGTTTAAAGAAGTGCACTTTCCACTAAGATTAAAGGGAAT